CTCAAACTTTTTAAACAGGGGGCCAGTTCACTGTCCCTCAGACCGTTGGAGGGCCGGACTATAGTTTAAAAAAAAATTATGAACAAATTCCTGTGCACACTGCACATATCTTATTTTGAAGTAAAAAAACAAAACGGGAACAAATACAATATTTGTATTTGCATGTGGCCCGTGGGCTGTAGTTTGAGGACCCCTGTCTTAGCTATTGTAAATTGTGTTACCGTGATCATAGGGGTGCGTACATTCTTTCTGATTGATGTTCCAGGTCTCTTAGGATATATTCCTAAAAGTAGGATCACTGGGTCAAATGGCAGTTCCATATTAATTTTTTGAGGAAACTCCATTCTGTTTCCCATAATGCTGCACCAGTCTGCATTCCCACTAGCAGTGTACTAGGGTAGAATCCAGGTCTTGACAGATACACTCTAGTCTTTTTTTCCATAGTCCTATGCTGTGCTCTTTGGCTCTCCATTTATGAAGCGTTGACTTGGCTTTTGGTTAGAAATATTAATTTCAGGTGAGTTTAAGCATCTAGGTTTCAAATAAGCAGAACCCAAGACCAAACTATGGTTTAGTTCAGTGATGGTGAACCTTTTGAGCTTGGCGGGTCAGCATTTTGAAAAACCCTAACTTAACTCTGGTGCCGTGTCACATATAGAAATTTTTTGATATTTGCAGCCATAGTAAAACAAAGATTTATATTTTTGATATTTATTTTATATATTTAAATGCCATTTAACAAAGAAAAATCAACCAAAAAAATGAGTTCGCGTGCCACCTCTGACATGCGTGTCATAGGTTCGCCATCACTGGTTTAGTTAGTGGTCACCAACAAGTGGTCCATGAGGTTCAAAAGGTTGGTGACTGCTGGTTTAAGGAAACCTTTGGAGCAGCGGTCGCCAACCGGTGGTCTGAGAACCACTGGTGGTCCATGAGGTCCAAAAGGTTGGTGACTGCTGGTTTAAGGAAACCTTTGGAGCAGCGGTCGCCAACCGGTGGTCTGAGAACCACTGGTGGTCCATGAGGTCCAAAAGGTTGGTGACTGCTGGTTTAAGGAAACCTTTGGAGCAGCGGTCGCCAACCGGTGGTCTGAGAACCACTGGTGGTCCATGAGGTCCAAAAGGTTGGTGACTGCTGATTTAAGGAAACCTTTGGAGCAGCGGTCGCCAACCGGTGGTCTGAGAACTGGTGGTCCATGAGGTCCAAAAGGTTGGCAACCGCTGGTCTAGGCCATCTGTGTACGTAGAAGTAGCAGCCAAAAGGTTTTAAGACTTTTTTCTCTGTCCACTTATTAGACCTGTTTTCTCATCCCAAAATAGGTTGAGATTGAATGTTCATAGTCAATTGACTGGTGGCTAAGTACCACATAACATGGATAAGTCTATATTTCCAATTCCTTACTATATCTGAAAAGTTTTGAAATATTAAGCTAAAAATACTACTTACTACAAAAGCCTAGGAAAATATAATTATTTAAGACATTTGAATTATTTTCCTTCAGCATGTCAGCACTGTTTTCAACTCTAAGTTAATTGAATTCAATGTATTATCATACATAAGTTTTGAAGACTTAGTCCTTTTTTCTAAAGTTAGAGTCAACAGAAAGAGGTTATTTGTGTTGAGATTTACAGAAAGATAATATTAAATGGCCAGCTTGCAGCCCTAGCCAGTTTGGTTCAGTGGTTAGAGTGTTGCAAATGAAACAATTGTGCTACTGTGTCAGGGCTAATGTAGGTTGTGAGGTGTCAGAAAAACCAGACCCGCCAAAACCGGTTTGGCTCAGTGGATGGAGCGTCGGCCTGCGGACTGAAGGGTCCCAGGTTCGATTCCGGTCAAGGGCATGTACCAGGGTTGCTGGCACATCCCCAGTAGGAGATGTGCGGGAGGCAGCTGATCGATGTTTCTCTCTCATCGATGTTTCTAACTCTCTATCTCTCTCTCTTCCTCTCTGTAGAGAATCAATAAAATATATTTAAAAAAAAAAAAAAAAAAGAAAAGAAAAACCAGACCCTATTTTAAGGCAGAGGGTTAGAGTGACAGGCAGGGTGAAGATGTTAGTGAGGACAGAGAAGATACGAAGTGACCCTGGGGAGGCTTTGTGAGGAAGAGGGAAGGGTGATTTATAAAATTAGGTAGAGGCTCCTTTTTTTATTTTCTAATTACAAAAAGAGCCTTGCTTCAGATGGAGGTGGTGGTTTGTGAGATCTACAATTACTGTATTTTTTATCTTCTTACCACAGGAGTGGTATCTTTTTTTAAAAAAAAAATTATTGCCGAAACCGGTTTGGCTCAGTGGATAGAGTGTCGGCCTGCGGACTGAAAGGTCCCAGGTTCGATTCCGGTCAGGGGCATGTACCTGGGTTGCGAGCACATCCCCAGTGGGAGATGTGCAGGAGGCAGCTGATCGATGTTTCTCTCTCATCGATGTTTCTAACTCTATCTCTCTCCCTTCCTCTCTGTAAAAAATCAATAAAATATATTTTAAAAAAATTATTTATTTCAGAGAGGAAGGAAGAGGGAGAGAGAAATAGAAACATCATTGATGAGAGAGAATCATTGATTGGCTGCCTCCTGCATGCTCCCCACTGGGGATTGAACCCACAACCCGGGCATGTGCCCTTTACTGGAATCGAACTTGGTCCGCAGGTCGAGGCTCTATCCACTGAGCAAAACCGGCCAGGGCAGGAGTAGTGTCTTTTTAAAGGTATTTTTTTGTGATTGAAAAAGTAGTTGGGACTTGGCCCCATTTTGTCTTTTGATGGCTGGAGCATTCTTTTTGTTTTGTTTTGTTTTTTTAATATATTTTATTGATTTTTACAGAGAGGACGGGAGAGTGTTAGAGAGTTAGAAACATTGAAAGAAAGAAACATGAGCTGCCTCCTGCACAACCCCTACTGGGGATCAAGCCCGCAACCAAGGTACATGCTCTTGACTGGAATCAAATCCCAGACCCTTCAGTCTGTGGGCCAACTCTCTCTCTCCACTGAGCCAAACCATTTAGGGCTGGAGCATTCTTTATAATTTTTTTTTTAATTCATTGATTTGAGAGAAACATCACTTTGTTGTTATACTTATTTATGCATTCATTGGTTGATTTTTGTTGTAGTTATTGTTGTTAATCCTCATCCTAGGATATTTTTTCCATTGATTTTTAGAAAGAACAGAAGGGAGGAAGGGAAGGAAAGAAAGAGAGAAAGAAACATCAATGTGAAAGAGGCAAATCGATTGGTTGCCTCTGCCACACGCCCCAACCGGTACAGGGAATCAAATCCATGAACCTTCGGTGCCCACGCTAAAAGCTCTAATCACTGAAAAACACCAGCCCGGGCCATTGGTTGATTTCTTGTCTGTGCCCTGCCCAGAGATTGAACCTGCAACCTTGGCATATTAGGGCATACTCCAGTGATGGCAAACTTATGACACGCGTGTCAGAGGTGACACGCGAACTCATTTTTTTGGTTGATTTTCCTTTGTTAAATGGCATTTAAATATATAAAATAAATATCAAAAATGTAAGTCTTTGTTTTACTATGGTTGCAAATATCAAAAAATTTCTATATGTGACATGGCACCAGAGTTAAGTTATTGTTTTTCAAAATGCTGACCCGCCAAGCTCAAAAGGTTCGCCATCACTGGCATACTCTAACCAACTGAGCTACCCAGCCAGACTTGGAGTATTCTTATAGATATGCTTTTGTTAGTGATACTGTGTTGGAATACCTCTGAAAAGACCCAACCAGATTCCTAGCCAGTGTTACTAAACTTTTGTGTCCTGTAAGAAAGTATCCTCCCACCTCCCACAGAGGGATTATTAAATTAAGGTATGGGGGGATAAATATTGATGGAAAAAATAAAGAGAAAAATTAAGGGATTCTGGAACCTCCTTAGTGTTCAAGAATGTTAGAGTCAGCCTGGCCAGTGTGGTTCAGTGGTTGAGCATCAAACTGAACCAGGAGGTCACTAGTTTGATTCCCTGTCAGGACATATGCCCGGGTTTGGGGCTTGATCCCCAGTAGGGGGCAGGCAGGAGGCATCCGATGGATGATGGTCATCATTGATGTTTCTATCTCTTCCTCTTTAGGACAATAAAAATATATTTTAAAATATAGGTAGATTGATCGATAGATTTAAAAAAGAATGTTAGAGTCAGAAGAAACCTTAGGAATTACCTATTTCAACTTTCTTATTTTATAGTTGCAGAAACAAACTCACATGAAATGAGAAACTTGTTGAAACAACTTATATTGGCAAGTCTAGGACCATAAGTCCATGAGTCCTGGCTCAGTACTCTTTTCATGGTACTATGTAGTTGTTGAAGCAATTGATATTTTGAAAATTAGACCAGTTATAGTACTAGGTTTTGAGAGGAGTTAGGAAGAACTACGAAAACATTAAAGTGTTTTTGTAGTATGTGAGTAAGTAATTCACAGTATTAGGAATGATTGCATTTGAAGAGAAAGCTAGAGAATAAAAAGGTATATTTGTGTTTTTATTTTGTGGAGGGTCTTTGTTGTTGTTGTTGTTGTTAATCCTCACCCGAGGATATTCTTCCATTGATTTTTAGGGAGAATAGAAGAGAGAGGGAAAGACAGAGAGAAATATCGACGTGAGAGAAATACATCGATTACATCGATTGGTTGCCTCCTGTTGTGCCCTTGAACCTGGGACCCTTTGGTCCGCAGGCCGGTGCTCTATTCACTGAGCCAAACTGACTAGGGCTATATTTGTGTTTTTAAATTGGAGGTTATTTTTCAACTGCACAGTACCAAACTAATTTAAATTATTATTATTTATATTTTTTCTTTCCGTTATTATAACCTATTGATGTGGGGTGTCTGTGCACAAGCATGTACTTAAACTACCCAGTGATCATTCCTAGGATGAAATAGATAATTGGCTCAAAAGGGAGGAGCTTATATTAAATCTGGGGACTGGTCCAAAATTGTACATGTGGTATGGAGCATGAATTGGTGTATATGTTGTACTTGTGGTTTCTGCAGGTTATTAGTGCATCCCTGAGTATGAATGCAGAATGAAGCGACGTTTGGATGACCAAGAATCACCAGTGTATGCGGCTCAGCAGCGGCGGATCCCTGGTAACACAGAGGCTTTTCCTCATCAGCACCGAGTGCTTGCCCCCGCCCCTCCTGTGTATGAAGCTGTGGCCGAGACCATGCAGTCAGCCACGGGCATTCAGTACTCCGTCACTCCCAGTTATCAGGTGAGCTTACACTGCAAGCAAGGCACTGCGCTAAGGCCAGTATGATGGTTTTATCCAGTTAGAAGTTTTTGGTGGTTTTTAAGAAGTATGTTTTTATTAATTTCAGAGAGAGGAAAAGAGAGGGAGAGAGATAGAAACATCAGTGATCAGAGAGAATCCTTTATCAGCTGCCTCCTGCATGCCCCTTACTGGGGAATGAGCCCACAATCCGGGCATGTGCCGTGACTGGGAATTTAACCGTGACCTCCTGGTTGATAGGTCAATGCTCAACCACTGATCCACACTGGCTGGCCAGTTAGAAGTTTTTATTAAGCATTCAGTGAGATATAAAATATTTATGAGATATGTGTAAGTTATAAAATTAATGAAAATAATGTACAGTTGTGTACTCACCACGTAAGTTTATAAAGAAGAAGGTTGCTATGACCTTGGTGTTCACTGTTTATTCTTTCCTGAACCCTTTTCCTTTTTCATCACTTCAGAGGTAGTCACTGATCTGAACTTCGTTTGCATTTATCATTTCCTCGGCTTTATTTTTTTTTAAAGTCATTTTGTTTATACATTTAGACACTAAAATTGTTTGGTTTGGGTATTTTTTAACCTTTATATAAATGAAAACATTAATATTTTCTTCTTTGGCGCTTTTTTCACTCGGTATGATTCCCAAGACATAGCCATATTTTTATGAGTAATTGAGTCATTTGTCACCCTGTTATGAATTATATGAATATATCCAGTTTATTCTATTAGTGGACAGTTTGTTTCCAGATTTATGCTTTTTTATAAAGGCGCTACTGTGAATGTCCTAGGTGGCTCTCTAGTGCAGTGGTATTCAATAGTGGTGACCCTGTGACAAAGTAAACTTTTACCAGAATCTAAAAGAACACACTACTTTTATCAAGAGAGTCTTGCTTGAGTAAAAAAAGGCAGCTGAATTAATTAGTGTACTTATTAGTGAAGCAGTTGGTTTACATTTTGGTGCAAACTTTTTATCTTCTTGCAGACCACTCAGCAGGTGAGAGGGCACATGAGGAAGAGTTGCTCCAGTATATAGGAGAGGGATTGCTGAGTCCTAGGGTGTGCACATCTTCACTTTAGCAGGTGATGTCAGATTGGCTTTCAGAATTGTACCAATTTATATTTCCACCAACATTGTATATTCCTATTTTTTACATCCTGACCAACTTGATCTATTTTGCGAAAAAAGAAGAAATTTAATTTTTTTATCTTTTTAAATTAGGAAAGTAAATATCATCATTACAAAAAAAAAGACATAATTACCTTTTCTAATTACCCCTCGACTTTATCTCACTGGTGTATTTCTTGGGTTTCCAGCATTTTATATGCATATACAAACATATCTATATTTACTTGCCTACCTATCTAGATACACTTCTCTTTTTACATAATTTGGATCATACAGTATATACTGTTCTGGTCTTTGCTCTTTTCACTTATTATATAGTAGACAACTTTCCACTTGAATATATGTAGAGATCCAAGTAATTTTTTTAAAGAATTACTGCATAGTAAATATTCCATCCCAGGTCATCTGAATCATAACTTATTTAACTGGTCTGGAGAGGCCTTCTTCAACCTAACTTGTTAGTGACTTCTAAAAGATATGACTAGTGCCCTAACTGTCGGCCTGTAGACTGAAGGGTCCTGGGTTGGATTCTGGTCATGGGCACAATGCCCAGGTTGTGGGCTCAATCCCTAGTGGGGGGCATGCGGGAAACAGCTGATCAATGATTCTCTCTCATCATTGATGTTTCTGTCTCTCTCCCCCTCTCCCTTCCTCTCTGAAATCAAAAATATATTTTAAAAAATAAAAGCTATGACTGGTGCTGGGAATATAAATTGGTATAATTTTCCTTGAGAACAGTTTGACAGTTGTGTCAGATTCTGGAGTTACAAGAAAGCAATCAAAAAAGAAAGAAACCAGGTCAAGTAGGATATGGTGATTCCTTAGGTGTGCCACTCTTTCTCAGGAGTCCCCCTTGAAGCAGTATAATTCCTTTATATACTTCATGTACAGATCAAATGACTGCTACAGATCAAATCTTTAAGTTAGGACTTGGAAGAAAAAAAGGTTGCTTGTTTTCCTTGGCTGATTATTTTTATCTGAACAGGTTCATGATTGTTTCCTACACTTGAGATAATGTTATATCTGTTTTTATACTAGAAACTATAATGTGTTCATATAAAACCAGCCATCTCAAAGAATTATAAACTAAACCTGTCCAATTTATTCATATTGGAATTAGAAGCTCAAAATAATAACATGTGAGATATATATTAGAGCTTTTAGAATTGTCTTAAGTATTTTTTTTTTTTTACTCCTAATGTTATATTGTATTATTTCTATGGATTTGTATTATTTCTACCCAGGTTAATCTTTATAAATTTGTGGGGAATCTGGAAAAAAACCCACAAATATCTTCTCATTAGTTGTAGGACACAACTTAACATTGTTTAGAGAAAGTTTCATGTACAGAGGACTGCTACAGATCAAATCTTTAAGTTTAGGACTTGGAAGAAAAAAAGTTGCTTGTTTTCCTTACTTTCCTTATTTGGAGATGTGGCAAATCAGGTATATTTGTCTTTAGTTGTCGTCTGTAGTGAGTAACAGTTCTGAAATAGGAAAACTTTTAAAAGTTTTGTAAATGTTACATAGCATTACTTGTAATAGAAATGGGAGGAAAGCGGCTTGTGCTTGTATGTCCCCCTAAACTTATAAGAGAATGAGAGAAAGAGAATGAATGTGCATGAGAAAATAGAAAAGAAAGATGTCTGAGGTCAAACCAACAATTTAGAAAAAATTTTGTTTATTTTAGAAGCAAATAAGGATAAGAAAAATAAAACAAAGTAAAATTCTTTTCTAACCCCACACCACAAGATAAAATGCTAACATTTTGATGTATATTTGTTGTCTAGGGTTTAAAATCTTTTTATTGTATTTTATATACTGCTTTGTAATGTGCTTTATAAAATTATTTAAAAGTTTAAATTCATATTGGAAATGGGAACACAAATACATTCAACTTATGGATTGTGAACATTTTTTTCTTTCTTTTTTTCTTTTTTTTTTTAATATATTTTTATTAATTTTTTACAGAGAGAAAGGGAGAGAGATAGAGAGTTAGAAACATCGATGAGAGAGAAACATTGATCAGCTGACTCCTGCACACCCCCCAGTGGGGATGTGTCCGCAACCCAGGTACATGCCCTTGACCAGAATCGAACCCGGGACCCTTCAGTCCACAGGTCGACGCTCTATCCACTGAGCCAAACCGGTTTCGGCCATTTTTTTCTTTTTAATTAAATTTATTGAGGTAACATTGGCTAATTACATTATATAGGAGTCAGCTATACAATTCTATGATACATCATCTGTATATTGCATTGTGTGCCCATCATCCAAAGTCAAATCTTTTGTCACCATATATTTGATTTCTTTTATCCTCTACAAGATTGTGAACATTTTTTTAATGTTATAAAATACTAGAGGCGTGGTGCATGAAATTCGTGCACGGGTAGGGTCCCTAGGCCTGGCCTGCAATCAGGGCCAATCTTCCCTGGCTGCCTGCAGCCGGCCCCGGCCCCTGCCGCCAACACTGGTCGCCCTCTGTGTGTGGGGTGACCAGCAGGCAATTGGGCCCCACTCACTCACATCCACCTTGGCCTGGCGCTGCCCGCGTCCACTGCCACCCACCCCCAGTTACCCATACTCTATCGGGCGATCAGAGCCTGCCACCCAGGGGAAGGGACCAAGAGGTTGGCCAGCAGGCCCTGATTGGGCAATCAGGGCCTGTGGCCTTGGGGCAGCTCCTGTGTAAGTAGAAATTTAGTGTTTAGAAACTTTTATAGCAACTAGACATTGTAGTTTTATATCTTTAAAATCCAATAGTGAAAATTGTGGGCTGATGTATTTTTTATTTCACTTTTCTGGTAATCCATTTTTACTTTATTTTTTATTATGTATTATTTACTTACTTATTTTTAATCCTCACCTGAGGAGTGAGGATATTTTTCCCTTGATTTTTAGAGAGAGAGTGGAAGGGGTTGGCGGGGAGAAAATCCATGTAACAGAGACACATTGATTGGTTGCCTCCCACACATGCCCTGACTAGGGGCAGGGATTGGACCTGCAACCCAGGTATGTACGTGCCCCTGACCAGGAATCAAACCCGCAACCCTCCGGAGCACAGGCCGATGCTCTTACCAGCAGGCAATGCCGACCAGGGCCATTTTTACTGTATTTTATAAAAGTAGCAGCCCATGATGGATTGTAATTTAAGAAAAAAGGAAAACTGGTGCTTAACCACAGATAGTTTGAGAAGTACTGAGCTATGTAATACATAACAGAATGCATAGGATTTTATAATGAGTGTGCTATAATTTATTTCACCAATTTCATCTTGTGGAAAATTTGAGTTTCTAGTTATCTTTGTGTATGTATGTTCTTTAAACACATTTGGGCAAGAATACACAAGCCTTGACCGTTCCTGTATCTCTTTTGTCCACCCCAGGTTTCAGCTGTGCCACAGGGCTCTGGTGGCAGTCATGGACCCACCATAGCAGCGGTTCATAGCAGCCATCATCACCCAACAGCTGTGCAGCCCCACGGAGGCCAGGTGGTCCAGAGTCATGCTCATCCAGGCCCACCAGTTGCACCAGTGCAGGGACAGCAGCAGTTTCAGAGGCTCAAGGTGGTATTCAGCTCTTTTCCTTCCATCAAAAAGTTTCTCTCATAGCAGGCAACAAACATTTCTGGAATTTATGAATGCATGGCACTCAGACAGATCAGGATTGAGGGGCCATTTTCATAGGAAATCAACAAAGTCCATTTTTTGGAAGTCTCATTTTGAACTTAGTTCTTTTTAAAAAATATATATATATTTTTATTGCTTTTTAGAGAGAAAGGGAGGGAGAGAGAGAGAAATATCCATGTGAGAGGGAAACATCAGTTGGCTACCTCCTGCATGCCCCCTACCAGAGATCGAACCTACAACCTGGGTATGGGCCCTAACCCAGAATCAACCAGCAATCTTTCAGTGTGTGGGATGAGGTCCAACCAACTGAGACACCCCATTGGCCAGGGTATGTGCCATAGGTTTTCAGTGCTTTGAAATTCATGAGGCATCTGTGGAGAAGTTGAAGTTTGTGTTCTCAGCTAATTTTCACTCTCTGCTTGAGTATTATTTTTTAGAATGTGTGTGATTGTTGCCGCAAATGTTCCAGATTTCAGTTTTTTTCTTTTTACATTAATATAAAGCTTAAACTTGAGTGCAGGAAATATAAAATTAAAGAACTATAAAGAGAAAAGAAAGATGTTGGATGTTTATTTGGTCCAATCAGCCTAATTCTATTAAGTAGCTTGCAGGTAGGAATGTATAATATACCCTTGAAGGATTCATTATGTTTAGCAAATATCTCAGCCTTCTTTTCCTTGATACTTAGTCAAGTTCACCTTGATCCTGTTCTCCTTGGTTTGGGTTCTCAGGAACTTCCTAAATAGTAAAAGCCTAATATGCTAAGTGTCCAGTCATCTGTTCAACCAATCAAAGCGTAATATGCTAATGATATGTTAAGGCTGTTCAACCACTCACTGTGACATGCACTGACCACCAGGGGGCAGATAGTTGACTGGTCGACCAGTTGCTATGACATGCACTGACCATAGGAGGCAGATGCTCCGACTGGTAGGTTAGCTTCTGCTGGGGACTGAGATGGGCTGGACACACCCTGGAGCCCTCCCGCCTACCCGGCTGGCCAACCTCCTGTGTCCCTCCCTGGCCCTGATCATGCACCGGTGGGGTCCCTGGGCCTGGCCTGTACCCTCTCACAATCCGGAACACCTCGGGGGATGTCGGAGAGCTGGTTTTGGTCCAATCCCACTCAATGCAGGAGCTGCCCCCTGGTGGTCAGTGTGCTCCCACGGGGGGTGCTGTTCAGCCAGAAGCCGGGCGCACGGCTGGTGAGCACATCGGTGGTGGCAGAAGCCTCTCCCGCCTCCGCAGCAGTGCTAAGGATGTCCAACTGACGGCTTAGGCCTGTGGGGAGCAGGTCTAAGCCGTCAGTCAGACATCCCCAGAGGGCTTCTTGACAGTAAGAGGGTGTAGGCTGGGCTGAGGAACTCTCCCCTCCCCCCAAGTGCACAAATTTCATGCACCGGGCCTCTAGTGTTTAATATTGGCCTAAGGAAAGTAAATGCTACATAAATATAAAGCACACTAATGCTGAGCTGTATAGAAGGTTTTTATAAAATTTTCATTTTCTGTATTTATTACCTTAAATAATGAAGAGTTGATTGTATATAAGCATAGTCTTTAAAAAGAGTACAAATTATTTATGGGCCTGAAACTTCACTCTGGGCTCTGTCTTTGGGGGAAATATGTATTAGCTATATTGTTGTTTTCCTTATAACATTTTAACTCTCTGCTTATAGAGTGATGTCTGTGTACCAAAATGTATTATTACTATACTTAGCACTTCACCAAGCTCTAAAAATATTTTGGTAAAAGTTGGTTTGATGTGACTTAATTCCAGCAGTTAATACCTAATGTTGCAAAAGAGCTTATAAACTTGCTATTAGGCTAACGAAAATGTATTTATTTTTATAGCTTTTGTCAGCCAGCTCTATCAAAGCACAACATCTATTTTACCTTCCTCACTGGGGTATAAGTAGACTGTGCTTTATCCGTTTTACAGAAACTATAAAGGGCTTTAGAGTCATGGGTCGAGTTAGGACTTTTGCTCTTTTTTTTTTAGTCACAAGCTTTTTTATTTACTTCCCTTTTTATTTTATTTTAACTTTTGTATTTTTAAATTAAATTTATTGGGGTGACATTGGTCAACATGAGCATATAGGTTTCAGGTGTGGGTTCCTATGTTACAAGATTTATATATTACACCGTGTACCCACCACTCAAAATCAAATCTTCACCTGTCACCATTTACCCCCATCCCCTACATGCTCTTGAATGGGATTCCTGAACGCAGTAACGTGTTGCATTTTCTTTCTAATGAGAGGTAAAATGCTTTCTTGTGCCTTCATGTAATTTCTTTTTTTTAAATTGTTTTATTGCTTAAAGTATTACAAAGGGTATTACATATGTGTCCTTTTTTTTTTCCCCGCCCTTGACAATCCCCTGGCCTCCCCTAGCCCCCAGTGTCTTATGTCCATTGGTTATGCTTATATGCATGCATACAAGTCCTTCAGTTGATCTCTTACCCCCCCTCCCTCCTGCCCCTCAACCCTCCCCGGCCTTCCCGCTGCATTTTGACAGTTTGTTTGAGGCAGCTCTGCCTCTGTATATATTATTGTTCATAATTTTATGATGGTCTTTATTATCTATGAATGAGTGAGATCATGTGGTATTTTTCCTTCATTGACTCGCTTATTTCACTTTAGCATAATGCTCTCCAGTTCCATCCATGCCGTTGCAAATGGTAAGAGTTCCTTCTTTGTTACAGCAGCATAGTATTCCATCGTGTAGATGTACCACAGTTTTCCAATCTATTCATCTACTGACGGGCACTTAGGCTATTTCCAGATCTTAGCTATGGTGAATTGTGCTGCTATGAACATAGGGATGCATATATCCTTTCTGATTGGTGTTTCTGGTTTCTTGGGATATATTCCTAGAAGAAGGATCACAGGGTCAAATGGGAGTTCCATTTTCAGTTTTTTGAGGAAACTCCATACTGTCTTCCATAGTGGTTGCACCAGTCTGCATTCCCACCAGCAGTGCACAAGTGTTCCTTTTTCTCCACATCCTCTCCAGCACTTGTTTGTTGATTTGTTGATGATAGCCATTCTGACAGGTGTGAGATGGTACCTCATTGTTGTTTTGATTTGCATCTCTCGGATGATTAGTGACTTTGAGCATGTTTTCATATGTCTCTTGGCTTTCTGAATGTCCTCTTTTGAAAGGTGTCTATTTAGATCCTTTGCCCCTTCATGTAATTTCATTCAGTATTCTCACATTGCCTGCCATTTTTGGATTAGTTTTAAAAAGCTTTATGAGCATTTGAATCCACTTCAGTAAACAGTTTATATTCTGTAATAAGAAAGTGTCCAGTAAGAATGCATAGGCTATTTCTTTTTATTAATTATTTTAAACATTTTTAAAGTAGTTTGTTTTTCTTTTTTTATTATTTTATTATTTTCTTTAATCCTCACCTGAGGATATTTTTCTATTGATTTTTTAGAGAGAGTGGAAGAGAGAGGGAAAGACAGAGAGAAATATCGATGTGAGAGAAACACAGATTGGTTGCCTCCTGCACGAGCCCCAGACAGGAGGAGCCTGCAACCGAGGTATGTGCCCTTGACCGGAGGAATCGAACCTGCGACCCTTCGGTTCACAGGCCGTCGCTCTGTCTGCTGAGCCAAACCGGCTAGGGCAGTGTAGGCTATTTCAAGCACCAACACTGTCTATACTTTTTTGTCTTTGACATATTGATGGAACATTTGAATAATTTGAGGCTTGCTGGGTGTACTTTAGTTACTTATTGATATTTGGCACATATTTAGTGAGCTCTCTATACAGTTTGTGTTTTCTCCCCTCCCAATGAACTGATGAACTTCAGAACGTTAGGAACCTTAATAAATGCCTATTGAAGTGAATCAGGAAAATGTGTCAGCAGAGTCTTAAGAGTCTCCTGTCTAGTGCCCCCTTAAATGTGTAGCTTCTAAATGACTAGTTCCAAATGTGTGTTTTTTTAAAGTTGTGGTTTCTAGAACTGCATACTTGCTTTTGAACTATACTTTAGATAATGAGAGAATTTCCACACTCTTTACATGCAGTTATCTCATAATGTGGTGTCAAAGCTATTTTTTTAAACATAGTGTTATTTTATAACTAATTTTTAAATAGGGGTTTACTAGGACCTATACCTTTTCTTCCAAACATAAACACATCATGTATAATTTCTTTCCTTTGGGTTTCTGCACTTTTTCTCTCTGTTGTAATGCTTGTTTATTTATTTTTTAACTTTAATTTTTTTGGTGTTTATTTTTGATAACTCCTCCTTTGTCATATGATTGTGAACGCTATTTTAAAATATCTTCCAAAGTCTTTTTCCTTCTGCAAACTTAATGAGTTTTATGTTCCATCAATTTGTCATTAATGAAACATTTCAGTATGGAAAGTTCTGAATATGAATTAGTTTATTGAGTTTCAATAGAAATTGTCATGCTATTTGTAAAGAAAAACCAGCCATCAAGTGAGTGCATATCAACCAAGCATATAATCTGTGCTCTAGCAACACTGAAATACACTGATTAACTATGGCCATTTTGGAAGTTTGGGCAACTCTTGAGATGTCACTTAATGCTTTATTTGAACATAAATGTTCTATTTCACAATATTTATCACAAGTAGAGTTTATCAAATCAGTTTATTTTTGAAACTTTCCTAAACTTGATATTTTGTATAATTTAAAATAATCCCAGAGTAGATAGGAAGCACCTAGTAGGTAATTTCCTTGGATATCTCCTGAGTAACTAAAAAGTAAGTTGTTCTAAATCAGACTTATAATTTTCTAGCCTTCAAACTGTTTCTCTTTGCAAATGCCCAAATAATTTATAATTTAGTGAATCTTCCTTTTCCGTTATCTCCCATATTCAGTCAGTCCTCAATCCCTGTCATTTCTGAGTCCTAAAAAACTTTTGAATCTATTCAGTTCTCCCTGTTCCTTTGGTCAGGACTATAGTTTGAGCAACTACTGTTCACATGTGAGTTAGCCTTGGAGCATAACTGGTTTTCCTGCCTCCTTTCAATCTATCCTGCTCTTGTACCAATTTGTCTCAGTACTGTAGCCAAATTGAATACATTAAAATGCAGATAACAATCTCAGTTGCTTTCTAACAAGTTTTAAAGGTCTTTTAGGATCAGGTCCTGTTTCCTCTTCTGTCTCCTCTTGTCACTCTTCTTGCCACCATTCCTCCTCTTCAACACAAACCCTCCAGGTAAATTAAATTGTTTGCAATTTTCTAAGTAACCTAGTGTCCTGTCGGGGATTTTGCCCATGTTGTTCCTCTGACTTTCTCATGAGTCTTCACTTTTGCTAACTTGTATTCATCCTTTAAGACTCAGTTTACAAATTACTTCCTGGGGAAGCCTTTGTGCTCTTCTCATGTTCTCTCTGGGTGTTCAGTGATTGTCCCCTTATACCACTGTGTTAGGATTCCCAGCTAGATGTGAGAGAACTTCTATAGAGCAGGGACTGTGGCTTATTTGTCATTGATTCATTGGTACCCCACTTTGGGCCTGATATAGCATGTTGTAGCTTTAGTAGATATTTGTGAGATGACTAAATGAACAAATAAGTGAATGAGATATTCATGTGTATGCTTCACTAATCATTTTTTCCAAAAGTATCCAAGGCAAGGCTACTTGATTTTTATTTGAAGCTTGTGTTTTATTATTGATATCCATACTAATTTTTAATACTTTCATGTTTTACTATATATTCCTATTTCATTTACTATGTTAATTTTATTTAGGCATAAATCATTTGTTTGTTTTTTATAATTCTTGGCTTATTTCCTTTTTATAACCTGCTTCAGGTGGAGGATGCACTGTCCTATCTTGACCAGGTGAAGCTGCAGTTTGGTAGTCAGCCTCAGGTCTACAATGATTTCCTTGACATCATGAAGGAATTTAAATCACAGAGGTAAAAGATATATGTAGTTGTACACAAGCTTTGTGCTTAGGATGTTGATTTTGGAGGGAGGATATAGCTTATTCTTGTCTTCTGAAAGATAATGGATGTTCCTTTTGGGGGGTTTAATTTTCGGGATGATGCTTTAATTTGATGTATTGATATATTGATGAAAATTATAGCCCCTAGATCTTAACTAAAATTTTCTTAGGATTTTATCACAAAACAAGGGAGTAGACTGGTAATGATTAGGCTACTTGCTCTTTGACTTAAGATACACAAATATTCTGGCATGGTTCATTGTTATAAGAGCATAGCTAACTAATTGGGAAAATGTAGATACATGATGATTTATACTGGTGTATCATAGGTTGGATATTGCTTGGATATTGCAGCTTTAGATTTACTGTCTGAGTATCTGCTTGATAGGATTGTTACTAACTGTATATTCTGTTCAAAATTGTGACCACATGTCTTTGAAATTTCAAATTTCTTTGTATGTTCTTAATTTTGTAATATGCAGGTTGATTTTTATCTATTTTCCTGTCTAGTGAATGTAGTCAGTGTGATTTTTTTTTTTTCTTACTATAGTGCTTCTCAAGTTTGCCAATTTTTTTTTTTTTTATCAGCATCGACACTCCAGGAGTGATAAGTCGTGTGTCCCAGCTCTTCAAAGGCCACCCAGACCTGATCATGGGCTTCAATACCTTCTTGCCTCCTGGCTACAAGATTGAGGTGCAAACCAATGACATGGTGAATGTGACAACTCCTGGCCAGGTCCATCAGATTCCCACCCATGGCATCCAGCCCCAGCCTCAACCACCACCCCAACATCCTTCCCAGCCTTCAGCCCAGTCAGCCCCAGCTCCTGCCCAGCCAGCTCCTCAGCCCCCACCTGCCAAAGTCAGCAAGGTGAGCACTTGGAATACTTTGCATTACATGAAATGCATCCCTAGAAACCACCCTCTTTTGACATTTCCCCTTTATATAAGACTAGATAGACATATTGCAGTGATTTCATCAGAGAAGGTGCAGTAGTCATATCCCTATCAAATGGTTCACATTTACATACCACATATTTAGATCTGTTTAAATCAAGACATGAACAACCTACAAGGACTCTCTTGCCCCCAACTTCTGCTTATTGAACCAAGAGCACCCCAATAGGTGGAAACTTTGCTTGGGTAGTGAGTGGTACTTTGACAGCACAGGCAGAAATGTTCATCTTATGATCAGATTATGCTACTGGCTACATGGTCATCATTTTACAGAGGCTACTCCATTTACCAGACTAGGCCATTATCAAGCTAAGCAGAAAATTCTGATGACAATGATAATAATAATGGGTGTACTTTATCTAAAACTGCATTGTCTGATACAGTAGCCACATATGGCTATATAAAAATTTAAATTAATTAAAGTAAATTCAGTTTTTCAGTTGCACTAGCTGCGTTTCAAGTACTCAGTAGCCTCATGTGGCTGGTGGGTATCATCCAGGACAGTGTAAATAAAGAACATTTCCATCATCAGAGTTCTTTTGGACAGAGCTGGTGTACAAGACTTTGATGTGGAGTTACTGTAACATTAAATTGTCTCTTTTGACACTAGAGATACATGTAGAATGAGTTTTTTTCTATTCTTGCACCTGTTGAGCTAGTATACTTAAAATTGCATGTGAAAAGTTCTTCCTGTATCTATTTTTAAGGCTGTATTTAGAAATTTTGAAACTGAAATATTTGTATGAGAATTGTGAGCCCTCTACACTTCCCACCCCTGCCCAATGTGATTTGAGTTGGGCTGAAATGGCCTGGCCAGAGTGAATAAAGGATATAAGTTAATCAGACACCTTGTTTCTCTTTAGTTCAAACTTTCCTATGTCAAACCATCTGTTCCTGAGGAGAATAAAGACTTTTTTCTTTTTAGCCTTCCCAACTACAAGCACATACTCCCGCCAGCCAGCAGACCCCCCCACTCCCACCATACGCATCCCCACGCTCTCCACCTGTCCAACCTCATACACCAGTGACAATCTCGTTGGGAACGGCCCCATCCTTGCAGAACAATCAGCCTGTGGAGTTTAATCATGCTATCAACTATGTTAATAAGATCAAGAACAGGTTCCAGGGCCAACCAGACATCTATAAAGCATTCCTGGAAATTTTGCACACATATCAGGTAAGAGAGTTACCCTTTCATCCTGTCTTAACCAGGTCACCCTCTGAGGGCATCTAGTCTAAGAAGAAGTTGAATAAATATTATTGTGTCTCCTAATTCTTACTGGGAATGAACCAGTTGAAAACTATGATAAGTACTTATAAAGCATTTTATTGCTTGGCTTTAATTACCTTATAGCAGGTAGTCAGCATTTTTAAAGTTACTGCTCTGTGAAATGCATACTTATTTATGTGGGAAGTTTATAGGATGACTTGTGTAAGGAGAAATTTCTCTATAATTTTTTGTGTTTATCAATTGGTAGTGGTCCTCTGCGGATTCACAAACTAATTTTAAATATGTTTTAAAAAGGAATTGTCAGCCACCATTTTTCACACTTTCTCACCTTAAAGTTTGCAGTCAAAACAGTTGCTAAAAGTACAGACTTTTTCAAATGTAGCCCAAGTAGGTGACATACAGAGCTCCTTGTCAGAAGTCAAAAAATGTGCAAAAGGAGTCATCAGTACCCCTCCAATATGATCTCTTCCATTTGCAATTTGTCAGAAAGAGCAGCGAAATGCCAAGGAAGCTGGAGGAAACTACACTCCAGCGTTGACTGAGCAGGAGGTTTATGCCCAGGTGGCTCGCCTTTTTAAAAATCAGGAAGATCTGTTGTCAGAATTTGGACAGTTTTTACCAGATGCCAACAGCTCTGTGGTAAGTTTTATTTAGAAGAACTACACTATTTAGAATTATTATCTTAGGTAAATTAGGAAGCTGGAATCAGAAGGGAACTTTTTCTAAATGATACTTACTTGCTTTGATAAGAGCATTAATCTCTTTCATGTGTTTTAATTAGCTTTTAAGCAAAACAACTGCAGAGAAGGTTGATTCTGTGAGAAATGACCATGGAGGCACTGTGAAGAAGCCCCAACTGAACAACAAGCCACAGAGGCCCAGCCAGAATGGCTGCCAGATCCGGAGGCACTCTGGAACAGGAACCACCCCTCCGGTGAAGGTGAGAATGAGCAGCAGCTGCTCATTTTGACTTTCAGGAGCAATTCTAATGGATAGGAACCCAGGGTTGGTCATGTGCTTTTATCCTAAGCGTGTAGTCAGTTGGATCTTGGGTATTCAGGTGTATGGCATAGAAACTCAATGCAAAGCTTCTTATCTGGCTTTGCAAAAAATGTTAGAATACCACTAATTACTCAGATCAGTATGCTTTTATGTTGTTAATCCTCAACCAAGAATAGATATTTTTTTCTATTGATTTTTTTTAGAGAGAGTGGAGAGTGGAGTAAGTGGGGAAGAAACATTGATGTGAGAGAGAGACATTGGTTGCCTCCCACACATGCCCCGACAAGGACTGGGGATTAAACCTGCAACCCAGGTACCTGCTCTTGACTGAGAATCATATCTGAGACCCTTTGATGAGCAGCCTGGCGCTCAAACCATTGAGAACACTGGCCAGGGCACTATGGTTTTGTTTTTTGTTGTTGTTTTTTTTAATATATTTTATTGATCTTTTACAGAGAGGAAGGGAGAGGGATAGAGAGCCAGAAACATCGATGAGAGAGAAACATCGATTAGCTGCCTCCTGCATACTCCCTACTAGGGATGTGCCTGCAACCAGGGTACATGCCCTTGACTGGAATCGAACCTGGGACCCTTGAGTCCACAGGCTGACGCTCTATCCATTGAGCCAAACCGGTTAGGGCGGTTTTTTGAGTTTTTATTTTTTTCTCTCTTTGTTATTAGCTGTCATCTGTTTTTTGTATTCTGCTAAGAGTTTCTGAGATGTTAATTTTTCCCTTCTTCTGATTTGATGCCTTGTGCTAAGAAAGATTACTAAGCTTATTGTTTCAGATATAAGTCAGTGGTCTCAGATTCTTCTGTGAGTAAAGTGCCTGTCCTTTGTGAGATCTCTTTGGTCTGGTGGCCTCTCGTACCCAAGGTTCTTTGTTGGGTTGCCTGATCTTATCTGTATCATCTCAATCTCCAAGGTAAGGTTTTCTGCTACAGCAAAAGGAGGTCTTAAACTACTGTTAGTGACCTGTTATATATAAGGCTTCTTGGTAAACACTGCTAATCTGCCTGCAGAAAGCTGAGCCCACTCTCTTCTCTTTGATGTGGAGAGGGCTAGGTGTAGGGACTGTGTGTTGCTTTAGTAAATTTTAAAGCAGTACAGAACATGGAAGAGAGGTGTGTCTGCAGTTTTATTAAAGAATAAAAGCTAGTGGAATTTCTAATAAAGAGTATTATTTAAATAAGTAGCAAGCAGGTCAACAGATCTGTTCCACTTCTGAGTTGGTCTTCTGCACGTGATTACCCACAGGTGGAAACACTACATTGGGGTTAGAATTCCTTCCCTACTTTTTGCTTAGGCAGTGTGAGCAGTGGCTATGGCTCCTCAGTGAGTGAGCTCTGGAATGACAAAGGTAAATGTGCTGTTTTCCCCAGAGTTTGTGTGTTTATTCACAGATAGTTGAGATATAGCTTTTTAAAAATAAATTCTTGCCCTGGCTGGGTGGCTCAGTTGGTTGGAGCATTGTCCCATACACCAAAAGGTGGTAGATTTGATTCCCGGTCAGGGAACATACCCAGGTTGTGGGTTTGATCCCCTGTTGGAGTAAGTGTGGGAGGCAACCGATCAATGTTTCTCTCTTACAATGATGTTTATTTAAGCGTTCCTCTCTCTAAAATCAATTTAAAAAAACAAATGCCCTCCTTCCTTTTTAAAAAAAAGTAAATTTTGCCTGATACTTATGTCATGCCCTATTAATTCCTTTTAAAAAACCAGTCTTGCCCTAGCCTGTTTGGCTCAATGGTGAGAGGGTTGCCTTGGACTGTAGGGTCGTGGGTTCATTTCCAGTCAAGGGCACATGTCTTGATTGCAGGTTCCATCCCCAGCTCATGCAGGAGGCAACCAATTGATTTGCCTACATAATGTTTCTCTCCCCTTCCCTCCCTCTCTCCTCTTCTTCCTATTCCTTCCTTCCCCTTTCCTTCCTCTTTCTCTCCTTCCCTTCCATTCTCTCTAAGAAACAATGGAAAAAATATCCTCCATTGAGGATTAACAAAAAACAATTAAAAGGCCAGTCTTAAATTGATCTGAATGAATATTGCTGACAAGATAGTTATTTCTTCTATTAGAAAAATATACTATATTCTCTTCATGAATTTACAGACATTCTCTTCTGCCTCCATACTTTTGGACCATGGGAAAAGTAGAGAGAATATTTGAGGAGTAGAATGATCCTCTGGGGAAAAAAATGACAGGCAAACAAATAGAGAAGACGGGTGGAAATCTTACAGGGTGTAAAGCAAGTTAGTATTTGAATTCTCTCATTTGTTGCAAATTATCAACATTGGTTAATAAGGAAACCATTGAACACGTGAAAATAATAGAGGCATCCACCCTTTAAATTTTAGCATGTTTCTATTTTTCCTGTTTTTGCAGAAGAAACCCAAACTTCTCAGCCTAAAGGATTCTTCTATGGCAGATGCCAGCAAGCATGGTGTAGGAACTGAATCATTATTTTTTGATAAGGTGAGTAAATGAATGAATTAGATTTAATACCGGCCATTAATACCAAAAGAAAATCACCATCCTCAAGGTTTTTTTTAGAGGCATCAAGCTGTTTAGGGCTTTCTACTATTTGACATAGTTTATAAGTTGTAGGTCCTTTCAGTGCTAGAGAAATTGTAGCATTGTCTACTTTGATTTTGTGAAATGGTTTGCAACAAAATACTGCATTTTTCATGGTGGAAGACAGCTTTAATAAAACACATGATATATTAAATATTCTCAAAAGTTTTTGGAGCCCCCTGTTGCAGGTGGCCAGGTCTGTACATTGGGGAGTGTCGGTGCACCAGTTGTGGAAGGCTTAAGATGACTCGTAATCTTCTAATCGCTTGTGATACTTATTTGCAGAATCACATATAGAGTTCCTGGGGATTCTGATTTAGTTTTCAAAGCTCCCCAGGTAATTCTAATGAACAGCCTGAAATGGTGATCACTGGTTTAAACGGTATTTTAGGTGTGTGTGTTTGACCTTTCTCCTGTGTCTGACTTCCTCCTTGGAGCCAACTTGATGATTAGTAGGCTACTTTCATCAGGGTGGCTGGCAACTGTCAGACTTCTCACTGGCGGGAGCCAGCTTGGATTGATCTGCTGGTGATTTATTCTGTCTTGCAATTGTGGGTTTTTGCAAAAGGGCAAACGACTTATTATCTCCATTATTGGTGCCTCTTGATCTCATCTCTCTTAAGCCTGCTGTGCCTGTGTGAGCTGTTCTGCAAAAAGTCGAGACTCTGACTTGAATCATTTCTGAGGGCTGCCTGGGCACTTGATGGTTCTAATCTAAGGCAAATAAAGAAGTTCAGGTCACAACCAACAAATGTCAAGGAAAGTGTGGGGGTAGGGGGGCAAAATGAGTTCAATTTTTAAAGAGGAATGGTATCTTGTGGTTGTTTTGTTTGTTTTTCACTTACTGATTTTAGAGAGGGGGGGAGAGAGAAAAAAACATCGATTTGTTGTTCTACTTATCTATACATTCATTGGTTGGTTTGTGCATGTACCCTTACCAGGGCTCAAACCCACAACCTGGGATGATGCTCTAATCCTGGCCAGGGCTGTTGTTGTTTTTGAGTACTACTTCTTTCTTGGAGATGTATACTGGGTTAGGTGTAGATGAAATGTCTGGAATTTACTTTAAAACTCATTGGTTGGGAAATGCGTTTAAATGAAACCAAATTTACTATATATCAGCGATTCTCAACCCCTTTGGCGGTCAAACGACCCTTTCACAGGGGTCGCCTAAGACCATCCTGCATATCAGATATTTACATTACGATTCATAACAGTAGCAACATTACAGTTATGAAGTAGCAACGAAAATAATTTTATGGTTGGGTCACACACAACATGAGGAACTGCATTTAAAGGGCCAGAAGGTTGAGAACTACTGCTATATATTAATCATTAAGGCAGGGTGATTATATGGGGTTCATTAGAGTATTCTGTTTACTCTGTGTATGTTTAAAAGCTAATAAAAATAAAAAGTAAATATGGTATATAGTACAGCAGTGAAGTGCTCTTTGACCTTTGGCATTGAAGGTAGATATTTTATTTATTTATTTATTTAAATGTATCTTTATTGATATCCGAGAGGAAGGGAGAGGGAAAGAAAAGATAGAAACACCAGTGATGAGAGAGAATCATTGATCGGCTGCCTCCTGCATGTCCCCTACTGGGGATCAAGCCCACAACCCAGGCATGTGCCCTTGACCGGAATCGGACCTGGGACCCTTCAGTCCGCAGGCTGATACACTATCCACTGAACCAAATCAGTTAGGGCATGAAAGTATTTTATATTGTGTTTACTGATTGGTAGTTATGAATAGTATATGGGAGCCTGGAGAAGGGGTTGATAAAACCACATGGTCTGCAATCCCCCAATAAAGGAACACAGTGCTAAATACTTACTTCTGAAATTAAAACTTCAGCTTGCTCATCTAGCCAGGCTAGTTTTACTTTGTCTATGCCATTGAACAGTTTTAGATTTTTGGATATTAAAATGCTTAATATTATAAATGGAAGAAGGAAAATAATTGGGTCAGAGGACACAAGTATCTTATTTAAAAAGATCATTATTTAAGATTACCAAAACAGTGTTGACAAGATTCTTGCTGTAAACATCTGTTAGGAGAGGAAACAAAAACTTGAAGTACTCCGATTTTGGTTTGGAGAATCAAGAGTATGAGAAGGTAAATGTCTTACTTCAGGATCTCATTTTGAAAAATTTTTTATTATGGAAAATTTTAAACATGTGAAATTAATTAAAAAGTAAACTGACTCCTCATTACCCATCATCCAGTTGCTAGCCAATATTGCTGCTTTCATGTGTGCTCTCATCCACCCCAAATTGCTTGCAGACAGCACCCAGATATTATTTAATTCAGTTTCCTTTTAAAATAAAACCTTTTTTCAAACATAATCATTAACACATATGAAAAAAAAAAAGTTAATTCCTTAGAATCATCAGATAACTTCAAATTTCCTTAGTCATTTAAAAGTAATCCCAGATCACTTCATTCCCCACTTAATCATTCTCTTCTGGTTGTCTCCATAAGGTTCGAAAGGCTCTGCGGAATGCAGAGGCCTATGAAAATTTCCTGCGCTGTCTTGTTATCTTTAACCAGGAGGTGATCTCTCGGGCTGAGCTTGTGCAATTAGTCTCTCCTTTCCTGGGGTAAGTAGAGTTGAGGGGCCTTAGCTCTGATGCATGATATGGAATTGAAATAAACTAGTTTGTGAGAGTATATGATAGGCAAAATTAATTTGATTGTGTTAGGTCATTTGGCTCATACAATGTCAAGAGTCTTCTGGAAAGTCTTCTATTTCAACTCTAGAGATGAAAAAATTAGAGAGGCCATTGGCTAGCACTAGTGGTAGTCTCCTGATCCCCTGTTCAGTGTAGGATGTTATAGAGACCAGTCTATTCCAGGATTCTAGAGTCTTGATTGTATTTGACAACCTAAAAATGATCTTAATACTGAAGCAATATCCCTGGCTTTGTCTGATTTTGGTGCACTCTTCTATCATCACCTTAACTGACTGTAGAGCACTCTGTAAGAAAAGGGGAAGCCAAATGCTTAGAAGCAATAATTGCCACTGGACTTTGTTCTTGGTAGCAAAGTTCTGACTTAACACCAAATAGTGGTAGTCATATCTCAGAATAACTGCACCATGCTTCTAATTGCTCACCAGTTTTTGGTTTGATTTTTTAGGAAATTCCCTGAATTGTTTAATTGGTTTAAAAACTTTCTGGGCTATAAGGAGTCTGTACATTTGGAAACCTTTCCAAAGGAACGAGCTACAGAAGGCATTGCCATGGAAATAGATTATGCCTCTTGTAAACGGTTGGGTTCCAGCTACCGAGCCCTCCCAAAGAGTTACCAGCAGCCCAAGTGTACAGGACGGACTCCTCTCTGTAAAGAGGTAAGGCCTTCCCCAGAAAGGAACAACCCTGAAACCTCAACTTTCTCTGGAAGGGAATGGTCCTAGGGATAAAGAATTTATATCATTGAAGAAATCAAGATATCTCTCTCTCTCTCTCTCTCTCTCTCTCTCTAGATATATATATGTGTGTGTGTGTGTGTGTGTGTGTGTGTGTGTGTGTGTGTGTGTATTTATTGATTTCAGAGAGGAAGGAGAGGGAGAGATAGAGATAGAAACATCAATGATGAGAGAGAATCATTGATTGGCTGCCTCCTGCACACCCCTTACCGGGGATCAAGCCCACAACCCGAGCATGTGCCCTTGACTGGAATCGAACCTGGGACCCTCCAGTCTGCAGGCCGACACTCTATCCACTGAGCAAAACCAGCCAGGGCTCTGTCATTTTTTAAAAGAAAATGTTTTATGCTTATATTCAGAACCTTTTCGTTACTCTAATATATGTTGTAAACTTGCTAAAGGGGAAGCCTGTAATGTTAAATGATTCTTTCTTCTCCTAGAATTGTGTCTTTTTATTGAGAATATTTACTTGCCAGAAAGCTTTGTTACATTTTTATTTCAATTTCTGTTCTATTACCTAAAGGTTTTAAATGATACCTGGGTTTCCTTCCCTTCCTGGTCTGAAGACTCCACCTTTGTTAGTTCCAAGAAAACTCAGTATGAAGAACATATCTATCGTTGTGAAGATGAACGCTTTGAGGTACAGCTTCCTTGATCATTTGAAGTTTGGGAAAATGGGAGATGCTAAATAAAGTATCTTAAATACTTATCTGTGAGGGTTTACTTTTAAGACTAAAGTGTTAGAGGTTCATGTTCTTTTGTGGTAAATGCTTGTTGTACTTACCATACTTTAAGAGTTTGTCAAATATGTTAGTAATATTTTTATGGCAAATGTGACTTATCTAGGCCACTTTAACCCTTTTAATTGAAATTATCAATTGGTAACTGAATAATAATTTGAAAATTTTTTTAAAATACATTTTATTGAATTTTTACAGAGAGGAAGGGACAGAGGGATAGAGAGTGAGAAACATCGATGAGAGAGAAACATCGATCAGCTGCCTCCTGTACACCCCCTACTGGGGATGTGACAGCAACCAAGGTACATGCCCTTGACCGGAATCGAACCTGGGACTCTTCAGTCCGCAGGCCGATGCTCTGTCCACTGAGCCAAACCAGTTAGGGCTTATTTTTTTTTTTATAAATTGCAAGGTCTTTTTTTTTTTTTTAAATATGCTTTTATTAATTTCAGAGAGGAAGTGAGAGGGAGAGAGAGATAGAAACATCAGTGAGGGGAGAGAATCACTGATCGACTGCCTCCTGATCAACCCAGGCATGGGCCTTTGACTGGAATCAAACCCGGGACCCTTCAGTGTCAGGCCAACGCTCTATCCACTGAGCGAAACCAGCTAGGGCTAATTTGAATTTTTAATGGCATTTTTTAAAGGTTATTATATTTTACAAAGGTATATAAAAACTTAGTACTGTAGTAAGGCCTACTGGGCTTTTTTGAGGCTGCTGGAAATTATTTATTTTAAAGTGTATTGCTTTTTTTTTAAATTTTGTTTTATTGCTTAAAGTATTACAAAGAGTATTACATATGTCTTCTTTTTTTTTTCCCCCTTGACCTTCCCCGGCCTCTCCTACCCTCTAGTGTCTTGTGTCCATTGGTTATGCTTATATGCATGCATACAAGTCCTTCGATTGATCTCTTACCCTGCCCCCCAACCTTCCCTGGCCTTCCCGCTGTAGTTTGACAGTCTGTTCGATGCTGCTCTGCCTCTGTATCTATTTTTGTTCATCAGTTTATAATGGTCTTTATTATCCATAAATGAGTGAGATCATGTGGTATTTCTCTTTCATTGACTGACTTATTTCACTTAGCATAATGCTCTCTAGTTCCATCCATGCTGTTGCAAATGGTAAGAATTCCTTCTTTTTTACAGCAGCATAGTATTTCATTATATAGATATACCAGAGTTTTCTAATCCATTCATCTGCTGATGGGCACTTAGGCTCTTTCCAAATCTTAGCTATGGTAAATTGTGCTGCTATGAACATAGGGATGCATATATCCTTTCTGATTGGTGTTTCTGGTTTCTTGGGATATATTCCTAGCAGTTGGATCAGTGGGTCAAATGGGAGTTCTATTTTTAACTTTTTGAGGAAACTCCATACTGTCTTCCATAGTGGCTGCAGCAGTCTGCATTCTCACCAGCAGTGCACGAGTGTTCCTTTTTCTCCACATCCTCTCCAGCACTTGTCGTTTGTTGATTTTTTGATGATAGCCAGTCTGACAGGTGTGAGATGGTACCTCATTGTTGTTTTGATGTATTATTATTCTTAGCAGGTGGTTAGCAAACCAGCTCTCCTGTGGGAATTGAAATTCTTCTTTCATAGTTCTGATATTGATGTGGTTGGCTCCCTTTGAAAGAAAGTTAAATTAGGGATTTTATTTTAAAGTAGTTAGGAAGGGCTTGAATGAATAAATGAGCTGGTAGAGCCCCTATGCCAGAAGTGGGAATACTGAAAATGGGTTCTGAATCCCCCATGTTCACTGATATTATCAACAAGAAAAGGGAATATTTTTACCTGGCCATTGTAGCTCAGTTGGTTGGAGCGTCGTTCCGTACACAAAAAGGTGGTGGGTTCGATTCCCAGTCAGGGCACTTGCCCTGGTTGCAGGTTCGGTCCCCGGTAGGGGAATGTGCCAGAGGCAACCAATCCATGTTTTTCGCTCGCTCTCTCAAATCAATTTTAAAAAAAAGAAAAGGGCATGTTAAATGTGCTTAAGTGGTAAAATTACATGTGTCCTATATTTAATGCAGTGGTTCTCAACCTTCTGGCACTTTAAATACAGTTCCTCATGTTGTGACCCAACCATAAAATTATTTTCGTTGCTACTTCATAACTAATGTTGCTACTGTTATGAATCGTAATGTAAATATCTGATATGCAAGATGGTCTTAGATGACCCCTGTGAAAGGGTCGTTCGACCGCCAAAGGGGTCGCGACCCACAGGTTTGAGAACCGCTGGTTTAATGTATTTATTATATAAAACTTACTGACCCTGCTTCTCCCTGTAGATGGGTGATACCTTGCTCTTTGTTAGCCCATACTAGTTTATCCCTCTGCCAGCTATCCCCCACGCTCACTCCAGCTGTCTCTGGCATGTTTTGAATGAAGTCAGGTGTTGCTTGGCCCTGGCAGGTGATTGGCCATCCCTGCTCAGGGTTTATGAGGAGCTTCAACCATTTGCAGAGAACTAAATCTTGATAGATTGTGACTTCCATGGAAAGTTTAAAGAAAGCATTTCTTGGTTACCTATGTCTAGTAAGGTGAGATGAGTTAGAAAGCAGAGGTTAGAATCTTTTTTGATTCTCAAGTGGTATGCAAGCAAATGAGAGGCAACAGTCTCATTTCCTATTTGTGATAATAGGAATAAAGGTGACAGGTGTGTGTGTGTGTGTGTGTGTGTGTGTGTGTGTGTGTGTGTTTAGGCTTGGGTGGGATGGGGTAGTTAAAAGGAGTGTTCCTTTCTGAAAATCTCTTATCAATACAGTGGTTTTCAAGAATTCCTTTTATACATCAGGATAGGTAAGTGATCCTACAATACAGACAACCTCCTCCTTCCATGAATTTTAGTGGCTTTAAGAAACAGATTTATTCCTTGATCCTGTTACATGTACATTGATGTTTAGTGGGGTATTCTGCTCATCAGAATTACTCAGGGTCCCAGGCTGACAGAGTGCCACCATCTTGAACATTGCCAGTCACTGGAAGGAAAAAGATTGCTCAGAAGGGTTTTGCACCTTTAAATGCTCTAGCCTGGAAGTAATAGTATTCTGATCCATCTGTTAATAACTCATTTGCCAGAACTAGTTATGTGGCCCTATTTAATCGTAAGAGAACCAGGAAGTTCAATCCAAATTGTGTTTTGAGTGTGTGTGTTTTTTATTCCTCACCTGAGGATATTTTTCCATTGATTTTAGAGATTAGAGAGAGAGGGAAAGACAGAGAGAAACATTGATGTGAGAGAAACACATAGATTGGTTGTCTCCTACACGAGCCCTGACCAGGGCTCTGGCCAGGGAGGAGCTTGCAACCGAGGTATGTCCCCTTGACCAGAATTGAACCTGGTACCCTTCAGTCTGCTGACCAACGCTCTATCCACTGAGCCAAACTGGCTAGGGCTGTTTTGTTTTTTGATTGTTAGTTTGTAACAGATCTTAACAATTCAGAAAAGTTCAGGGTAAAGTGTCTGTAAGGTTGCTTCCTGTTAAGTCCCTCTACACTGGGATTAGTATTCCTAAGCCAAGCACACTGGTGGTGGTAGAAGTAATGACTACCACTTATTTATTTATTTAATCCTTACCCAAGCATATTTTTCCATTGATTTTTAGAGAGCGTGGAAGAGGGAGGGAATGACAGAGAGAAATATTGATGTGGGAGAAACACATCGATTGGTTGCCTCTTGCACTTGCCTTGACCAGGGCCCAGGCCAGAGAAGAGCCTGCAACCGAGGTATGTGCCCTTGACCGGAATCCAACCCAGAACCCTCAGTCTGCAGGCTAACACTCTATCCACCGAGCCAAAACAGCTTGGGCTAGTCATCTTTTATTGATGTTATGTGCCAGACATTGCACAAAACCATTTATGTGGATTGTATCGTTTGATCCAGACAACAACCTTAAGAGAGTAGCTGTTATCCCTATTTTACTGGTAAGAAAACAGTCTTCTGTGGCTTTTACGGCAGAGCCAGGATTCCAGTCCAGGGAGTTTGACTCCTTACCTTATACTCCTAACTACTATTCTATTCTGATTTGGGTCCTGAGCACACTTTGTCTTTTTCTTTAGCTTGATGTAGTTTTAGAGACCAATCTGGCAACAATCCGGGTTCTGGAAGCAATACAGAAGAAGCTTTCCCGCTTGTCTGCTGAGGAACAAGCCAAATTTCGCTTGGACAACACCCTTGGGGGCACATCAGAAGTCATCCATCGAAAAGCACTCCAGAGGATATATGCTGACAAAGCAGCCGACATCATTGATGGTCTGAGGAAGAACCCCTCCATTGCTGTCCCCATTGTACTTAAAAGGTATCGAAACAAATGTGCCCTTCGTGCTCTCCTGTGCTTCAGGACATAGTTGGTGTCCCGTTAAATGAAGCTCATTTTTTACCTTGTTATCCCATGAGACCTCCATTTCTCCCCATTCTGGTTATTGAAAGTCAGGTACAGTGTGGGATAGTGGGGCTTCTTAAAACTACACACACACACACACACACAACACTTTACGAATTTGCGTGTCATCCTTGCACAGGGCCCCTGCTAATCTTCTCTGTATTGTTCCAATTTTAGTATGTGTGCTGCCAGATTGAGCATGCTGGTGGAGCTTCTTGATGGGGTTCTGTGTAATCAACAGTAGAGGGCTAACGTTTAAAGTCCATAGTGGAATGCTCTGTGTTTGAGGCCATACTTTAAAGTTTATAAAAGAACAAAGAAGAAAATCACCACCCATGTTCCTGCTGTTCGTTCAGTACTAACCCTTATAACATCTTTGGTTTTTAAAAAGAGACCCTTTGTCTTTATAAAATTCATAAGTATTATTTTAAAAGACTTAAGAGTGCCTTTCTACCAAGAACGTCTTTTTCTTTCTCCTAATAAGCCTTCAGCCTGAGTTGTGGAGGGGCTTTTGTGCCCATCAAAGGAGGGGGCCAGAGCCAGGGCTAAGCCCAGGTTCCTCCAAGTCTGGATCACATTGTGAATCCAAGCTAAGAGCTGGGTCCTCCTCACTCAGTATCACCTGGTGAAAAGGAATTCTTGTCTGCTGCACAGATGCCCCAATTTAGCGTTCCTCCCTAGTCTTCCCCTCAGATACTGCCACAGATTATTTCTCTTTACCAGAAGCATTTAACGTTTAGCTTTGAGATGTAGAACATTCTTCAGTTTCCATGTTGTTTTTTATTTTACTCTCCTCTCCTCTTCTGGAGGGTTAAGATCAGTTCTCATCAGAACTTCCCAAACTGTGTCAAAAGAAACATTACACTACAAGCTCTCTACTCTTGGACTTTTGCATTTATGTTCGCATAGTAAACATTCTTAGAGGTTCTGTACCAAAAAAACTTGTTTAACTTTGTGTTAGCTGGCCAAGGATGAGAATATTTAAGAATATTCCATGGAATGCTGTTTGAGAAATACTGCTCTAAGTAGGATTTCTGACTTTGGGACAGATTACTTCCCCCAAATCCTGAATGAGTAATTTCCTCATGTAACAGAGTTAAAGACTGGTTTGAATAACATTTATCCCAAGTCGCCAATAATTTTGACAGGCCTATCATACCTATCTGTTTATTAAATTTATTGGGGTGACATTGGTCAACATGATCATATAGGTTTCAGGTGTGGGTTAGGTGCTGTTATCCCTATTTCACTGGTACAGCAAAGCCAGGATTCCATTCCAAAGAGTTTGACTTCCACCTGTGTTTCCACCCCACTCCATACCCAACTAGGTTGAAGATGAAAGAGGAAGAATGGCGAGAAGCCCAGAGGGGCTTTAACAAGGTGTGGCGAGAGCAAAATGAGAAATACTACTTGAAGTCTCTGGACCATCAGGGTATCAACTTTAAACAGAATGACACCAAGGTCCTGAGGTCTAAGAGCTTACTCAACGAGATTGAGAGTATCTATGATGAGGTGAGCTGGAAGTTTCTACACCTGTAAGGGGGCTCCAATCTTTGTATAGCTTTGATTCCTAGAAATTACCTTTTTTATATGAAATCGAGACCCTCTAAGACAGTGGTTCTCAACCTTGGCTGCACATTAGAATCACCTGGGAGTCTTTAAAATCCTGATTTCTGGGCCTCACCCTCCGGAAATTCTGTTTCTTTGTTATGGGGAGGGGCCACAACATTAGTAACAAAGAAACAATTTCCGGAGGGTGAGGCCCAGAAATCCAGATTTTAAAGAGATTCCCAGGTGATTCTAATGTGCAGCCAAGGTTGAGAACCACTGCTCTAAGACTTGTTGTTGATTCTTGCTTCATAACTGTCATAGGCTTCTATTCCTGATTCTATCATTTTAACTCTTAACCTTACCTTTCTACCTAAGCTATCTTACTGGTTTCCTAGTTTACCCTCCTGGTTTCAGTTGACAACCCCACTTCTCCCCATTCACTGCTTGAGTACCTTGTATTTGATTGGCTTGCCTCAGCTTCCCACTACTTAAACTCTTCTCACTGATACCAAATTCTTTCTAATCCTCGTTTATTCAGCATACTTACAAAGATTATATGTAGTTCAGGAGCTAGGATACTGTGATGAATAAGAAAATAATCCTATTTTCTTTGAGCTCACAGTCTTAGGGGATGGATAGAGACATAAATGTAGTGTGGTTGAAAATTCCTGGAAGTGATGTGATCTTGAATTTTAAAAAGCTTTTTATTGTGAAAATGTCAAATGTACATGAAAGGGGAGAAAATAATAAAGTGAGCTCTTACATAAATTTGAATAATTATTTCTATTTTGTCAATGTTTTTACATCTAACACTTTCTGCACTTCCACCGCAGAAGTATTTTAAAGTGAATCCTAGATCTCATACTGACTACTTCCTTCATAAATGTTAATTCAGAATTTTAGATTGTCCCAATGTCCCCTATCAGTCTTCAAAGTATAGAAGGTACCAATATTTTGTTCTCAAACCACATCTTCCACATTACCTTATTGTTTCTAGAAGTTTTGGATTGGAAAATAATAGTCACTGTGGTTAATAATTGAATGTACTGATGTGTTGTCTCATAGGTCTGTTGGTTGTTGCTGTGGATATGGCACTTACTACTTTGTATCTCTCTCTCTCCTCTTAGCGGCAAGAGCAGGCTACTGAAGAAAATGCTGGCGTACCTGCTGGCCCACACCTCTCTCTGGCCTATGAAGACAAGCAGATCCTGGAGGACGCCGCTGCCCTGATTATCCACCATGTGAAGAGACAGGCAGGCATTCAGAAGGAGGACAAGTACAAAATCAAGCAGATCATGCATCACTTCATTCCAGATCTGCTGTTTGCTCAGAGGGGTGATCTCTCGGATGTAGAAGAAGAGGAAGAAGAAGAGATGGATGTAGATGAGGCCACAGGGGTGGCTAAGAAGCACAATGGGGTTGGGGGCAGCTCCCCTAAGTCCAAGCTACTGTTTAGTAACACAACAGCACAGAAGCTAAGAGGGATGGATGAAGTGTACAACCTCTTCTATGTTAACAACAACTGGTACATCTTTATGCGACTGCACCAGATTCTTTGCTTGAGACTTCTGCGGATTTGTTCCCAAGCAGAACGGCAGATCGAAGAAGAAAACCGAGAAAGGGAGTGGGAGCGGGAAGTGCTGGGCATAAAGCGAGACAAGAGTGACAGTCCTGCCATTCAGCTCCGTCTTAAAGAACCTAGTGAGTGCCTAGACTGCTGGTTTACAGAAGATGTGTTCACAGAAGATGTGAGGGGTTGGTGACCTTGGGGCCTAGTTAGACTCGGGACTTTCCTTTTATACATGGGGCACAGGCAGGCTTCAGAGGAGTTCAAATCCTAGTTCTGCAACTTACTGGTTGTGTGACCTTACTTAACACTCTGAACCTGTGCTACTTGTTACTTTATGAGGTTGTTGGGAGAAGTGAAGAAAATATGCAAACCACCCTTTACAATGCTTGGATTGTGGACACTTGACACCCGCAGGGGATGACAGTTGCCATCAGTTTCCCAAATGGCAGATCTTTGGGTTATTACAAAGAATTTCAAAGGACAGAGAGAGACAAAAACCCAGTTGGCTCCACTGCATGACAGAGCATAAATTCCTAGTGGTTCATGCCTAAGACAGTTGGGAATTTTCTGATGTGTTTGGGCAGTACTTCTCTTTAACCAGAGGGGTTCGTGGCTCATTCCTAATAAAGGAGAAGGGGGTATGGAAAGGAGACTGGAACTCAAGAGATGGTGTGAGCCAGCAGAATAGGCAAAACAGAAATGAAGATCGAGAACCAAGAAAAGGAAAATAAATAGGGGTTAAGGAAGCCATCCCTCATGTGCTTTAAGTAATTCTGTGCCACCTATTTGTAGATAACTGTTCAGTTCATAAATTAAATACTTGAGGTGTGAGCCAAAATCTTTTTCGTGAAGCCTTTCTCCGGTGCCTTTGAGGAAATAGCCAATCTGTGGAGCAAATTAGCTTTTCTTTTTTTTAACTGTTGCTAATGTAAGAAGCCCATGTGTGGTTCTCGCCTTCAATCTGTTGAAGAGCTAATGACCCTGGGAATTCTAAAAACCTTTATCTGGATTAATCCTAGCTTGACAGACAAGTTTTGGACCTCAGTGTGGTGATTCCACCTGCTTGGGTAGAAATAAAGAGAAAATGGCCTAATCCTGGCTTGACCACTGACTTATCTTGGCTTGAGGCTTACATAGTTTGGTCTTGAGTGACAATGCCAGCTTCACTGATCATAGCTCATGTGCATTTGCACATTGTTTTATTCTGGCAGAACAGCATTTTTTCATGGCACTAGCATGGCTCATGCCTATGCTGTCGCTCTGAACAAGGTGATGCTCTAATGAAACTCAAGCCAGTTGCTGCTCTTAAACAGTAATTGTCCTGTTTTGCTTGTCTTGAATGAGTCCATCACACTGCAGATAAATGGACTCAGCTTTTGCTCTTAGCCTTTTTGCCCCAGTATATACTTTACAAACTGGTGACCAAATGTCATTTTAGTGAAAGCTTTCTTTTTTTTTTTAAATATATTTTATTGATTTTTTACAGAGAGGAAGGGAGAGGGTTAGAGAGTTAGAAACATCGATCAGCTGCCTCCTGCACACCCCGTACTGAGGATGTGCCCGCAACCAAGGTACATGCCCTTGACTGGAATCGAACCTGGGACCCTTCAGTCCGTAGGCCGACACTCTATCCATTGAGCCAAACCTGTCAGGGCAAGTGAAAGCTTTTTATTGAAGTGTAACACATACTGAAAAGCATACAAATCCAAATTGTATAGCTCAGTGAACTTTTATAAAGTGAACACACCTGTGTAACCAGTACCTAGATCAAGAAACAACACACAACCAATATACCAGTAGCCTCCTCATGCCTCTTTCAAATCTGCATGTTTTTGAGCCTTGTGTAAATAAATGGGTCTTATTTTAGTAAGCTGCAGTCAAGAGTCCTTTCACCATTCCTGTGAACTCTGGTAGTTTCCAACGTCTCTGTCACAACTGATAAAATTCCAGCTGGTGGCAGAAGTGGTTCATGTACAGCACAAATCACTGTGCAATTTGTGAAGTACAACATTGGGAATCCATTTTGAAACAAAAGGACTTTGACAGATGCAGATGACTTTATTATTCATAGAGGATTTAATTTGCTCACCCTTTATTCTGTTCCTGAGGGTTTCCCAATGCTAGAGTGTGACTCTATCTGCTTTTCTCATCTGTCCCTCTATGTTTCATGGAAATAGCTTGGTGAGCAAGTGACTCATGTGAGGAATGCTCTTCACAGGCGGGGGTTGGGGTGGGAGGGTGGTGATAGTTTTCTCTCAGCAGGGGAGCCAACAACTTTTTGAAGAAACTTCTTCCCTAGGATATTTTGCTCTCTTATACAGAGCCCAGCCTGTCACTAAGTGTCTTTCTGGCATGGTCAGAGTTCTGGAAGCTGCTGGTGAAGTTGCAGAATCACTGCCCTCTGATAGAGCTGCTGATTGTAGCTGCCTGTCAGATTGTGTTTCTGCAGATTGAGGAGGCATGCTTTGAGTATCTAGGGTTGGTTTATTCAGTGCTCCTTAGGCCATCTCTGGGACCTGCCCTGCCTGCTCTCCTGATCTTTTCCTAGCAGGGTAAAGCCTCATCTGTCCCATCTCTCCCACAGTGGATGTTGATGTAGAAGATTATTACCCAGCTTTCCTGGATATGGTGCGGAGCCTGCTGGATGGCAACATTGACTCATCACAATATGAAGATTCACTGCGAGAGATGTTCACCATTCATGCCTACATTGCCTTCACCATGGACAAGCTCATCCAGAGCATCGTCAGACAGGTGAGGGCGAGGGTGAGTACAGGAAGATAGCCTTGCCTAAAGATGGACCAGGCACAAAGAAAGGGTTTATAATGATGCTTATGTACGAATGCTTCTATAGAGGGGAGAGGAAGTGAATGTGCTGTGGGGATATCTCCCGTTAACAAAGTGGCAGCACTTCAGCCACATAACTGACTCCTCTGCTTTGCTCAGTGTGCCCTCATAGTCGGATGAGCCTGCCTCACACCTGATGTTTGGCTCTTTCTTGCTGGCTGGCTGTTGAGCCAGCATTGGTCCCGACCCTGATCTCTGCCCAGGAGGCCCAGCTCTGTTCTCGTCTACCAGGGGTGAGCTCTCTGCTGGTAGCCTTTTCTCTTCTATAGGTGTTGGTAATTCTATATACTTTCTTCATTTAATATTTGAAGTTCTTTTTACAGAAAGGGTTTCATAGATCATCTCTCTGAGTTAGGTTTGTGGCTTGTTGCTGTGGCACCCTGGGTGTTTGTAAATATGTTTGATGTTCTCTATTGCAATGATAATTTTATAGCAAATAGTATACATTATGCCTTGAGTTCTCAACTTCCAAAGGGAGTGTGTAGTTGGTGCACTACTATCTTTAAAGTGAAAATTTGCCCTAGTTGGTTTGGCTCAGTGTATAAAGCGGCACACCCCCACGCCCATCCCCTCCTGAAGGGTCCCAGGTTTGATTCCAGTCAAGGGCACGTACCTCAGTTGCTCAATCCCCAGCTGTGGTTGGGGTGCATACAGGAGACAACCAATTGATGTGTCTCTCTCACATCGATGTTTCTCTCTGTGTCTTTCTCTCTCCCTTCCACTCTCTCAAAATCAATAGAAAAATATCCTTGGGTGAGGATTAACAAAAAATAAATAAAGTGAAAACTTATAAAAAGCAAAAAGATAATTCTAAAGTCTACACTGCCACTATGGAAAGAAAAGTTTGTTGCTCCACTGTTTCCTTGGGGTAAAGTATGAAATCCTTTGTAGAGTACCCATGACTCTGCATCCCTCCCATAGCAGCTTCTCAGAGTCAGGGAAAACGCTTCTCAATTTTGGCATCTTCACGAAAGTTATCAAGCAGACAGTTTTTTCCTGAAAGTTGAAGAAGTTATTAGGCCTTTCCTTAAGAGGTCTATATCATGACTGGCAGAAATCATTGTATGGATATAATTAGCTATGGTCATAATTTTTGAGAGACTAACCCTGTTAACATCCCCTAAAAGTTGTCATATGCTTATTTTTCTGCTTACAAGTTAGTTTGCTGCTGCTACAGCTAGGAGTAACGTCATTAAAACTAACTTTTTATAAGCCAAGATTGGTTTTTTTTGAAACAATAAATATAATTAGTTCATTTACTAGAAGCACCAGGTTATGATTTTGAGTCAATAATACATAACATTTAATCCTTTTATATGGAAACAGGTTTCATCCAGAAACCCTAATTCAATATGTTGAAAATCTGTGTTCATGGTTCTCATCTTAACCCCTCAATTGAAGGCATATCTTCTCTCATTCACCTCATCTCACTTGGTATTCTCCCTAAGTTCATTCCTGACTGGAGGTAGAACATATATTTCAGGGTCAATCCATACATTTATCTTACCATTTCCAGGCTAGTTTAAGAGGGATTTGTTTTAGGAATAAAATAGATAGCTAGTACAGAACTCAGTATATGCCCAGATCACATAGGAATTGGATTGGGACATTTCCCCCTCTTGCCTGAATGCTTTTTTTCTAGACATCTGTTTCATTCTAATGCTTTTCTCTGCAAATGAACATTGGATCCTCAACCCCCATTCCACCTACCACCAGCCTTGGCTTTCCATGGCAGTGCCTCTGACCCAAACATTACCTGATATTTCCATCCAGATGCTCTTCTGTCTACCATGCACACTTACTGTGCCATTTCAGATTAGCAGGAGTGAGAATCTGACCAGCCTAGCTTGGGTGTGGAGTTATCTAGTTGTCCTTGAATTATAGTGATGCCCTTTCCAAAGACTCTAGAAGGGGCCAAATATCCAAGAACAGAGTAGGAATGGGGAGTTAGTGACCTGGTCTACTTTAACAAGAAGGTACCCTATATAACAAAAGGTTAATATGCTAAGTGTCCGACTGTTCGACTGGTAGCTATGATGTGCATTGACCACCAGGGGGCAGACGTTCAGTGCACAGGCATGGAAACATGGAACAGACTGATGAATCACAGAGGGGAGAGGGAGGGGAGAGTGCAGGAAGAGATTAACCAAAGATCTTATATGCATACTAGAGGCCCAGTGCACCAGTGGGGTCCCTCGGCCTGGCCTGCAGGGATTGGGCCAAATCCATGCACCAGGCCTCCGACATCCTCCAAGGAGTCCCAGATTGCGAGAGGGCGCATGCCAGGCCTAGGGACCCCACCAGTTCATGAATCCATGCACCGAACCTCTAGTAAAGTATAAGTGTCAACATGGTAGAGACCATGCTTTGAATATATTTTCTTTAAGCTGCTTTTTTTTCTCTCTAAAACACTATCTTAAGCTTTCCTCTATGTTATCAAGTTGTCATAAGCATTATTTTAATTCTCCATTAGAATCAGTTGTCTGTACTAATTGTTATTATTTAATCATCTCCAATTGTGGCTTTTTAGACTGCCCTCAAATCATTCACCCTCTGACCTTGCACTGTGTTTATTTATGTACAAATACACATACTTGTTATTTAAGACTTTTAAAAATAAGTAGTTGTTATAGTTACTAGCCCTTCAAAAGGAACACACCTTCCTAAAAATAGAATGGCTTAGTAGTTATGAGAATTTTAAAATAAAATAGACAAGCTGATATTGCAGTTAACTTTTTGCTTTCTGCTTTATCTGTTTCTTTTGTTTTTAACATTCTCTGGCATTGTAATGGGTAGTTTTATTTGAGGAAATTTTTATTTCACAATGGAAGTATTGCCATGATTCATGGAAATGTAAACTGAAAGATTCAACTTTCTAGTCATCAGATAATTTAATAAGATAGTCACAAAAGTTAGCAGTAGTCCATCATGATTGACCTGTTTTGAAATGAGTTAATTAACATTATATATAATTTAAGTACTATATTTTATCAGATTTAGAAAAATAGGTGGTTAGGAAGAATATTGGTCCTAGGGGTCAGAAAGCTTGAATGTTAGTCCTGACTCTGCTCCTTCAGCTGAGGCCCTTGGCAGTTAATTCAGCAACAGTTTCTTAAATACTTAATGAGTTTCAGACTTTGTATTAGGGCTGGGGATATAGACATGGATCTTGCTTTCATGGTTCTCGAAGGTCCCTCTCCTCACCTTGGGTACACAGTGAGTTTTATTATCAAACATGTAAATTTGTCTCATGTATCAGAACACCCCTCTCCAGACTCTTCCGAAGGTAGTTGTGGATCAAGTGAGAATATGTATGAAAGCAAGTTGTAAATGGTAGAGAAGTGCCCTAAAAATAGGCGTCCATGGGAATTTTCTTTCATGTAAAAAAATTTTTTCAAGTTCCTTAAAACTTTATTAAATAGGTAGCACATTAATAACCATTATCTGTAGTTTTGCTTTTATTTATTTATTTTTAAAAATACATTTTATTGATTTTTTACAGAGAGGAAAGGAGAGGGATAGTTAGAAACATCGATGAGAGAGAAACATCAATCAGCTGCCTCCTGCACACCCCATACTGGGGATGTGCCCGCAACCAAGGTACATGCCCTTGACCGGAATCGAACCTGGGACCCTTGAGTCCGCAGGCCGACGCTCTATCCACTGAGCCAACCCGGCTAGGGCTGTAGTTTTGCTTTTAAATATATATGAATATTCTACTCATGGACCGGTGATATGGCTGAAGATTTTGGCTTAGTTATTCTCCAAGAAAAAAATAGTAATGGTTTTGTGTGACTGATTTTTAAAAATTACCAATTCCCAAAACCTCTTTTTGAGCTGAGTGACTGGAACTATCAAAGAAAGGTTGAGTGTATGACAAGGAGAAGTATTTTCTTGATTCATTGTCTAGTTGCCTTTGCTTGATTCCAGCTGCAGCACATTGTGAGTGATGAGATCTGTGTGCAAGTGACTGACCTTTACCTGGCAGAAAACAATAATGGGGCTACTGGAGGCCAGCTGAACACACAGACTTCGAGGAGTCTCTTGGAGTCAGCATATCAGCGGAAAGCCGAACAGCTCATGTCAGAGGAGAACTGCTTTAAGGTGAGAGTTACTCATGTAGTCAGTAACTGTGCTGGTAACAGGGGAAGTTGTTGGGATCATCTCTACCAGAAATCAAAGAGCAGAGTGTTTTGACTCTGTGATTCCACTGCTGGAACCTCCTTAGAGTTCCTGTGAGCTCACTGGAGAATATACAAAAAACATGGGAAAATAGAAGTAAAGTCTCCTATGGACTTTCTTGCCTTAATAAAAAATTGCTTGTTTTATATGATTTTTATAATTTTGTCTTCTGCTTTTCTTTGAATGTTTTTTCATATGATAGTGTTTTGTAAGTATATTGTTTTAAAATGTTTAAAAATGTAATCCTTTATTGTTGTAGAAAAGATAAGAAATGCAGAGAAAAGAAAAATTGGCTACAATTCTTCCCAGAAATAATCATTGATTACATTTCTAGAATATATATATCTGTAAGTTGTTTTTGCGCAATTAGCAATACCTGTGAGTCTTCAGCATCTTTTTGTAACTATTTGATATTTCATGCCTGCCTTATTTGACAACCTGAGTTGTTTCCAGTTTTCCATCATTGTAATAGCTGATTTGAAAAGTATATCGCTGGAAACAGCCTAAATGTCCAACCCACTATGGGAGTGGTTAATGGTACTCTATTGTATAAATACTTGGATGGCATATTTTGCAGCCCTTTAAATTAATTATAAATTATAAAAATATTGAAGCAAATAAAAGGATACAAAAGTATGTGTATTATGATTGCAGCAATGTAATAAATATGTATAGTTGAGCAAAGCCTGTATGTGTTTACACACAAGAAGGGCAGGGTCAGGTGATGCAGATTAAGGTTTGTGATTGGCTGAACAGGGAAGAAAGCTAAGTAACAGTTTGCTCTATTTGGGTATGTTCCATATAGTTTAATGATCCGACTCCAAATGTTTTACTTTTTTGTCTACTTCTACTTTCAGTTGTTTTCGTTTCTAATTCAGTACCAGTAATGTTTGCTTAATTTAGAATCAAAAATGGGAAGCAAGTTTTTCAGTTCAGTCCTCAGATCTGATGTTCTAATAGCTGAGAACCTTCCCACTACAGAAGAGATTCCCTAAGCTTTTCAGGGTTTAAATCTATAAATGTTTGTTATGAGCTTGCTGTGTGTTAGTTTTGATGGTGAAACAGAATTAGCCTCCCCGCCCATTAAGAGTTTAAACAGGGTATTAAATTGTGGCCAAGGCCTTATGAAGGATTGGACAGATTCGCCCTATAGATAAGAATAATTATCAGGGGGAATAGCAGGAAGAAAGGCTTTGTAGCCAGGAAAATGGTGTCACTACAGTGATCCTCTTCTTTAAAATGTTTACTAGTACATAGAGAATAAAATTTAATATGTTAGCAGTAAGCTAAACATAAGCAGCCCTTTAAACCCTCTGCTGCCACTCCCCACCCACCTTCAGCCTCCTCTCCCTTTATTTTTCCTATGTACATTCTACATTCAGGCTTTTTAACTATCTATGTTCCTTCAGACCCTTTTCTGTGCATTTACATACAGGTGTATGTATATGTAGAAACAAATATTAGATTGTGCATATTCTACATCCTGCTTTTTTTCCACTTAGTATGTCTTAGAATTGCTTATTTTGGTTTATGTAGATCCAGCTCAGTTTTTTTCACCTGCTGTATCATACTTAATAATATAAATGTACCATATTTTTTAAAAAAATCATTCTTTTATGGGTGAGCATTTAAACTGTTTTTTTGTTTTGTTTTGTTTTGTTTGTTTTAACTATCTCAAATAGGGCTACATTGAACAGCGTTTTCGTGTATTTGTATCCTTGTGTGCATGTGTTAGTATTTACCTTGGGTAGAGACAAAAAAGTGAAATTATTTGGTCAAAGGGATACATATTTTAGATTTTTTATTTATTTATTTATTTATTTATTTATTTTTATTTTATTTTTTATATATATTTTATTGATTTTTTACAGAGAGGAAGGGAGAGAGAGAGAAAGTCAGAAACATCGATGAGAGAGAAACATCGACCAGCCGCCTCCTGCACATCCCCCACCGGGGATGTGCTGGCAACCCAGGTACATGCCCTTGACCGGAATCAAACCTGGGACCTTTCAGTCCGCAGGCCGACGCTCTATCCACTGAGCCAAACCGGTTTCGGCTAGATTTTTTATTTTAATGGATATTGTCATTTCTCCAAAATGTTAGGCTGTACCAGTGTACACTTGCATAAGAGCATTGATTTCCTTGGTCAATTGGTTTATCAAACTTTTTTTATTTTTTTCCAGTTAGAATTAGCGGTTCTCAACCTGTGGGTCGCTACCATCAGAAAACACATATAGCATATCAGATATTTACATTATGATTCATAACAGTAGCAAAATTGCAGTTATGAAGTAGCAACGAAAATAATTTTATGGTTGGGGGTCACCAAAACATGCGGAACTGTATTAAAGGGTCGCGGCATTAGGAAGGTTGAGAACCACTGAAGATGGTTAGAAAATTACTTAAATTCACATTTCCCTGTTTCCTACTTTTGCCCTACTATGTATTCCTTATTCATACATTTCACCTTTTTTTTGGGGGGGGGGGGTGTAGTTCTTTTTATGTACTTATTAAAATACAGTTGTCTCTGTCATAATTTCTCTGAAATTGGATTGATCTTCTTTATCCTTCAGTGCCCAGCTGAGGGTCCCTTCAGTGAAGTGTGAAATCTTTCTCAGCTCACTGAAGAGGGAATTATTTATTTCCACAGCATATTGCTCATGTCTCTAAAATAGTACCTTTGTGGTTACTTAGTTGTAATTTAAATATAGCTGCTTATATTCCTATTTACTTTACTAAATTAATCTTCTCCAAAGAAGAAATTACGTTCTCTTTTGAGCGTGCCCCTGTGTTATGCAAAGTGCTGAGGTCCCAGAAAATCTCAGGTATTGTTTGTGGATTCCAAAGAAATGGTTAGCTCTGAAAGACATGGGTTTATTAGGACTTACGTGCTGACCAGTGAAGTTTACTGCTGCACCGGCTACTGCCAAAGAAGCTGTCCCATGAAGTCCCTATGGGGGTAGCTGGTCGGTGCTGTTGTTTTTGCCACCACCCAGACTTTCCCAACACAGGTTTTATAGAATACAGAAAACAGAGAAACAGGGCATGCAAGGGGGAGGAGCATATGCACAAGATTTGTGAAATTGAAACACTAGCTGTTTCTAATCCAGGCTGACATCTAGAAGCCGCTTCTCTTTGACCTTTCTTAGACTGAGTTGCTAGCCAGGTTCCCAAGGTCGCACAGTCTGCTTACAGATGGCCTTCACTATTATTCCCACAGGGTGGGAGGGGGAATTGGAGCATGGAACCATGTTCCCATTTACCATATATCCTGTCTGTTAAGTAGTAACATTCAGTAACTGTGTGTTGAGTAAATGAAGTATAGGGAGGATATTGGTGGAAGAGGCATGTAGACAGGGGGGGTCCAAGTGGTAGAGGATCTTTAGTAAGTAAATGGTTTGGATTTTCTTGTGGTTGATGAACAGTGAGGCATTATTAAGGACTAAATATCCCACTGGATTTGAATTTTCAGGAAGACAGTTTGGTAGCACTGATTAAGAAGATGTGGACTAATCAGAGGCCAGTTTACTCCTGGAGGCAGTTAACCAAATTTGGGTGATAGGTGTGAGCAGTCTAATAATGAAGCTAGTTAAGGCTTGGAGAGTGGTTACAGAGGTGAGGGAGGTGGGTAAACACATGCGTAAGGGCCTAGCAAGAGAGGATACAGGTGGAGGAGCCTGTTGGGATAAAATTGAGTTCAATTTTAAGCATGTAGAGCAGTGGTTCTCAACCTTGACTGCACATTAGAATCACCTGGGAATCTTTTTAAAATCCTGATTTCTGGGCCTCATCCTCCGGAAATTCTGTTTCTTTGTTACTAATGTTGTGGCCCCACCCCATAACAAAGAAACAGAATTTCCGGAGGATGAGGCCCAGAAATCAGGATTTTAAAAAGATTCCCAGGTGATTCTAATGTGCAGCCAAGGTTGAGAACCACTGATGTAGAGAATAGACTGCCTACTCAATATCACTTTGAAGGTGATTTCTTTAGAGCAATAGGACTAATCTAGACACTCTAGGACAGCCGTTGGCAAACTACGGCCTGCGGGCCGGATCCGGCCCGTTTGAAATGAATAAAACTAAAAAAAAAAAAAAAGACCGTACCCTTTTATATAATGATGTTTACTTTGAATTTATATTAGTTCACACAAACACTCCATCCATGCTTTTGTTCCGGCCCTCCGGTCCAGTTTAAGAACCCATTGTGGCCCTCGAGTCAAAAAGTTTGCCCACCCCTGGTCTAGGATCATCCTAGTGACAGGGGTTTAGCATAGTCCTGGAGGCAGTGTTTCTTCACATCTATTTTAGAAGTAACTTCGTTTGTGTTTGTGTATGTATTATGTTCTTGTCATGTTTTAAATTTGACTAGCAGATAAGAATTTCTAAAGCTTCTCCAGAACAAATCAGGAACCATAGCTGGCTTCTAGTCCTGCTTATTTACTCTCTGAATTTTAGGGTTTTTTTTCTGTGTAAACCAAGGAGGTTGAAATAAATTATTCTCAAGTTTCCTTTTAAGTGCTGATCTTCCATGTGATTTGAATCATGACCTTGTCTGCAGCAATCCCTTAGGGTAAGGACAGTGAGAGTCCTAGGGTTTTTGAAAGGGGAGATCCATGTGCCATCATCATTTGATAGTTCTTTTGTGCAGCACATGACTTGCTTTTGAAGAACTTCCAATATGACTGATACTATTATAGCAGATCACTTCTAAATACTTCAGTGTTTTGTGTTCCTTACCCCCATGGTGTGTGTGATACCTCAGGTAATCTTTATTGCAGTGGAAATGCAGTTGCTCCTCTTGGTTGTGTTCATGTTTTCATCTTCACTTTGTTTGAGAAGGTTCCTTCTTTTTTAAAACTAGAGGCCCAGTGTACGAATTCATGCACCAGTGGGGTCCCTTAGCCTGGCCTGCAGGATGGGGCTGAAACCGGCTCTCTTTCCCCTGAAGGGTCCTGGATTGCGAGAGGGCACAGGCCAGGCCAAGGCACCCCACTGGTGCACAATCAGGGCCAGGGAGAAACGTGGGAGGTTGGCCAGCCAGGGAGGGACCGAGGGAGGGCTCCAATGCGTGTCTGGCCCCTCTTGCTCAGTCCCGATCAGCCAGACCCCAGCAGCAAGCTAACTTACCGGTTTGAGCGTCTGTCCCCTGGTGGTCAGTGCACGTCATAGCAAGCGGTTGAGTGGCCTCAGCATATCATTAGCATATTACGCTTTGATTGGTTGAACGGCCAACCAGTCAACCAGACACTTAGCATATTAGGCTTTTATTATATAGGATACTATAGACTTGTTTACATCTTTGTGTTAAGTCCTAGAAATGGGATTATCAAGTGAAATGGCTTTGACATTGTATAGTTCTGGCTTTAAAGCACTCTTATTGACATTGATTATTCTAGATAATTTAAGAAGTATGAAATATAAAATGGTGCTTTTTGCACTAACATTTCATTTTCCTGGTAGCGAGATTAAACTTTTGCCTTTTTAATCACCTGCCTCCTAAGTTTTTGTCTTCCTCATTTCTTCCATTGGAACAGAGTTGTATGACTTTATTGCCTCTCAACCCTTAAGAAGCTGGGTTATAGCTTTGGAGATGGTCTTTTGTTTACACTCAGGTTTCTTATTTGCAGCTTATGTTCATTCAGAGCCAAGGCCAGGTTCAGCTGACTATTGAGCTTTTGGACACAGAAGAGGAGAACTCAGATGACCCTGTAGAAGCAGAGGTATGACAAGTATATTGCAGAAGCTTTGCTGAGGGAGCGGTCATGTCCTGTGAGACTCCTCATTGATTGTCTTCTAGAAGGCCAAGACAGCCATAGGTCTGCTTAAGGGTCAGATCCTGATGCTCTTTAAAGAACAGATCATTTCAGCCATGTCTTCAGCTGAGGAGAAGGGCTATCTGGAGTTGCTATTTGGGGTTGATGGCAGTCTTAGCTACTCTCAGTAAAGCCATCTCCTCTGAGGAAAACCTCATGATTGGCACCTTTCCTGTTTTTGTCCTAAAGTGTAAGAAACAACAAATGAAGTGGCATCTGCCCTATTTCATCTTGATTTTTTGTGTCATGTTTACTTTTTATTGGGTTAGATGAAGCTAGGAGTTCTCAACCTCCACAGAGTAGACAGAGTGAGTTGATTATCATAGCTGGGTCTAACTGGTAATATTAATGAGGATGTAAGCCACATGTATGATGTTGGGGGAATATGGAAGGGAGACTGTTGTTTTGTGGGAATATTGGCTTATGGTTGCCAAATCATTAAATTTTTTTAAAGAGATGCCAGAAGTCCGGATTTTAATGTGAAAGATACTGATTTTTAAACATTTGCCACTAATATTTTATTTAACAAAAATGCTCTGTGAGGAAATAAAACTTGTGAATAAACCATCTGATACATATTTATGACTTCTGGTAACTTTTAAGTATCTGGGAGAAACTGGGTTTTGCTATCTAATGCAGTGACTTTCAACTGGTTTGTCACAAAAATTTCTAAAACATGCAATACCTATTTAGTTAGGAGCACTAACCTCTCCCTTTAGATTGTCAAATAAAAAAATGACAGCCAATATAATAATAGCTGTCTGGTGTGACTGAATCAAAATTATACCTAATTTTTTTTTTTTTTTGTCATATTGGCAAAGAATACATTGGTGTGCCACAGAATTGTAATTTTTATTTTTTTATTTTAATCCTCACCTGAGGATATATATTTTTTTTAGGGAGGGGGGATATAAAGAGAGCAAAACTTTAATTTTTTTTTTTAATATATTTTATTGATTTTTTACAGAGAGGAAGGGAGAGAGATAGAGAGTTAGAAACATCGATGAGAGAGAAACACCGATCAGCTGCCTCCTGCACACCACCCAGTGGGGATATGCCTGCAACCAAGGTACATGCCCTTGACCGGAATCGAACCTGGGACCTCCCAGTCTGCAGGCCGACGCTCTATCCACTGAGCCAAACCGGTTTCGGCAAGAGAGCAAAACTTTGATGTCAGAGGAACATCGATTGGTTGCCTCCCATATGCACTGGATCGGGAAGTGAACCCACAACCTTTTGGTATACAGGATGATGCTCCAACCCACCCACCCTGCCAGAGCATGTGCCACAGAATCTTGGTAATTAGTTTATGTGTGCCATGAATGAAAAAGGTTGAAAATAGCTGATCTAACAGACTTTCAAAGCTGTGTTTCAATACCAAGTAGCAAGCATGTCATTGTGGGAACATACCTTTTTTATCTTGAAATTTTAGGAATTTTAGACATTTTAGTCATATAATTTGCTGATGAGGGAGGATAGAGCTCAGGTTTTTGCTCTCTCCCCACTACTGGTTTGTGTTTATAATCCTAGCGCTGGTCAGACTATGTGGAGCGATACATGAATTCTGATACTACCTCTCCTGAGCTTCGTGAGCATCTAGCACGGAAACCAGTATTTCTCCCAAGGTAAGTGAACCAACTCATGCATTGGCAGGATACACTTGTGCATAGTTAAGCAACAGGAAGTTAAATGTCTTTTCAGATTCTTGTTTTTCACTTACTCTATTCATTGTTCTTTCTGCTGAGGGCACTAATCAAGGTTTGTGTTGCTGTTAAAACAGAAGCTTACCTGGAGCTCGTGCCAAAGCATCAGAGAAGTGAGAGTCTTAGATAATCAGTGACAATTTACTTCCCTTATTACATCGGATGTGTAAAAGGACACAAAGCTAAATCAGCAAAGGGAAAGTCATCTGTGACAAAGTCAGAGAAAGCCAGGCAAAAGCTTCCCAGAATCCTCTTCCATTGGAGTCATACAGGACACTGAATTCCTCCAGCAATGAATTGTGACAATCTGTTTGAAATGCTGTCTACCAAGGAAGCTCATTAGATTCTCTCTCAGTGCCATAGTTTTTTATTGGGTGCTAGTCATGTAGGCACCTTCTGCCTAGCATATACCAGAATTCCAGATTTCCAGAAGGAAAGCCACATTTTCAGCATAAGCTATATATTTTGAGCAAACAGCTTACATAGAGAGAGCCACTCTTATCATTTAGGGAATGGTGGAAACTCCCAAAATCCAATATCCCAAGGGACAGTTGTGTAAGCAGGCCTCTCAAAGGATAGCAATCTTAGACCTGCTTTGTTAACTCTCTTCACAGAATCTTTTTAATTCACCCTGCCCATGTGTAGGCAGATTGTAATGCTGGTCCTCTATCTGAGGTTGAAGAAGAGTTTCAAAAGTAGAAAGTAGGTTTTGCTATAGTAGACGGGCTTTCTTCCTTCCCCAAATTAAAATCTTGCCAAAATTTGAATTGAAATCTCATGCCTTACATTTCCAGAAAGATGTTATCCCATTACAGTAGGTCCTCGGGTTATGTCAGAGATCCGTTCCTATGGCGAGATGTAACGCGATTTTCACCATAAGTTGGAACCCACCTACATAAACACCTATGTCACTCACATGGAGCACATACACAGCAGTAATGAAGTGAAACAGTAAAAAAAAATTTTAAAGAAAGATAACAATTCCTGACCTTTACTTGTGGTAAATAAATAATAAAAAACATAAAGCATATATATACATATGTCAAAATGACGGAACTGGGGTGTTTTTTTTTTTTTGGTGTTTTTTTTTTTTTAATAAATAAATGGGAGATGGTGACGTAACCACGAAACGATGTACATCAAGTCCGACGTAACCCGAAGACTGTGTATTATAGGCAGGGAGAGATATAAATTGATACAATCATTCTGGGGTCAGAGCTGTTCATGTATGGGACCTTTACCGTAGAACTTTGGTTTCTAATAATTCGCCTTAATAGCTAAGGTTCTCAGTGTTTTTGGCTTTGAAACCTCTTCACTTTTAGAGATTGAGTACCTCCAAAAGCTTTTGTTTAGATGGATTATATCTAGTAACATTTACCACATTAGAAATTAAAACTGAGAATGTTTAAAAAGTTAATGAATTCATTTTAAAAACAATAATACTAAACAGGTTATGTTATCAGAAATCTATATATATAAAAGGCTAAGTGACTGATTGACCAGCTGGTTGGCCGGTACATATGTCGTGCACTGGCAATTTAAAAATAAATGTTGACTCGCGCTGGTGTGATACATGTAAAGCTCTCACTGGCGTCAATCACTTGTGACACCATAATGTATATGAAGACCAACTATTGGCACAATGTACCTCTGACACTGAAAGAAAGCGATGTCATTGACAGAATATTTCTGAAGACCAGCTATTGGCACAACGTGCCTCTGAAGCCAAAAGAAAGCAATGTTGTCGACAGAATATTGTTTACTAATGAAGTTATATATTCTTCTCATATACATTTTACTAATTTTTTTCATCTCTGACACTTCTATTATAGAGAAAGGGTGAATGGTGATATTAAAATATTTTGTATTTTAATTTTATAGTACTGTATTGTATACTAGAGGCCCAGTGCACGAATTTGTGCACGGGTGGGGTCCCTCAGGGTGGCCTGCAGGATTGGGTCGAAACCGGCAGTCCAACGCCGTCTGCCACTCCTGCCTGCTGCTCCCGCTCATCCCGGCCCCACTGCTCCTGCCGCGGGCTTGCGTCCAGTCAGTCCCAATCAGGAGAGGCTCTGGTGGCCACAGCAGCGCTTACCAGCTGTGAGCCCTGCATCTGGGTGCCCATCCCAAGGGGGGGGTGTGGGGGGATGGAATGCGATCGGCCCTCCGGCCAGGCAGTGGTACGCCCTTGCCGGGATCCAGATACATCCGTTGACATTCATGCCAGTTGTTGGGAGCCACCTAGCGACCACTTTTATATCATTTCTTCCTTGCGGAGTGTCTAGGGAGGGGAAGCGGCCACGGTGCCTGAGGCCAACTTTAGGAGGCTGGCGGTACTGTAGGGATTGTGCTAGTGGTGTCAGTCCGTCAGTGCCGGTCCGTCAGTGCCTGTCCTGTTCTCTGGAGATTGGACCTGCAGAACTACTGAGGGAGTGAGTGGCTGCCACCAGGCTGGTGAGCCGCCAGGATGGGTCGGTCAGCTGAGCGGCACTCCCACTGTGGGAGCGCACTGACCACAAGGGGGCAGCTCCTGCATTGAGCTTATGCCCCCTGGTGGTGAGTGTGCGTCATAGCAACTAGTCATTCGGTCGCTTAGGCTTTTATATATGTAGACAGTATTTTGACATGTAATTTTTTTGCAGTAATGTAATGTATGAATCCTTCTTCTAATTAATTTCCTTTCAATGTGCACAAATCTGTGCACTGAGCCAGTAGTAGTTTTATAATACAAAGCTATTCCAGCCCTGACTGGTTTGGCTCAGTGGATAGAGCCTCAGCCTGCGGACTCAAGGGTCCCAGGTTCAATTCCAGTCAAGGGCATGTACCTTGGTTGGGGGCACATCCCCAGTAGGGGGCGTGCAGGAAGCAGCTGATCAATGTTTCTCTCTCATAGATGTTTCTAGCTCTCTATCCCTATCCCTTCCTCTCTGTAAAGAATCAATAAAATATATTTTTTTAAAAATAAAAATAAATAAATAAAAAGCTATTCCAAACAAAAATAAGTGAAAGAGTGGCATTGCATTACAGTTTTGCAAAACTTTTTTATGCCTGGCTTAATAGAAGAACAGCTGCATTCTTAGATCTGCTTCTGTATTCAGTTTGTTGCACTATGTTGTTTGGTTGAAATATGCAAAGAAAATCTGGCCTTACTCAAATATGTATTCTTTGATATGACAACAAAGCTCTTTAAGTAGTAGTTTCTTAAAGGTTAGCTACAATATCAATAAAAGTACCAATGATCTTTTTGTACAGTTATGCCAAACCATTGGTTTATTTTGTAGTTTGATTCTTTTTCATGCATTATATTATAATTTTATGCAATTGGTTATTTGGAAAATCGTAATTCACTGTTATGCAGACCTACAAAGATGTTTACACATTTTCATTTTACAATATAAAAAAACACACATTTTTTAATTAAATCTTTATTGTTCAGATTATTACAGTTGTTCCTTTTTTTCCCCCCATAGCTCCCCTCCACCCGGTTCCCACCCCACCCTCCGCCCTTACCCCCCGACCCCCACCCCACTGTTCTCATCCATAGGTGTAAGATTTTTGTCCATTCTCTTCCAGCACCCCCAACACCCCTTTCCCCCTGAGAATTGTCAGTCCACTCCCTTTCTATGTTTCTGATTCTATTATATTCACCACTTCATTCTGTTCATCGGATTTTTTATTCACTTGATTTTTAGATGTGTATTTGTTGTTCATAATTTGTATCTTTACCTTTTTCTTCTTCCTCTTCTTAAAGGATACCTTTCAGCATTTCATATAATACTGGTTTGGTGGTGATGAACTCCTTTAGCTTTTTCTTATCCGTGAAGCTCTTTATCTGACCTTTAATTCTGAATGATAGCTTTGCTGGGTAAAGTAATCTTGGTTGTAGGTTCTTGCTATTCATCACTTTGAATATTTCTTGCCACTCCCTTCTGGCCTGCATAGTTTCTGTTGAGAAATCAGCTGACAGTCTTATGGGTACTCCCATGTAGGTAACTAACTGTTTTTCTCTTGCTGCTTTTAAGATTCTCTCTTTGTCTTTTGCTCTTGGCATTTTAATTCTGATGTGTCTTGGTGTGGTCCTCTTTGGATTCCTTTTGTTTGGGGTTCTCTGCACTTCCTGGACTTGTAAGTCTATTTCTTTCACCAGGTAGGGGAAGTTTTCTGTCATTATTTCTTCAAATAGGTTTTCAATATCTTGCTCTCTCTCTTCTTCTGGCACCCCCATAATTTGGATGTTGGTGCTCTTGAAGTTGTCCCAGAGGCTCCTTACATTATCTTTATATTTTTGGATTCGTTTTCCTTTTTGCTTTTCCGGTTGGGTGTTTTTTGCTTCTTCGTATTTCAAATCTTTGACTTGATTCTTGCGATCGTCTAGTCTGCTATTGTATCTCTGTATAATATTCTTTATTTCAGTCAGTGTATGCTTAATTTCTAATTGGTCCTTTTTCATACCGTTCAAGGTCTCACTAGATTTATCGAGGGCCTCACTAAATTTATCAGCAGTTTCTAGAAAATTCTTGAAAAACTTTATAAGTGTGGTTTTGAACTCTATATCCAGTTGTTTGCTTTCCTCCATTTCTGTCATTTGTGACCTGTTTCTTTGTCTCCGCATTTTGGCTGCTTTCCGGTGTTGATAGAGTAGCTTTCTGTGCTAGGTGTCCTATAGGGCCCAGTGGCTCAGCCTCCCCAATTACCAGAGGTGGACACTCTTGGTGCACACCTTTGTGGGTTTTGTGCACAGTCGTCTTGTAGTTAAGCCTTGATTGTTGTAGGTATCACTGGGAGGAATTGACCTCCAGGCCAATTGGCTGTGAGAATCAGCTGTGTCTGCAGTGGGAGAACTTCTGTGCTGGAGACACCCTTCTGGGGCAAGACTTGCATCAGTGGGGCTTTGGTGCTCACTGAGTCTGCTCCCTGAATGTGACCCTTATGGATCTTAGGAGTTGTAATCTGGATGGTCCCACTCTGACCACTGTATACACTGGCTGTTAGATCTCTAAGGAGGTGCTAATTTAGCCTCTGCCTGAGGCTACCCAGCAGGAGCTATGGAGAGATCTGCAGATTCCTCTTCTTTGTTTGGGGTTTGGAGGTGCCCAGATGAGGCCCAGCTGTGAAGCTGTAAAAGCTGCTGTGGGGCCTTGGGCCTTCTTTTGGATGTTCTGGGTCTCTCTGACCCAGCTGCAGCTTGTTAGGTAATTTTAGATTGCAAAGGGCCAGGCCATTCATATGCAAAAGCCTCTGCGCACAGCTTGGGTGAGGCGGGGTCTCAGGGGATCAACAGAGCAGAGCAAGCAGCTATGGCTGATCCTCAGCCCTGCCCTAAGAGGCCCCGAGTCTCAGTGTCCCGGTAATCGCTGCAAGCACCTCTGAGAGAAAGCCGCCCTCGAGTTCTGCCCGATGCCGGACAGTCCAGTTTCTCCCTGTATGAGTCTGGGTCCCTAGAGACTCGCCCGGAACTGGAGTTCAGAGCAGTCGGGAGCTTGAGACTCCCTCCCGATTGAAAAAGACAACCGCGTCCTCAGTTGCCAGCCCTTTCCGCGTGCGCCTCTGTACCTCTGCACTTCCGCGCCTCCTCTGAGTCTCAGTGTGCTTTTCTCTTTCCTTCTAGTTGTAGAATTTCCACTCAGCCAGCCTTCCTGTGGTTCTGGATGATGTCTGTTTTGTCTTTTAGTTGTATTTTTGAAGTGGTTGTGCGAAGCAGCAATTTCCGGTGTTTACCTATGTCACCATCTTGGTTTCTCCCCAAAACCACATTTATTAATATTGCCATTGACCTCATCAAATCCATCTATAATAATAAAAGCATAATATGCTAATTAGACTAGACGACCTTCCGGATGAAGCCAGGGCTGCGAGGGAAGCCCTGGTCCTGGGTGCCAGAGGGAAGCTGGTGCCAGCATCCCAGGGAAGAAAGGCCTACTCTTGCATGAATTTCGTGCATCGGGCCTCCAGTCTTTAAATAATGGGAAGCTTTCAGTTCGTGGTGGCAAGCCCCAGTTTACCAGAATTCAAAGTTTTACTTGAAAACTTAAATCTTATTAACAACAAATATATGTAGTAGATGTCCTTGAAGTGCCAGGCTCCCTTATTCATTTTTGAGAAAAAAATGTGCTATATATCTTATACTGACTAGTCAGTTCTTTCAGGTAAAATTGGTGATCCATTTGCAACTCAGCAGAGCTCAAATGCCTTTCTTCAAAGATTTCATTGTACTTCAGAACACAAAGGTGTTTCTTGTGTAGTTCCCATTTTACCTACAGTATATTAAAATGATGTGAATTGAGGGGCTGGGATTTAATTTTAAAATGTTACTTCTGCCCCCCGTTGAAGAGGCTAAGTGGTTGAGCGTCAACCCAGGAACTAGGAGGTCACGATTAGATCTTTTTTTTTAATATATTTTTTATTGATTAAGATATTACATATGTGTCCTTGTCCCCACGTTACCCTCTACCCCCCCCCCCCCCCGGTCATGCCCTCACCGCCCCGTTGTCCGTGTCCATTGGTTAGGCCTATATGCTTGCATATAAGTCCTTTGGTTGATCTTTCCCCCTTACCCCCACCCTCCCCTACCTTCCCTCCAAGGCCCGACAGTCCAATCAATGCCTCTCCGTCTCTGGATCAGTCCTTGTTCATCATTTTATGTTGTTCATTATATTCCACAAATGAGTGAGATCATGTGGTATTTATCCGCTCTCCAGTTCCACCCATGCTGTGACAAATGGTAAGAGTTCCTTTTTCTTTTTCCTCTTAAAGAATACCTTTCAGCATTTCATATAATGCTGGTTTGGTGGTGATGAACTCCTTTAGCGTTTTCTTATCTGTGAAGCTCTTTATCTGACCTTCTATTCTGAATGATAGCTTTGCTGGATAAAGTAATCTTGGTTGTAGGTTCTTGCTGTTCATCACTTTCAATATTTCTTGCCACTCTCTTCTGGCTTGCATGGTTTCTGTTGAGAAATCCGCTGACAGTCGTATGGGTACTCCCTTGTAGGTAACTGTCTGTCTTTCTCTTGCTGCTTTTAAGATTCTCTCTTTATCTTTTGCTCTTGACATTTTAATTCTGATGTGTCTTGGTGTGGTCCTCTTTGGATTCCTTTTGTTTGGGGTTCTCTGCGCTTCCTGGACTTGTAAGTCTATTTCTTTCACCAGGTAGGGGAAGTTTTCTGTCATTATTTCTTCAAAGAGGTTTTCAATATCTTGCCCTCTCTCTTCTTCTGGTACCCCTATAATTCTGATGTTGGTACGCTTGAAGTTGTCCCAGAGGTTCCTTACACTATCTTCATATTTTTGGAATCTTTTTTCTTTTTTCTTTTTCGGTTGGGTCTTTTTTGTTTCTTTGTATTTCAAATCTTTGACTTGATTCTTGAGATCCTCTTGCTTGCTGTTGGATCTCTGTATATTATTCTTTATTTCAGTCAGTGTATGCTTAATTTCTAGTTAGTCCTTTTTCATATCCTCGAGAGTCTCACTAGATTTATCGAGGGCCTCACTAAATTTATCGGCGGTTTCCATAAAATTCTTGAAAAACCTTATAAACGTGGCCTTGATCTCTATATCCAGTCGTTTGCTTTCTGTCATTTGTGACCTGTTTCTTTGTCTCCGCATTTTTTATGCTTCCCTGTGTTGGTAGAGTGGTTTTGTGTGCTAGGTGTCCTGTAGGGCCCAGTGGCTCAGCCTCCCCAGTTACCTGAGTTGGACACTCTTGGTGCACCCCCTTGGGGGCTTTGTGCACAGTCTTGTTGTAGTTATGCCTTGATTGTTGTAGGATCACTGGGAGGAATTGACCTCCAGGCCAATTGGCAGTGAGAATCAGCTGTGTCTGCAGTGGGAGAACTTCTGTGCTGAAGACCCCCTTCTGGGGCAAGACTTGCTTCAGTGGGGATTTGGTGCTCACTGAGTCTGCACCCTGAGTGTGTCCCTTATGGATCTTAGGAGTTGTAATCTGGATGGTCCCCCTCTGACCACTGGGTACACTGGCTCTTGTATCTAAGGAGGTGCTAATTTAGCCTCTGCCTGCGGTTACACAGCAGGAGCTACGAAGAGAACTGCAGATTCCCCTTCCTTTTTTGGAGTTTGGAGGTACCCCGATGAGGCCCAGCTGTGAAGCAGTGCAAGCTGCTGTGGGGCCTTGGGCCTTCTCTTGGAAGTTCTGGGTCTGTGGCCCCGCTGCAGTTTGTTAGGTAATTTTCAGGTTGCAAAGGGCCAGGGCATTCATATGCAAAAGCCTCTGTGGCAGCCTGGGTGGGGCGGGGTCTCAGGGAATCAAAGGGCAGAGCAAGCAGCTATGGCGGATTCCCAGCCCTGCCCTAAGGGGCCGCGCGTCTCAGTGTCCCGGTAATTGCTGCAAGCACCTCTGAGGGAAAGCCACCCTCAAGTTCCGAGTTCTGCCCGCTGCCAGACAGTCCAGTTTCTCCCCGTATGAGTCCTGGGTCCCCAGAGATTTCCCGGAACCAGAGTTCAGAGCAGTCGGGAGCTTGTGACTCCCTCTCGATTTAAAAAGACAGCCGCGTCCTCAGGTACCAGCCCCTTTCCGCGCGCGCGAGCCTCCGTACCTTTGCACTTTACTTCCGCAGCTCCTCTGGCTCTCAGTGTGGTTTTCTTTCCTTCTAGTTGTGGAATTTCCACTCAGCCAGCTTTCCTGTAGTTCTGGATGCTGTTCATTTTGTCTTTATGTTGTTGTTTTTGAAGTTGTTGTGGGAGGCAGCGATTTCCCGGTGTTTATCTATGCCGCCATCTTAGTTTCTCCCTCACGATTAGATTTTGAGTCAGGGCACATGCAGGGTTGCGGGGCTCCATCCCTTTTGGGGGTGGGGGCGCACATAATGTTTTGGTATTATTATGAAAATAGCTTTGATCTTACAGACCTATTGAAAAGAGTTTGGGTCCTTGGATCAAAAACTTGCTGTCCTACAGAGATACATGTATACAGAGATACTCACTGAAACAGTACTTTTAATAAAGTATTGGAAATAATGTAATTGCCTAGTTAACAATCTTTTTTTTGCTTATTGTTGGAGAGAATTAAACTCTACCTACCTGTTAAGGCACCCGTTGATGTTAATCTCTTTTCCTGGGTATGTAGAAGAGTATTAGTTATGTGCCATCTTTGGAATAATTGAGAAAATACGCATTTAAATAATTTTCTGTGCTCTGTGGTTCAGAAAAGGAACCCCTGATTGATTTCTGTTAAGGAATGGTAAATTGAGGCACATTTCTTCTGCAGCCATTGAAAAGAATGAGACAATTCTATATGTAGTGAAATAACATCTTCATTAGAGTCAGTGAAAAGTTGAGAATAATAGAATAGTACTTATTCTATTATAGTGTGATCCTATTTTGTCTTGAACACATTCCAAAAGCAGAATCATAGCAAGTGATTACATATGTTATTTCAGGGAGACCTAGAAGATTTCAAAGCAAAACTGCTGACAGAGGTTATCTCTGCCAAGGCAAGCGGGATTTTTGAAAAATTAGTGGTAGCAGGTGGTTGAAGATTTCTGCTTTTCTGTTTATCCCTGCAGCTGAAAATGTTTTTTTTACAGTGAAATCATTGGACATTTTTTATATGTATGTAACTAAAATTGTGATGAGTTCTGTGAAGGCACATAATAAGGAAAACTCTTGGGGGAGTCATGGAAATCTGTCTGGACCAGCTCTCATCATTCATTGCTTTCTGCTTTGTAGGAACCTGCGGCGGATCCGGAAGTGTCAGCGTGGTCGAGAACAGCAAGAAAAGGAAGGGAAGGAAGGAAACAGCAAGAAGAGCATGGAGAATGTGGATAGCCTGGATAAACTGGAGTGTAGGTTCAAGCTGAACTCCTACAAGATGGTGTATGTGATCAAGTCCGAGGACTACATGTATCGGAGGACTGCCTTGCTCCGGGCTCATCAGGTGAGAACCTCTCCCCAGCCAAGACCAGCCTAACCCAGAGGCTGCTGGTCTTTTCTCTTCCTTTATGAACACCTCCACTTGGATTTAAGAATTGAGTAAACTGGTGTATTAGGTTGTTGAGGATGCTGTAACAAAGTACCACACAAACTGTGTGACTTAAACAACAGAAATTTATTGTCTCAGTTCTGAAAGCTCGAAGTTCAAGTTAAAAGTGTTGGCAGAGTAGGTTTGAACCTTCTGAGGGCTGTGAGGGAGAATGTTTTGCTTGCCTCCTCTGGGCTCTGGTAGTTAGCTGGCACCCTTTGATATTTCTTGGTTTGTAGATATCTGCCTTCGTCTTCACATGGCATTCTCTCTGTGTGCGTGTATGTGTCCAAATTTTCCTCCATAGTCATATTGCATTATGGGTCACCCTGCTAACAGTATGACCTCATATTAACTAATTATAACTGCAACAACCTTATTTCCAAATTCGGTCACATTCTGAGGTACTGAGGGTTAGGACTGGAACATGAATTTGGAGGTGGGGCACAAATCAACCCATAACAGCTGGTGGCATTTCCATTGAAGCTATTCCCAGCATTTACTTTCAAGTGGTAGTGCTTATATGAAGGCTACACGTTTACATGTGCTACTTCAGTAGTGAAAGCTCCTGGTACACTTATGTACCAGGTATTGAACCATGCCCTGGGACTACAGCCATGAAGTAGAGTATATAAGGAAGGCAGTGTGATATTCACTATCAAGGAAAGAAACTAGGTGAAGTGACCAAGGATAAGTGATGTGCCCAGCTTTTGTGGGAGAGATCTCTCTAAGGAGGTGAAGCTTAAGACCTGAACAGTGACAAGGATCCAGCTCGGTGAAGAGTTGGGGTTTGATAATTTCTAGGCAAAGGAAGCAAGTCCAAGGCTGAGAGGGAGGAATATATGAAAAACTAAAACCATCCGTGTGGCTTGAGCCATAAGGAAAGTGGGATGTGTGAAGTTGGAAGGGTAATAGAGGCCACATTGCTCAGTCTTATAGGCCATGGTTTGGATTTTGTTTGAGGTGCATTGGGATGTTGAGTGTGGGCACAAAGTTGGAAGAGCAGAGACCACACAAAAGGACTGCTGTTGTCCAAATGAGATGCGATGGTGACCTGGGCTAGCAGAAAGGTGTCAGTGGAATTATAAGAATTAAACAGACTGGAGATACAATTTGGAGATACAGTTGTCAGACAGTAATGATTAGATTCCCATTTGAGATAAGAGAAAGGAGAACATCAAGGATGATGCCTGGTGGTTTTTGTTATTTGGTTTTGTTTGTTTTGCTTGAGTAAGTGGGAAGTTTAGGGATATATTTGTTATTAAGAAGAGATTACCATTTTTGAGGGTCAGATCAAGCATTTTGTTTTGAACTGCTTAAGTTTGATAGGACAATAAAACATTCAAGTAGGAGATCTAGGTGAACAGTTTAATATACTTATCTCATGGTACTGTGTGTTGTATATCTGTGTCTCTGATTCAAATTATTTGGAGAGCTGGGCCTAATTTATCCTTTTCTCCTATTCTGTCTTTTACATGAGCACCGATAAATATTTACAGGATGCTTAGATAGGGACCTGAACCTCCACTGGAGATCCACTATGCTTAGTACTCTGCTGGACGGGATGGGGGTGATACCGTGGGGGAGAATGGGTTTTAAGCCCTTTAAGCCTCATGTTTTTGTGTTTTGTGTGTGTGTGTGTTTTAATAAATTTTATTGATTTTTTTACAGAGAGAAAGGGGAGGGATAGAGAGTTAGAAACATCAATGAGAGAGAAATATCGATCAGCTGCCTCCTGCACACTCCCCACTGGGTATGTGCCCGAAACCAAGGTACGTGCCCTTGACCGGAATTGAACCTGGGACCCTTGAGTCCGCAGGCCGGCGCTCTATCCACCGAGCCAAACCGGTTAGGGCAAGCCTCATATTTTTTAGAAGTGGTTTGCCATGCTGCTGATAGAAATAACCAACAACTGTCTAACTTGGGGATATATTAGAATCAGCTGGTCCCTGGCTCAGTGGTTAAAGTGTCAGACTGAGGACTGAAGGGTCATTGGTTCAGTTCTGGTCAAGGGGCACATACAGGCATGTACCTCGGTTGCAGGCTCCATCCCTGCCATTGCCGGGCCCGTGCAGGAGGCAACCAATTTATGTGGTCTCTCTTACATTGATGTTTCTGTCTCTATGTCTCTCCCCCTCCCTTCCACTCTCTAAAAAATCAATGGAAAAATATTCTCAGGTGAGGATTATTTAAAAAAATAAAAATTAGAATCAGGTGGGTTGCTGATGTTAAAATGTAGCTTGATAGAAACAAGGAAATCTGTAGTTTTATCAAATTCCCCAGGTGATTCTAATGAATGCTAAAATTGAGAAACACTAAGCTTATTTTGCCCAGAACCTATGTTGGAATTTCTTTGGTTTCTCAATGGGTTCCAACTCCTTACATGCTCTATGTTCTTAACCTCTTTCAGTTCTCTTCTGAAAACATAGATTCCTACTTTTGTGTGCGTTTTTTCCCCCACTAACCAGTGGTATCAGAAACTTGAGGCCACATCTTTTCTTTGCTACTTTAGGAGGAAACTGGGCTTTGTATTTGAAGGGTTGTTTTGTTTTGTTTTTTGGTCCTAGTTCATGGGTGTTTTTGTTTGTTTTGTTTTGTTTTTTTTATTCTGTTTTGCAGTCCCATGAACGTGTAAGCAAGAGGCTGCATCAGAGGTTCCAGGCCTGGGTAGATAAGTGGACCAAGGAGCATGTGCCCCGTGAAATGGCAGCGGAGACCAGCAAGTGGCTCATGGGTGAGGGGCTGGAGGGCCTGGTACCCTGTACCACCACCTGTGACACAGAGACTCTGCATTTTGTGAACATTAACAAGTACCGTGTCAAATACGGCACAGTGTTCAAAACCCCATAACTGCGAAGTCAGAGCAGATAACTTGAAGGAGGTGTATGTGTGAGGGGGGTGCGGTTCATGTGCCCTCACACACACTGAAGAAATGAGGAAGATGCCTTTCAAGCCTCACTGGGCCTCTCTGGGACATGGCCACCTGATCTGTCTGTGCTCTGGAACTTTCCCCAAGGGTTTAGGATCCTGGAGGGAAAGGAAATCCACTCAAGCATAAACACACAGCTTGCTTGCACACACCAGCAGAGCTAAGACTGGAGTCTCCTGGGGCCTGACCTTCGAAGAAGGAACCAGGTGCTATTCAAACCTTGGCTGGATGGGTGAACGTTGACAAACTAACTGGGGAAGGACTCAATGCTCAGATGGTTTGTAACTCTGATGGTCAGTGCTCCTCTTCTCTTCCTCCCACCCCCCAAAAGGGGGACAAAACTGGATTTGATTTTTTTGTTTTATTTTTTCCTGATCACTCAAGCACATTTAGAGCATCCATTAGGTTTTATGTGGGACCCACAATTTGGCTTTGGGATTGATCATCTTGTGGATTTGATTCCTGCCGAATCCCTTGTTGCCTCCCTTTTACTTTCTCCTCTGGTTATCAACCTCAACAAGTTCAAATCAGTTATTTTTAGCTCCCAAGGAACTGTTTTGTATCTGCTTCTTTACCAGTCTTCCCCAGTGCCATCCACCAGCTTTACTCTTTCTCTCAAACACACCAATTTTAACGGGGGTTTTCTTTTTTCTTTTTTGTAAATAATGTACATACTGTCAATTTTTTATTAAAAGAAATATGCTTTGATGTGCTAGCATAACTGCTCTAGCTTCTTGTGTACCATAGTTCTATGTGACTTCAGATTTAGTACCTATGAACAGGTGTGCAAGACATTTATTACACTTTTTACCAAAGGGAGTTATGGTTGTAGTACTTTTGTGTAAAACTTGTCTTCCCCTTGCCCCAAAACTTTTTTAAAAAAAATAATAAAGTTTGGTTCTCAAGGAATAAACTTGCAACCCAAGTCCCTTGTCCTCACCAGAGAACAATTATGAATCAGGGAATTAGGCTCAGTTTCTTATCCAGGGTACCAACAGGCTTTTGCTCTAGTTAGCAGTCAAGTTCACTTATCTCAAGTCAAAATATTCCAAAATTTTGAAGCAGAATACTTTATTCTTTCAGTACATGTTTTTTCCCCTCCCTTATTTCAACTGTTTAGACATGTGTGATATGTAATTCTCTATATTTTTTCTTATCCTTAGTAGAAACAGGAGTGAACAACTTAAATACCAAATCAGTATTTGAAAGAAGTGTGTATAAGGAGTGTGGTATAAGTGGGGTTGGGAGGGAGATTTGGTACATTTCATTACTAACTGCAAATGGAATATATTACATAAATTTAAACTGGCAGACATTTAATCCTGGGTGATAAGGATTTTTATGTAGTCAGCCTGGACTTCTGGTGGATTTTCCTCCAGCAACCATTTACCCTAATCATAGTTGCAAAGTAACCAACAGTGTTTTGTTTGCTTTTTTATTAAAAATCCACACACTCCCACCCCCAACACACACTTCCAAACCCCACAAACTTTTAGCTTCTGGACTTTCAAAATATATGGTAGACTTCTCTGATTTTTTTGTTTGTTTGTTTGTGTGTGGGGAGTGGTGAGGGGGGGAGACAACACAAGAGGTGGAACCCAGAAATGTATGGTAGTAAAAGAGCCTTGCAGGAGAAGATTCTAGGATGAAGCTGAGGCAGTGTCTGACTTGGAGATGGAATGATAAGTACTGGTTGCGGATGGGAAATCTTCAGGTTTTCCCAGAAATTAGCTCACCTATCCCCCTCTGCTCACTCAAGAAAGATCATGTTGACTTGGAATTATGGGGGAAATAGATGGGGCCCAGCTGTTGCTGTCCCTGCACAGGGTTATGTCCAGAGCACCTGCTTGCAGGTTGGGAATAGGGTTTCAGAGCCAGTTCAGGAGAAAACCTTCAACCTACCAGTGTAACGAAAAAGAAGGGGGAGTTTCACCAAATGGTTTTCACAAACAGCATTTTTGTCCCTCCTGTCTTCTGACACCTGAGCTACAAGCTCTAAACCCAGCCTGTATTATAGCTGGCAAGTTATCTTTATTTTAAACTTGAGGCCCGGTGCACAAGATTGGTGCATGGGGGTGGGGTGCCTCAGCCTGGCTTGTGCCCTCTCGCAGTCCAGGAGCCCTTGGGGGATGTCCGCCTACTGGCTTAGGCCTGATCTCCCCTCTCTCCCCCTCCCCGCCCTCCCCACCTCTGGGGATCAGGCCTAAGCTGGCAGTCAGACATCGCTCTTGCAGTCTGGGGCTCTCACAGTCTGGGTCCCCTTGATCCTTATTGCCCGCCTGCAGCATAGGTGGGAGAGACTCCCACCACCACCTCTGCACTCGCCAGCCAGAAGCCAGCCTGCTGCTCCTTAGCGCTGCCTTGGAGGCGGGAGAGGCTACCGCCACCGCCACTGCGCTCGCTAGCCGTGAGCCCGGCTGAGCAGTGCTCACCATCCACTGGTGTGGCATAATGGGGAACCAGTTCTGGTCTCTGGCCTTTTATTATATAGGATTATGCTTGGTATTATGTACTCAGTCATACACTTCTGTGTAGTTTGCATTTGAAATGTTGTAAACTTGGTCAGTATTTCCATTAAAATATCAGGGCTAATGCTGTGTATATATTTTTGTTAATGATATTATAGACAAGAACTCCCTGGCCGTCTTAGGAGAGGGAAAAAAAAAAGCTGTCAATGGACCACTAGGGTAATGTGAAAATGAAATTAGGTGTCTGGCATTATGGCTTCTCTTAACTCTTCAGTCCTGTTTAGTGAAATACAGTATTCTATTAGGATCTTGAATGCTATGACTAACATGCTGTCTCAAATCAAAACTTTTCCAGAGTTTCTGGTGATGACCAACAGCCATGTACATAAAATAAGGTAGTAGAGGAAGCTGAGGTTACAGGGATGCAAAGCCCTCAACACCATATCCATTCATGGCGGCTCTAGGGAGCCAGAGGCCAGGCTGGCACTGGAGGGCCAGAGGGTTCCCACCTGTTGGTGCTGATGCCGAGTGGTCTGTTGCATCTAATGGTCCCCCTATCTCTGTCCCAGAGCTTTCCGAGAAGCTAAGCGTCAGACTTACCATTTTATTTAGGTATTTGCCAAGTGGCCTGGCCCACCAGTCCAGAAGTGATAGAGGAGAGCCTCAAGAAGCACTTCTTTCAGTGCCCCTCTCAAAGTTCAGAGCAGCTGGGCTTCCCAGAGAGCCTGGCTGTTGTAAGAAAGCAGCCTGCAGCCGTCCACACACCAGAACCTTTAGTTCTGCCACACAGGAGCGCCGGGATTTTCCAAGAAGAGTGGGCGGGCGGCAGTGGTGGTGGTGGTGCCAACCCTGAAGCACTGGCGCACTATGCTAGAGCGGGTGGAGAAATTTGTGTCGCCACTCTACCACGACTATAACCTCTGTGACCCGTCAGGGCACCAGCTGGCCTGGTTCACCGGCCTCAGCCTTACTTTCTGTGGTTAAACCCAAGCTACAGCCACCTGGACTGAGGGATAAAGTGCCCGCCCTCTATGGACAGGGCATGGCCAGGAGGAGGGACCGGGGAGGCTGTGCTATGGAACAGCCATCTCCAACGTGGATCGAAGGACTCTGCGTTCCACTGCCAGGTGGAAAGCTGACTTTGAGCGCGTGCCCGCTGGCCCCTCCATGCCCAGGCTCTTTGGGGACAGCTGCCCGATGGCCGTGCTCTCCAGTTTCCTGACAACCTGGCTTCCCTACCAGGAGGCAATCCAGCAGGACTTCTGCCCTGCGCAGGTCGGTGACAGCTTTGGACCCACGTGGGTAATGCCCAGAGGCAGGGCCCTGCCAGTGGTCGCCCCTCTGGGCTGGCTCACTCCTAAGGACCACACCTCCATTGTCTGCCCCTGGTCCCTCAGATTTAATGAAAGAGTTCATTTTCCCCTTTCTCCCAGTCCCTGGACGCCCCTTAGGAAAGGCACTCAAGGACGGATCACACTCCTCTGGCTCTGCCTCTTTCCCTCACCTTACTCCCTTCTTGTCCATCAAATCTGATTACCTTGTAATGCACAGAGAAAGCCTCAAGCCCCTACTGACCCTTAATCCAAGAATACTATTTCAAAAGGAAAAGGGCTCCCATCTAAGTGACTCTCTTGCAGATGGTGGACCTGGTTCCAGGTGGAGCTGACCATCCTGGAGGCATGGGTAGGTCAGGAAGTTCACCTTCGTTGGGAAAGCTATGGAGAGGGCCTGGTGTGGCATGATGGGGAACCAGTTCAGGTAAGGAGCCTTGGCCCAGAGACAGCATAGCCACATTTCAGTTCTGGTCTCTGGAAAAATTAGAGTTGGCTGAGTGGCTCTGCCTGCAGAGTGGTAGAAGGATTTGAGGACTGGGGAGGTTGCTGTTTGAGCCCCTGTGCTTGGTTAGGTCCTCTCATATAGGGTAAATTAAATGGATGGTGTTTGGGTCACAACATAATTAGTGCTAAATCAACCTTGCCACTTACTGCCCACCTTTTTTTTTAATGTATTTTTATTGATTTCAGAGAAGGGAGAAGGATAGAGATAGAAATATCAATGATGAGAGAACCATTGATCAGTTGCCTCCTGGGAATCCAGCCCACAACCTGGACATGTGCTCTGACTGGGAATTGATGCTCAACCACTGAACCACACCAGCTGGGTTGCCCACCTCATGCTAGGCTGAATATGGTTATTAATCATAATAAGTATAGCAGTTTCATTTATTAACCCCTTGCTAGGTGCCAGACTAGTGGCTTTACAGACCACATCTCTTTAGTTCTTAATAAACAGTTTTTTATTATGTATAATACTAGAGGCCCAGTGCACAGGGGGGCAGGGTTTCCTCAGCCCAGCCTGCACCCTCTCCAATCAGGGACATCCCTCTCGCAATCTAGGGCCGCTGGCTCCTAACCGCTCACTTGCCTGCCTGCCTGATCGCCCCAAACCACTCTGCCTGCCTGCCAGATCACCCCTAACTGCCTCTGCCTGATTGACCCTAACCACCTCTGCCTGCCTGATCACCCCTAACTGCTCCTCTGCCGGCCTGATGGTCCCCAACTCTCCTCCCCTGCAGGCCTGATCTCGCCCCCAACTGCCCTCCCCTGCCACCCAGTTTGCCCCCAACAGCCCTCCGCTGCCGGCCTGGTTGCCCCCAACTGCCATCCCCTGCTGGCCTGGTTGCCCCCAAATGCCCTCCCCTGCAGGTCTGGTCGCCCCCAACTGCCCTTCCCTGCCGGCCTGATCTCACCCCCAAGTGCCCTCCCCTGCTGGCCTGATCTCACTCCCAACTGCCCTCCCCTGCGGACCTGGTCACCCCCAACTCCCCTCCCCTGCCACCTGATTGCTCCCAACTGCCCTCCCCTGCCGGCCTGACCACCCCTAACTGCCTCTGCCTCGGCCCCCACCACCATGGCTTTGTCCAGAAGGAAATCGGACGTCCGGAAGATAGCCGGTTGACCCAGTCTAATTAGCATATTACCCTTTTATTAGTATAAATTATTAGTATAGATAGATTATATAGGATAGGATTGCTTAAATGGAGGGGAATGTCTCTTTCAGCAGGAGGAGATTCTCTTGGCAGACAAAAATACATAATCCCTATATCTGGACTGATAGCCAGCCATATGCACCGGTCATTAAAAAATTGAACCACTTTCTTACACCTTACGCCAAACAGCTGTTGCCCTTAAAACCCCTCCTTAGTTTCCACCTTAGGTTCTGCCTTCGCAGTTCACCCAGATTAGGTTTTGATTGGTTGGTTTCTATGCCAGTCAGCATCTCTGAGCCTATCTCCGGGCCTCTCTCTGGGCCTGATCCACAGCCTCCGTGGCAGCTGCGGATCAGGCCCTGTCTCTCTCTCTGGGCCTGATCTGCAGCTGCCACGGCAGAGGCAAGTACGTTAGGCCTCTGGCCTGGCCCCAGCTGGGCCAAGGGCCTAACAACCTCACTGTGCCCACCTGCCAGCCGCCAGCCTTACTGTGATAGCCTGTGGGCTGAGGGGGAGGGACCAAGAGGTGCTCCATGCACTTCCTGGTGACCAGTCATCCGTCTGGTCGTTTAGGTTGTGACAGCCCCTGGCCTTTTATAATGTAGATATATAATGGGGGGAAACTTTCAAACATCTCCCCACTACCCCATCCCAATTCCCCAGGTATAACCACTATTAAACACTATTAAGTGTCTTGCTTATGCATCTAACAGTATCTTTATCATCCTATGTGGTTGGTCTTTATAACTGCAGATTAAGAAGATGAGATAAATAGAGGTTAGTTCACTTGTTCAGTTTGCACATCTTCCATTCCAAGTGGACTTTCAATCTCAGGTAGGATTCCTACCTGTATGACAAAGCCCTCTCTCCCTCCCTCCATTGGCTCAACACATGTCTCCTGAATGCCCTCTCTGGGCCAGGCCCTATGCTAAGCACTGGGAACATAGCAGGAAATGAGACAAGCCTGACCCTAACTTTATAGAATTTCCCTTCTGATACTTATTCAGGGGTACAGAGGCCACTGGGAGCCATATCCAGATCTTTTGATGCCTGCCCAAGACCCATCTCATAAGACCAAGGGCTTTTCTGCTGGTGCTATTTGGTGGTCATGGTACTGGCTGCCATGGGAATGGGGCACTTGCAAGCAAGGGTCCTTGATTTATCAGTCTTGGCCTTGCCTTGGAAAAGAAGCCAAAGCTGGAGTCTGAGCAAAGGGTTTTGAATTCCCTTAGCTTATGTTTAACATGAACTGTCCAAAAACCTCAGGCCCTGTCTCTTTCACTGTACTCCCACCGCGTTTGATCAAAGAAAGGGAGAAGAGCAGTTACATCCTGATTGAGAGGCTGGGAGAAGGAGACCCTTGGAGGTGAGTGAATCCCAGCACTGGTTGACCAAGGCTATGGGGGAGAGGACATCAGTAGGGGAGGACACATTAGTGGGAAGCCCAGAATGATCTTGGAAACACACCTACTCCCAACACAAATCTTCAGTGTTTGTTTTTTAAAAGCAGGATTTTTTTTCTTCTGCCTATAAAAATGTTTGCCGCCTTGTGGTAAATACAGAAAAGTACAAAGAAGTAAATACCTCCCATTATCCCACCACCTAGAGATGACCATTATTTATATCTCAGTATTCATCTCAGGAATTCTTCCCGGTGTAGTTTTTACTAGTTTAGGTTATATTTCCTTGATATTTGTATCCTGAATTTTTTCATTCCATATTATAACATGGACATTTATTACACCATTAAAAACTTTCTTAGACATTATGATTTTATGTTATAGTATTTACTGAATACTGTGTATCTGATTCTTCCAGACACTGGGACTGTGATGGTGAGTGATATGGTCTTCTACGGCAAGAGGACTCATACATACACAATTGCAAAACTGGTGAGGGCTCTGAGAGAAAACCCTCGGAGCTCATGTGAGAACTCTGTTCCAGACTGAGGTGAGGGGTGGGAGGAGGAATAGGGAGGGCTTCCCCGAATAAGTCATCTGTGGTTTCTGAAGACTGAGGAGAACAGTGCCAGAACCCAATATGAGGCTACAAAGAACAGCCTGCTCTGTGTTGGCTGATGGGTCTTTGCTCTGGGAAATCCGAACATGTTTTCTTTCTTTTTTTCTTTTTTTTTTTAAATATATTTTATTGATTTTTTACAGAGAGGAAGGGAGAGAGATAGAGAGTTAGAAACATCGATGAGAGAGAAACATCGATCAGCTGCCTCCTGCACATCTCCTACTGGGGATATGCCCGCAACCCAGGTACATGCCCTTGACCGGAATCGAACCTGGGACCTTTCAGTCCGCAGGCCGACGCTCTATCCACTGAGCCAAACTGGTTTCGGCTCTTTTTAAAAAAGTATGTTTTTATTTATTTCAGAGAGAGGAAAGGAGATGGAGAGAGAAATAGAAACATCAATGATGAGAATCATCAATCGGCTGCCTCCCGCATGCCCCCTACTCGTGGTCAGGCCCCAAACCTGGGCATGTGCCCTGACCGTAATCTACCTTGACCTCCTGGTTCATGGGTCGACAACCACTGAGCCACACTGGCTGGGCCAAACATGTTTTTAATGTGCAAAGATGGTTCTGAGTCCCATTGTAAAGACAGCTTTGGTAAAAAAAAAAAAAAAAAAAAAAAAAAAAGGCTAAACCAGGGGTGGGCAAACTTTTTGACTCGAGGGCCACAATGGGTTCTTAAACTGGACCGGAGGGCCGGAACAAAAGCATGGATGGAGTGTTTGTGTGAACTAATATAAATTCAAAGTAAACATCATTACATAAAAGGGTACGGTCTTTTTTTTTTTTTAGTTTTATTCATTTCAAACGGGCCGGATCCGGCCCGCGGGCCGTAGTTTGCCCACAGCTGGGCTAAACAGTAGCATCACACAGTTTCAGAATGAGTTGCTCTTCTTGCTAATAATAGAGCTTTCATCACCATATGGGTTCAGGCTGGTGCTTCTCTGACCCTCTTGTATATGAACTTGACATACTCTGGGATCCTGGAGGTAAATGGGGAGGGGTCATCTGGATGCTGCCTCTGTCCTCCCTCTTCAAGCCCCCAGAGGTCTCTGCCAGTCCCTTGGCCTATTACTGCCTCCCCATGTTTGTAGCCTGACCCTCTACGTGGAAGTCGCCTTGGGACCCAGGAAGGGCACCATGATTGCAGACCCAGAGAAGATGTTCCAGGTGAGCCGGGCTGAGCTGGACATTGCCCTGGAAGCACTGTGTAAACCTCAGCAAGTTCTTGCCCATCCTGGGCCTCGTTTGAAGTAATAGAGATGGGGGCTTAAGTGCAGGGGTGGTTTTCTAGGTAGGGTCAGGGGTTCAATTCTGAACTTGATGAGTTTTCAGTGACTGTGAGGCTTATGGGAAATCCATATTTTTTAACAGGTTCCCCAAGGTGTTGATTCTGATGTTTTTGGACCACAGAACAAGGGCTTTCTCTGCTATGCCAAGGTGTGGGGAAGAGGGTGGAGGCTCTGGACTGGTAAGGAAGGAGAGGCTGTAGTGCTTCATATAGGACAGCTGACAAGGCATGATCCATCTTGAGGAGCTGTGCACTCTATTCTGGGATATCCCTCAGTATGTGTTGGGGATCCTCTCTAAGGGATCCTCTCCAAGGGTGTCTAAACCTCAAGGGCAAGGCTATTCTAGGGCCTGGGGCCTCCATTTCCTGACCTGTAAAATTAACCTGATAGCTCTGGTTGCCTTCCTATCCCACTCCTACTGCCACCTAGTAGGACTGATTTGAAGTGGTAGCTCAGGAGGGATATCACAGGGCTTTGCAGGGAAAGGGGCCTGAGAAGCGCTAGGAAGACCCTAGAGCGGGGGTCCTCAAACTACGGCCCGCGGGCCACATGCAAATACAAATATTGTATTTGTTCCTGTTTTGTTTTTTTACTTCAAAATAAGATATGTGCAGTGTGCATACGAATTTGTTCATAGTTTTTTTTAAAACTATAGTCTGGCCCTCCAACGGTCTGAGGGACAGTGAACTGGCCTCCTGTTTAAAAAGTTTGAGGACCCCTGCCCTAGAGCATATTACTGTCTCTTTCACTGTACTCCCACCACGTTTGACCAAAGAAGGGGAGAAGAGCGAACCTTTTGAGCTCAGTGTGTCAGCATTTTGAAAAACCCTAACTTAACTTTGGTGCCGTGTCACATATAGAAATTTTTTATATTTGCAACCATAGTAAAACATATTTTTATTTTTGATATTTACTTTATATATTTAAATGCCATTTAACAAAGAAAAATCAACCAAAAAAGAGTTTGCATGTCACCTCTGACACGCGTGTCATAGGTTCGCCATCACTGCCCTAGAGACCCAGGCTAGGCCTGGTCAGGGTGCTGGGGGACAGAGGTGAGGCTGGAGATCTATGTGGAGCTGGGGACCTTGCTGCTCTCCCTCCACTCTCTGTCCCCCTCCCCATCTAGCCTGGCTTTGGCCCTTCAAAGAGACTGCGGAAATGTGCCCGGAGCTGGGTAACAGCCGTGCAGCTTATGGAGCGGAACCCTGAGTTCATCTTTGCCTGCTCCCAGGTCAGAGGGACAGTCATGTGGAGACACCAGAAACCCAATAGGTCTAAAAGTGAGGTTCTGAGGGCCTCCCCAGACTCAACTGCCCACTGCTCCCCAGATACTTGGCCCTAGGTAGGGTTCTTGTTACTCTAGGCACAACTCCTACCCCTTCTGCCTCACAGGCACAGCAGCTTGAGTAGGTAAAGAACCACTACCCTGGCCTGTATGCCTGGCTCCAGGAGTTTGCCTGCCATGGGCAGTTTGTACCCTTGGGAGGCACCTGGGTGGAGATGGTAAGGGCGGTCTGCATACCCTCAGCCTAGGGCTTTCTGCAGGCCCTTCACAACCTCTCTGTTGCAGCACTATTAGTCCTTGGACTTCCGAGCCCTGGGACTCCAAGAGGGAGAAGGGTCCCAAGTACTGTGACGGGCCGTCTGCATAACCCAGCCCAGAAGCTCCCTTCAGCAGATAAATGGCTGCAGGAAATAGATACTTCCTGGGTCAGAGCCATGGCTTCTCCTAAGGGGTGGGGTGGACCAAGTACCTGCATATTCCCCATCTGGTGCTGACCCTGACTGACTCCCTCTTCTCTCACTGCCAGGATGGGAACCTTCCCAGTGGAGAGGCGTTGGTGAGGCAGTTCCTGCAGGGCCAGAACTTCTTCCTGCAGGAGTTTGGGAAGATGTGCTTGGAGGTAGGCTGGGAGCTGCTATGGCTTCAGGCAGATGGGGCTTAACGTGGTGAGATGAGAGGTTGAGGCTTGGGCTGCTCTGCCAAGATCCTTGGTTCCTGTGCCTCAGAGGCCCTTTTCCTGCAGTTCTGGCTGCCAAACACATTTGGCTACTCAGCACAGCTTTCCCAGATCATGCGCAGATGTGGCATCAGACACTTCCTGGGCCAAAAACTGAGCTGGAACTTGGTGAACTCCTTTCCAGTGAGCAGACCCCAGTGGGTCATGTTAGAGTGGGCTTGGGTCCCACCTGACCCATTCATCTCTCCCTAGGCTTATTCAGGGGTCCTGGACAACTCACCCAACCCCCATCCAAATAGAGAGTGTGCCTGCTCCAGGGTCACACCAGGGTCAGGGCAGGACTGGAAGGCCCAACTCTGCCTCAGCCCTGACACTACTAGCCTCTACTTGTGTCTCTGCCTGCCTGTAGCACCATACCTTTTTCTGGGAAGGGCTGGATGGCTCCCGTGTGCTGGCCCACTTCCCACCTCATATGGAATAGAGGGCAGTGTGGAGGAGGTGAGAGGGTACCTAGAGACCAAGGTGGGGGCAGGGAGGTAGGCTGGAGAGGGCTGGGTGTCCTGTCCTAGACTGAACCATGCTGATCTGCCCCTGTTTCTCCAGGTACTAAAGACAGTGGCCAAAAACCGGGACAAAGGACGGACCAACCATAGTGCCTTCCTCTTTGGCTTTGGGGATGGAGGTAGTGGCCCCCTCAGATCATGGTAGACTGCTTGAAGCGGCCGTACAATACAGATGGCTGCCCAGGTCAAACCTGGCCCACTAATAGCCCTCACTGAGCTGCTAGCTTAGCCCTTGCTTTGAGCCCTTCTTTCTGCTCAACCATTTGGCCCAATCCCTCCGCTGGGCCTGTCCTGCTCCAATCCTGGTACATGGGCTCCTCCCAATTTCTACCTTGGGGGTGAGGTGGGAGAAAAGCTGAGGGTGGGAAGGGGCTTAAACTCATCAGAGAGAGAACTCTCCTGGGGTTTCCAGAGCTGGCTTCTTTCTGGGGGTGCTTCTTTCTTTGGGGGCTGGATCTCTTGTCTGCTCTGGTGTGGATCAAGGGTGAGTCATGTGGCCCCAAGGCTGGGAGACCCAGGCTCACATTCTCCCTCAGGGTGCAGCTGTCTTTTCTCCGGGATAGCTGTGGGTCAGAGAGCTCTTCTTGGAGCTGCATAATGGCACCTACACTACCCACCCCGCCCAGGTCAGGAGCTAGTCACTCAGCCGAGCAGGGAGAGTGTGCCCTTGATCTCTAGAGGGTCAGTAAAGGAAACAGGACAGACCCCCACCCCCAGATCTGGGAGAGGAGGCTTGTTCTTTGAGGAGAAGTTTAGAGAAGAGCAAGAGCTGCGTGGGTCAGGAGCCTAGAGGAGGCTTGCGCTGAGGGAGGGAGGTATTTGGGACATGTCACCCACAAGAGGCTTTATCCACGGGGCCCTGGGGAGCCATCAGGGGTTCTGAACCAGGGAGGGCTTTGGAAGGTATTCTGGGATACTTAAGCAGACTTTAGACCTGTGGTTCTCAACCTTCCTAATGCCGCGACCCTTTAATACCTCATGTTATGGTGACCCCCAACCATAAAATTATTTTCATTGCTACTTCATAACTGTAAATTTGTTACTGTTATGAATTGTAATGTAAGTATCTGATATGCAGGATATATTTAGGCGACCCCTGTGAAAGGGTCATTCGATCCCTAAAGGGGTCACGCCCCACAGGTTGAGAACCGCTGCTTTAGACTCACCCTCCTCGCTGGCTGGGGCTCAGATCAAGAAAGGAAATCGGGAGTGTGAGCGCATCCTGCGTGACGTGGAGCTGCTCAGCAGTCTGGCCCTGGTCTGTAGTGCCCAATTTCTACACCCACAGCCCACCTGCAGGACCTCTGGAGGTCAGCCTGGTTTTGCCCCCTGTCACCCACCTGATTTCACCCGAGAAACCTCTGTGGCTGACCTTCCCAGCCTTCATTCTTCCCAGCATCCTGGCCTTCCCCATCCCTGCCCTTGGCCCCTGCATACTCCTGATCCTGAACGAGTTCCATGATGTGGTGACTGGAAGCTGCATTCAGCTGGTGGCAGAAGTAGCCAAGTGCCACTACAAAGGTTAGGCTGAGAACATTCCCGCTGCTCTCTCCTATGGGACACTTGGGTCATCCTACCTAGACCCATTGCCCACTCATGACCAACCAGTTTCTCCTTAGACATTCGTTTCCATGGCAATACACTGCTCAGTGCTGCGGCTGCAGCCCTGTGAGCTGGGGAGCCAGGTGCCCAGGACCTCCTCATTGTAAATACCCTGCCTTGGAAGCCCACTGGAGTATTGGCCCTGCCCAGGCCTGACAGGACCCACAGCCTGGATAGGAGCTGGGGAGAGGGGTCGCTACTACAGCAGGAGTCCAGACCGAGAGTTGGGGACACTCTCCTGGGAATCTCTGCCCTGAGGTGCCCCAGGCTGGAGAATAGCAGTAGCAGTATCCCCCCATCCCAGAGTGAGGCTCCTGAAAATTCAGGGAGGCTGCACTGATGTCCAGGCCTCATCCCTAGCCCTGGTGACAGTGCCCAGCATGGGTTATACTCCTGCTCCTGCCCCTACCTCACTGCAGCCCTGCAGCCTGTGTTTGTTGTGCAAGAGGTGAGTGCTGGCAAGTCCAGGTTGGGCAGGGCTGGGAAGGGGCTTAACAACATGGGGGTTCTGAGCTTCCCAGGCTGGAGTAAGTGGTAAGGCAGCTGGAGTGGGGGGCTATTGGTTGTGGGAAGCCCCTGCCAACTGTTTCAAGGCCCCCTTCTGCCAAGACTGATGGTTCTGTGACTCTGGACAACGGTGAGGCTGGACCCGACTGGCCGCCTGACATCCCTGGTGCTGGTAGTCTCCGGCAGGTGTCAGCCCCTCACTGCCCTCTCCCTGTCTGGAAGATGGTCCCAGACCCTATTCCCTTGGCCAGCACTGCCCTCAACAGCCCACCTGTGGCTCTGGGCTGGGATCCATCTCATGGAGCAGGGCAGGCTGGGCTGGGGAGATCCCTGTCCCCTAACCATACTCACCCTACCTCCCACCCCACCTTGAACTTCTAGAGAAACCAAGATCACGTTGTAAAGCTGCAGTCCCCATCTCCTTCCAGGGAGGCTGTTGCCAAAGGCACTGTGGGAAACCAGTTTGTGCTGTTTGATGATGTCCCCCTGTGCTGGGATGCGTGGGACATCATGGAGTACCACCCGGGACACGATGGGGGGTGGGCATACAGGCCTACTGGCCTCTCCATCAGCTGGCCCTAGCTCAGCACCTCCCGCACATCCCCCAGGAAGCCAGTGCTGAGCCAGGCAGGGACCCTAGCAGTGGGTGCTGAGGGCGCGTGCGGGGCAGCACCTGGTTCCTACTGCAGATCAGCCCCCACAGTCAGCTCAGCCAGGAGGTTGTACTGGACGTCGTTTGCCCTATGTCCACTTCCACACCGAAATAGTAGGGGATAGGGTGGTGGTTGCCTTTCCTAGGTGTGGCTAGTCAGGAAGGGCTAGCCCCAGGCCTGTGTGTGTGTCTCCCTCTCCTCACCCTTTACCCCCACTCCAGGTGCATGAAACCCACAAATTTCTGAAGGTGGAGTTCCCTGCCTGTGTGCAGAACCCCCAGGCCACCTATGAGGTTTAGTTTGGGCATCTGTAGCGTCCCACCCAATATACCACCTCTTGAGACTGGGCTTGATTTGAGGTCTGACATGGGTGGGGTGAGGTTTGGATTCTCCCTGGCTGGGGAGAGACTCTTTGTGTAGAATGGGTTGAGGAGGAGCAATATTTGCTGGTTCCTAACATGTGTGCCAGGCATTGTGCTAAATTCTTTATGTTTAGTTTGATACCCGTGCCTGTTTGGTGGGCTAAATACTATTCTCCCCATTTCACAGATGAGGAACTGAGGCATAGACAGTTTGGGTAGTGTCCAGGGCCTCTTATTGTGAGAACTGGAATTCAATCCCGGGGTCCCAGAGCTTGCCACTTTAGTGATGGGAGTAAAAGATGGGTCTGGGATGTGCTCTTCAGGTGTGGGCCCACAGCTGGATGGACCTGTTGGAGTACAGCTTTGGGCTGGCCTACTCAATGACTGCAAGTACAGAGCATCAGTTCGGGGCAGCATCCTCAGCCTCTCGCTGTGAGTGGTGTGCCCACCAGGCTCTGAGCCGGCATGGAGGTGTGGGTCTTCCCCTAGCCAGAACTCCAGCCCGGCCCATTCTCTCCTTCCCCGCAGCTTGCGGGCACCTAAGGCCCCTGATGCCACTGTTGGCGTGAGGCGCCATGAGTTCACATATGTGCTGATGCCGCACAAGGGTGAGTGCTGCCTTGCCCCTTCTCTGCTCTTCGCCAAACCTCGGTTTTTTTTCTACAGTCAGTGGGGGAAACAGCAGCTCTGTGCCCGCCCCTACCCCCTTTTGCACCACTGGTTCCTTTCCGGCCCTTGCCCAGGCTCCTTCCAAGATGCTGGCGTTACCCAAGCAGCCTACAGCCTCAATTTCCTGCTGTTGATGCTGCTGGAGTGCCTTCACTGTGTCTTCCTCCAGGTGGTGCTGGAGACCGTCCAGCAGGCAAGGGGTGAGATAGGGTGGGGCGGGGTCCTGGTTGGGTCCACCCTTGGCCCTGCCCACCACCCACTTCCCTCAGCAGACTGAAGCCAGCCCCCAAGGGCCACACACTGGTGCTCAGGCTGTATGAGGCCCATGGCAGCCACGTGGACTGCTGGCTGCAAATGTCGCTGCCAGTTCAGGAGGCCCTCCTGTGAGTGGGATGCAGGGAAGAGAGGAGCCCTGCCCTCACAGAGTCTTCATGGTCCCTCATGGTCTGCAGCTGTGACCTCCTGGAGCTGGCCACCTGCCCCTTAGGGACACTGGCCTAAAACTCACCTTTTCTCCCTTCCAAGTACAGTCTCTATGGCTCAAGCTGCAACCTCCACTGAACTGAGTCTCTAGAGGGCAGGATTTTTTTGTGGAAGGCTTTGGGGCCTGACTGCCTTTCCAGCCCTAAGCAACAATAAATCTTTGGCTCAGGAGCCCTGCTGGTAACTCCTGCTCTCTCCCCTTAAGGCAAGTCCTCAAGGCTGTGAGAAGAGAAGTCTTTCCTGGGCATTTGGGGACAGGGGCAAAATCTAAGGTGATCTGTGTGTGCAGCAGGGTCTGGGTTGCAGCCCCCACAAGTGGGGATATGGATGACCACAAGATAAGAGCATGAGATAAGAAGTCCCTCCCGTGTGTCAGCAGGCAGAGGGCCCGGGTCTGGGTGGGTTCCAACTAGCCCCCACTAGGAGGGGAGTACTAACTAGTCTGGCCAGGCTGGGGAGCAACCCCAGGCCCTGAGGAATCCTGGACTGGAGGAGCTATGGAGCCTGGGCTTCCTGAGAGGGGTCTCTGCACCACCTCTGAGGGCTGTCCCTGAAGAGGCAGACTATCCTATGAGAGCCAGGACCTTGAGGACTGTGACGGAGCCCAGTTTGCCTTGCTGAGGAGTTGGCCTCTTATACTCAGGGCCAGGCAACAGGCCTAACTAACTTGGCCAGCCCAAGAAGTTTACCAATTTATATTTTTAAAAATACAGCATTTTTCACATGGGCTTAAAAAATGGGGATGGTGGGCACAATTAAAAACATAGTTATGTGGGGAACAGCCACAAGGTCACAGGCATCTAGCCCCTTTAACCTGTTGCATGCTTCTAGAAAGCCACACAAGCCCCCAGATCCAAGGCAAGGCAGCGGGAAGGGATAGGTGCAAGCAAGGAGATCCTCCTGCTAAGAGGCTTAGGTCTCCTCAGGCTCCAAAGATGGGATGGCAGTCTATCTTTTAAGGTCTGCAGCAGCCTGTGGGGAGGACAGGTGAGGTGGCAACTCAGACCCCAGGTTGAAGATTGCCCGGACAGCCTTCCTTTCCACAAGTAACCTCTGCCCGTACTGCCATCCTTTCCTTCTGGAAAGCCCCGTTTGGTGGTGCCCCTTCCATCTCCAGAGGAAAATGCTCAGGAAGGCCCACCTGAGTTGGCCCTTCGCCCTCTCCTCTTCCCTTTCTCAGTGACTGGGGGGACTTTTGGGTCTTGGAGGCTGGTCCCCTCAGGCTGCTGGGCTGTTGTTTGCTCAGGAAGGCCTCTCCATGCCCTTCGTGTCCTGGAAGGGGCCTTGCTTGGGGGTGGATGATCCTGGATAGAGGAGAGACAGGTTCCTGAGATACTGAGCAGTTCAGAGGTTGGTTAGGACCCACCATCGCCCCCCATTGTTAACAGAAGACAGTTGTCCAAAAGTCTGGTTTGGGAGGTCTGGCCAGGGCAGGGGAGATTTCAGGGAAGAGTTAGGAGCAGGGAGCCATACCTCCACTCCATCCTCAGGACCCCGCTGTGCTCCGCTGGATTTCTTCTTATGGGACTTGCCCCCTGAAGGACACTGATGCTGGGGTTGCAAGGTCCTATGGCCTTGGGCCCTTTCTCCAGACTCCCACTTTGGGGTGACTCTTGGAGTGGGCACCAGAGACTGCTGCAACCCTTGCGGGCAACATATCCTTTCTGCTTTCTTAGCTTACTGTATTAGGAGTACCTTACCTTTGGGTGCCAGAGGTCCAGGATCCCCCTAAAATGGAACAGGGAATATTCAGGAATCAGCCCGGTTGGGACAGGGGTCATTTTCCCTTGGAGAAGCAGGACTCACACCTATCTTTCCAGGTTACTGTAATCCTCCCCTAGGAAGCCTCTCACTACCCACTCCCTGCCAGGTCAGAGCCAACATCAAGGCCACCCTGCTTTGTGCTGCTCTACTAGCTGGGACCCTGGGATTCAGAGGAGGGGAGAGGCATAACATAGGGAAGGCCTAGAGACCCTCAGGGACAGTGTAAACTTGGGGGTCTAGATAGAGATCCCATCGCCTGCCTGGCTGTGACCCCAGGTCTCTGCCACACCCGCCTCTTTGGGATTTCTGTTTGCCTGTGTGAGCATTAGGACCCAAACCTGGAACCAGATGGTACGGCCGTGCCGGTCCCGCAGGGAGCGCATGCCCACCATGCCATAGCACCGCAGCCAGGCTCTAAAGGGTGCAAAATCCTCCTCCCCTCTCGCTTGCCCATAGCCCTTGCCGCCTGTGGACAGAGGAGCCAGACAGAGGTTAGAGGGCTAGAGGGCAGACTGAGGCTGGGAGGAGGGGGAGCCTGATGGACTAAGTCAGGGGCCAAGGCTCTCCCTTCTCCAGCTGTGTGACCTCTTCTCCACTCTGGGCCATGGCTTGCTCATCCTGGAGTGGGGTTAATAATCCTTGCCCTGCCTGCCTCATGGGTAGCGTGGAGGACAGACACCTGACAAGTGAGGAGGCCTAGTCCATTTAGCAACAACTAGGTCTACAAACTTCCATTCCCCAGGCAGGGAACCAGGCCCTGAGAAGGGCAGCAATTGTCCCAGGGTTATACAATATGCCAACACAGGTAGTTGGCCATCTTTGGCTCCCGGGCCTCACCCAGCTGGACCACTTCCTTGGGCACTGAGTGGCACAGCTCCAGCAGATCTGGGTTCTGCAGCTTGGCCTTGATCTTCTGGCTCAGGGTCAACTTGGGGCTCTGGAAAAGGGGCAGAGCCACTCAGAAGGCAGCTGATCCATCAGGAGCAGATCTCCTCTGAGCTTGGCAGGACTCAGAGATGGTTCATTCCCCTCCTCCCCAACACACACACACACACACACACACACACACACACACACACACACACACACATTATAGAGAAGGAAAAACTAACAGCTGCTTGGGTTACACGAGACACCAGACCCAGCCCATAATCCTATCAGGCCTCACTGGTAGGTGAGTGTGCCTTCCTCCCCTGCACCCTCACCAGCCTGTGCTGCTTCAGTGCCTCCAGAACAGTGCGGGCCTTCTCAAAGGGGGGTATCCTCAGCCTACAATGGGATAGAAAGAGAGAAACATGCTAAGCAGTGGGAATGTGGGCACCCAGCTAACCCAGCCCTCGTGTCCATGGCCTGCATGCTAACCTGTATAGAATCTCTGCCCGCAGATAGTTGCCAATGCCATTGAAGAACCTCTGGTCCAAAAGGGCCTCACAGATGGGCCGGTCAAAGACCTTGTCTGCCAGGTTTCGTAACACATTCTCCCTGGAGGGACACGGTCTGGGCACATGAGACCCATTCTGCCCTCCCATCCCCCCTCCTTGCCATGGATGAGGGATAGGAACTGGGAGAACCTGCTCCTTGGGAGAACCTGCTCCTCGGTATAAGGGGAAGGAAATTGGGAGTCTCAGTTTCCCTTTTCCAAGCCTCAGTGCTATTTTGGCAGGGATAACCTCAGTTTCCCTATCTGTTAAATGAGAACAATATGGAATTTTAATTCATTACAAAGGTGAAAAATTCCAATCAAAAGCAACGAGTTCAAGGGAACACACGAGTCTTATCTGTTGTGTGAATGCCACCAGAGGATACCAGACTCCAGGCATTTTTGAAAGCAAGGTGATCACGGGACTTCAGGTGTGCCTACAATTTACAGCTCCCTATCTAGGACTTCTGAATGTTTAGATACGAAGAGTTAACATTGAAGAGTCAATTCTTCTCCAGACCTCATAAAGATTTTATGAGGCTAGTACTAGCTCACCCAGCAAGTGCGTGGGAGTAAGGGCTCCAGCAATCCTTGCCCCACCTCTAAGGTCATGGATCTCTCCTCAACATTGTGAAGAAGAAATGTATCTTGTTTCTTTGTGGAAAAGGGTCATGGCAAGACTGACTCAGTGATGGGCCTGAGAAGCATCTGAAACAGGGACCAGAAGACAGTTCTGGGGTAAAGGAAAGAGCAGAAGGTTAGCCTGGTGACTAGCTCTCTAAAGGCTCCCCAGCTTATAGGACCAAGAAAATAACTGAGATGCTCATTCTGTGAGAGAAACCTCAGATCCAGCTAGCCAAGAGTTAACCTGAGAGCCAGCCATGCAGCGCTCTAGAGCAGTGGTTCCCAACATGGGGCACACAACCCATAGGGGGGCAACTTGATTTTTAAGGGGAGCAACTCGAGAATGAATTAACAGTGAATCTTTGGTATTTCTTATGGTTCTAGGGGCCTCATATACAGTATATAAATATATATTGACATATTTGTGCATTTCAGTTCTCTATGTTTTGAAACTTTATTTGCAATTTTTTCCATATCACTTCATATTATTACTAGAGGCCCGGTGCACAAAAATTTGTGCACTCGGGGGGGGTCCCTCAGCCCGGCCTGTGCCCTCTCGCAGTCTGGGACCCCTCGAGAGATAACGACCTGCTGGCTTAGGCCTACTCCCGGGTGGCAGAGGGCAGGCCCAATCCCTAGGTGCAGCCCCTGGTCGGGCTCAGAGCAGGGCTGACTGGGGAGTTGGGGCGCCGCCCCCTGTCATGCACAGAGCAGGACGGTTAGGGAGGTTGCGATGCCACCCTCAGTCACGCTCAGGGTAGGGCTGATTGGGGGGTTGGGGCACTGCCCCCTGTCACACTCAAGGCAGGGTCGATGGGGAGGTTGTGGCGCCACGCCCTGTCACGCACAGAGCAGGGCCAATCAGGGCGTTGGGGCACTGCCCCCTGTCACGCACAGAGCAGGGCCCATCAGGGGGGTTGGGGCTCCTTACCCTGTCACGCACAGAGCAGGGCCAATCAGGGGGTTGAGGAGCTCCCCCCTGTCACTCAGAGTAGGGCCGATAGGGGAGTTGGGGCACCGCCCCCTGTCACACACAGAGCAGGTGGATCAGGGGGGTTGGGGCTCCGTACCCCGTCAAGCACAGAGCAGGGCCGATCAGGGGGTTGAGGAGCTCCCCCCTGTCACTCACAGAGTAGGGCCGATAGGGGTGTTGGGGCACCGCCCCCTGTCACACACAGAGCAGGGCGGATCAGGGGGTTGGGGCACCACACCCTGTCACACTCAGGGCAGGGCCGATGGGGAGGTTATGGCTCTACCCTGTCACACACAGAGCAGGGCCCGTGGGGGGGGTGAGGGGGGTTGGGGTTCCACACCCTGTCACACACAGAGCCGCAGGGCGATCAGGGGGTTGGGGAGCTCCCCCTATCAGGCACAGAGCAGGGCTGATCAGGGGGTTGGGGCGCCTTCCCCTGTCACGAATAGGGAGGTTGTGGCCCCGCGCCCTGTCACACACAGAGCTGCAGGGCGATCAGGGGGTTTGGGCACTGCCCCCTGTCACGCTGATCCTGGTGCTGGGAGGCCTCGCGGCTCTGCTGATCCCGGTGCTGGGAGGCATATTACCCTCTTACTATATAGGATAGAGGCCTGGTGCATGGGTGGGGGCTGGCTGGTTTTCCCTGAAGGGTGTCCTGGATCAGGGTGGGGGTCCCCACTGGGGTGTCTGGCCAGCCTGGGTGAGGGGATGATGGCTGTTTGCAGCTGGTCACACACCCTTCAGGGTGGGGGTCACCACTGGGGTGCCTGGCCAGTCTGGGTGAGGGGCTGAGGGCTGTTTTCAGGCTGGCGGGTGACTGAAGCTCCCAACTGCTCCTTTTTTTCTTTTTTATTCTGGGCTAGCTTTAGCTCTGGCTCTAGCTCTGAGGCCTCTGCTGCTGAAAGCAGGTATCTGGTTTGTTTGGGTTCTATAATCGAAACACTGTATCAACTCCAGCTCTGAGATCCCGGCTAGCTGAAAGCAGGTTTCTGGGGTTTTGTTTAGCTTCTATATTTGTAACAATGTTTCAAACTGCAAGCTCAGAGGCCGGCAAGGCAGGCGGGGAACGTTGGTTTCCTCCGTCACTGAAGCAAGCAAGTCTCATGTTCGCTTCAAGCTGCCTGGCTGCCAGCCGCCATCTTGGCTGGCAGTTAATTTGCATATTGCCCTGATTAGCCAATGGGAAGGGTAGTGGATGTACGGCTAATTACCATGTTTCTCTTTTATTATATAGGTTTTTTAAAACAATTTCTTAGTGATTTCTTCCCCAGGAGAGGTGAGTGGAGGAATCCAAGGCCACAGATGTTTCCCTGTGGGTGCACTTGGGGTCCTGCCTAGGAAGGCCAGGAGTCAACTGCCTCCTGTGGCACCAGACATGCCCTGACCCACAGTGGGCAGCTAAGTCTCACTAAGGGTCAAGTGAAGGTGGGCAGTCCCCAAGGTAGGGAGGATCTACCAAATGTGCTCCAGGCCTTTGCATCTGTGGTGCTGGTCAGTTTGAATGTTCTTCCTCTAGAGCAGTGGTTCCCAACCTTTTTTTAGCCACGCCCCACCTGAGCATCTCTAAAATCCTGGTGCCTCTCCCCCCTCCCCTGTGACATAATTCTTATTATTGACGTGGAGGAAGCCTAAAAGGCCACTAACTTGGTCTAAACAAGCTTCCAAAGAACATGGCATCCATGAAAGAGAAAAATAAAAGAATGAAAGGACAGTTGAAGTACTGAGGAAGAAATCACTAAGAAATTGTTTTAAAAATAATAATATGAAGTGATATGGAAAAAATTGCAAATAAAGTTCCAAAACATAACTGAAATGCACAAATATGTCAATATATATTTATATACTGTATATGAGCCCCTAGAACCATAAGAAATACCAGATTCACTGTTAATTCATTCTCGAGTTGCCCCCTTAAAAATCAAGTTGCCCCCCTATGGGTTGTGTGCCCCATGTTGGGAACCACTGCTCTGGAGCTTTGCATGGCTGGCTCTCAAGCAGGTCTCAGCTCAAATGTCACTTCCTAGAATGTGATCTTTCCTAATGTGCCTCCCCTTATCCCCTTCCTGGCCAAAAGTCATTCTCTCCCACTTGGATTTGGATTTTTTAGAAATGTGTCTATATGAATTAATCTAGTTTGTTTCCTTGTCTTCCCTGCCCTGCCTGAACTTCAGCCCTTGATCTCTGCTGTTCCCCAACACCTATAGCGGGGCCTGGCACAAAGCAGAGACTCATACACATTTCCTCTTTAGAGGAAGAAAAGTGGCTGACACTGCCATCGTAAGTGACCTGCATCACATCCCAGGTAGAAGACAGTCAGTGAGGAGACGATGAGACACAGACCAGTGGGCAGACAATGTGGGAGACCACAAAACCTGATGCAGAAACCATGTCATTAGGCAGTTCCCTCCCCACTACCTTGAAAACCTTCCTTCCGGCTCAGCCTCCCTTCTTTTATGTTGTTAAAACCCTCTACCTTTCTAAGGGCCTCCTGAGGGCACCAAGAAGCAGTGTGGGGCACTGATCCAGCCTCAGCTCTCACAGTAACTGTCTATGTCTTCAGGGCATGCCTACCTATTCACCTCACCCCTACCTCCTCCCATATCAGTTTTGGGTTTTCATATCCATTAGCTCAGGGAGCTGTCTCCAGGGAAATACACTGTCTTGGTCTACAGAGGAAGGAAGGGAGGCTCAGAAGGGTCTGGGACTTGCCCCTCACCTACCTGAACTGTTCATACTCCAGCAAGACGCATGGCCCGCGGCCTGGTTGCCACTCGCCCGTGAGCTCCCAGTGGCCAAAGCGGCGGATGTCCACGAAGCAGAGGGTGAGTTGGGGACCAGGAGGAGCCGTGTAAAAGCGCAGATGGGCATGGGGTGGTAATGCATTGCTGGGTGCCAGCTGGAAGGATCCAGACATGCCAAAGTGGAAGATGAGGGCCAGTGGCTCCTGTGGGGGCTGGGCCCCAGGCAGGGGGCTCAGTGTCAATCGAAGCTCCTTGCCACGGGCTGAGGCTGAGATGTAGTAGGCACTGCTCTCAAAGGGCACCTCAGGGTTGCGGCTGATGGGTGACTTCTCCACACACCCGCCAAACACCAGCCCCCTGCATGCCTCGTTCACAAACTGGCTGGCCAGATGCAGCTCAGGGCCCTCAGGCATTTTGTTGGGGGAGGATGGCTGTAAGTTAGAACAGGTGTGCACCTTGTGAGAGAGGATTCATCACCCCCATTTCACAAAGGAGGGCCCTGCCAATCAGGGGATCATGGACAGCTGGGTTTGGCAGAAAATTCTGCTGGCCTGGCCACAGCCCTTGGCCCCCAACTGAAAATGCTGGGAAAGCCCATGGCACTGGTAAGTTCAGGCTGGGAGAGCGTGAGTGCCTTTATTAACCTCCCATGAATCCTCGCTGCTTTTAGAATAAAGTCCAGATCCTTCCTGGGCCCATGTTGTCATCTCATTTCTTCCCAGGCTCCCCCTCACTCACTTGCTCCAAGCGCACTGCTCTCTCACCCCCACGCCTTTGCCTCTGCTGTCCCTTCAGTCTCGGAGCACTTGAGCCACCCTCCCTGGTCACCCTTCCGAAGTAGCCTCTCCACCCCAGCAGCCACCAGACACGTTTTCTTTTCTTCATGGCACTCCCAAATCTGAAATTGGCTGTTGTCTGCCTCTACCTCTCCAGTGAACGCTCAGCTTGTTCACCGCACCGCTCAGAACCGACCTCATCTGTTGTCATAATCCCTGAGGGAATGAGCATGACCGCACCTGGGAGTTGGGAGCTGGGAAAACTAACGTTCAGAGAGGCTCAGCTGGCAGTGAGGACGAGTCAGGACAGGAGGAGGGGATGCAGAAGTCTCTAGGTACGTCTGCGCCTGGAAGGTCTCGCAGAGCTCCAGGCTAAAGGTCCAGGATCGAACAGGACACGCCCTGCTCGGCGCTTAGGCCCAAGGGGAACCTGCTCCACCTCCTCTCCTTACCCCTGGCCACCTGGCTGAGGAGGGGAGCTTGCCGCTTACCTCCCTCCCCCTCCACCCGCCTCCCCCACCCCGCCCCCCACACACCCCCGAGACGCTGAGGGATCGAAGGCGCAGATGTGGTCGGGCAGAGGGGCCCTTTAGCCAGGGCAGACTCCTTTCCCCTCCCATACCTTCAAGCAGTCTGGGACCCGGCACTCGAGAGGGTTCGCGCTGCTGGAAAAGGTGAAGGCCCAGATTCCTAGTTCTGCTGAGGGCGGGCACTCTGGCTCGCTCCCCCAATCCTTGTCACTCACTCCCGCTGCCTGTCCTCGGTACACCCTGGCTCCCTTGCTCCCCAAAGCCGCCAAATCCCATCCTCTCTTCAGTCTGCGATACGCACCCCGGAAGCCGTCTCCCGCCGGGTTACCTGCGCCCTACGTCCCTCTCCGCCAACCTGCGGCCACTAGGGGGTTGCAGTCCAGGGGCGGAGCCGTGCTGAAGAGCACATCCCAAACCGGTTGCTGCTCCAGCGCCCGCTGGGAAATGTAGTTCCTGGGGCAGGGGCCCAGGCCTTCGGGTTGGGGTCCCGGAGCTGAAGGTCCGGGGTGTAGGAAAGGCTTTGGGGCAGTCACCTGGCTGGGAAGATGGCGCCTGCGGGATCCGGGGTGAGGTCCGAGGTCCTGCGTCGCAGCTGTCCGTGGCTGGAGAAGTCACCAGGCTAGTGACAGGTCAGCACTCCCAGCCTGAAACAGCATCCCTGTCCCTAAGCAGAGGCTCCTGCCAGATGTGCGCAGGGAGCACGCAGGTGCGCGATAAACACAGGCCCTGGGGACCCAGTGGTGGCACTAAGTATCAACGCACAGTCACACATCACTTATAAACAGAATCATTACCGCCTGTGGGTAAGAAATGCAGCCAAGCAACAAAAAACAGGCGAGAAAGCAGAACCCACGACAGGTGGTTCTGTGGGGGTAGGGTCTCTCTGCAGTGACAGGCTGAGACCTCAGAAGTAGCCAGCAAAGAGTGGGGCTGGCACATGCTAGGGGAATCGGAGCCACCAACACGGCTGTGGGCAAGAGCAGCAAGATGCTGCATGCAGCACATTGACTACAGGATGAGGTGCACCCTGCAGAATGGTACTATATTGGCACCTTCACAAGGTTTTCGACAAGCATATGAATTTGATCCAATGTGATTGAGATGAATTCAATAAGTCAAGCAGAAAGAGAAGTGAGTACTCAGTCTGGAGCGGCTTCAAAGGGAAAACTTGGTCTCAATGACAGTAGAGGGACCTCCTCCCAAAGATACTGGCATTGCCCTAGTGCCACTTGCTGGAGCTACTGGGGGCCCGGGGATTGGTAAGGCTGCTGGCAAAGGCATCCTACCTGGTGTTCCCATGCCCCAGGTGTCTGCAGGACATGCCAGGCCAGTCCATGGGGCCATCCCAACTCTGCAAGAGGCACTGTTGCAGCTGCTGCCACTGCCAGTATTGCAGGGGCCCTAACCCAGTACAGACCTGGCCATGGGGGTCCTTCCCCACCTATGGGCTGAGGGACACCCCTCCAGGCATGATGGTCCCACCTCTTGGTATGAGGCTTCTCACTGGTCCCCCTAAGGGTATCCTCCTGGAGGAGGTACTTCAGTGGGCATATGCAGCCCCCTCCCCTAGGAATGTGAGGACTTCTTTGACCCCTGGCCACAGAGTTATGGAAGTAGCTTCACAGAGGCATGGGCCCAGTTCCCCAGGGCAATGTTACCACAGACCTATTTGTTTCTTACGATTTTGGAGTCTCAACAGATTGTTTGGTTTCCCTTACAGGGGCCCCTCCCCAAGGAATGCGCCCATCTTGGCCTTCCTCAGCTGTTTCTCAAGGTACTGTTCATAGTCCTTTTATTTCCATGTGGCCTGTGAAATAAATTTATAATAAAATCTTAAGATATATATATACATATATATATATATATATATATATAGAGAGAGAGAGAGAGAGAGAGAGAGAGAGAGAGAGAGAGAGAGAGAACATGCCAGATGAAAGGAATGGCCAGTGCAAAGGCCTGGAGGAAGGAAAGCAATGGGCTCATTGAAAGAAGGCCTGTGTGGCTGAAGTGTAACTGGGAGAGTGCTGGGAGGTGAGGACAGACCAAGCAAGGTCAGGTCAGGTCAGGCCTCAGGAGGCCTCTGTAAGTTTCTTCCTAAGTGTGCCTGACCAATAGTCATGATCTGCGCCCTTCATACTAGGACTTCTGACTCTTCCTTCCTTCATCTATTAATTCATTTATTTTGGGAGAAGTACTTTAAAGTAAATTAGACAAATTATGACATTTCATCCCTAATATTTCAACATGCATCTCTAAAAAGCAATTTCCTACAAAGCCACAATACATTTATCCAGTGATTTTCAACTTTTTTCATCTCATGGCACACATTAACTACGAAAATTCTGTGTCACACCAAAAAGTGTATTTTTTCCAATCTGACAAAAAATAGGTTTAACATTGATTCATTCACACTGGATGGCTATTGTTGTATTGGCTGTTGTCATGTTTTAATTTGACAATCTAAAGAAAAAGAGGTCAGTGCCCTGACTAAATAGCAGGAATTGCATGGCTTTGTTTTAAAATATACTTTTATTGAATTCAGAGAGGAAGAGGGAAAGAAACATCAGTGATGAGAGAGAATTGTTGATCGGCTGTCTAATGCATGTCCCCTACTGGGGAGCAAGCCCAAAACCCAGGCATGTGCCCTTGAAGGGAATCGAACCTGGGACCCTTGAGTCTGCAGGCTGATGCTCTATCCACTGAGCCAAACTGGCTAGGGCTGGAATTGCATGTTTTAAAAATTCTTGCAGCACACCAGCATGCCTCGGCACACTGAAAATCTCTGCCTTTATCATACCTAATAAAATTAACAATAACTTCTTAACATCATCTAACACCTAATCCACATTCAAATTTCTCTACTTGTTCCCAAAATGTCTTTTATAGCTATTTGTTCAAGGCAGAGTCCAACCAAGGATTATGTATTTTCTTAAAAAGTTATTCTTAGTATCCGAAATATCCAGTTTCATATCACAGTCACCTTTTACCATATGACTTTAGCATTCTTGATAATCCTGCCTCAATCAAGTACTTAATTAGGAGTCACAAAATGGTTATTTTCTAATTCTGTTATTCCATCAACATTAGTTGGAATTTTTTTGTAAAGACTAGGGCTATATGGTTATGCTGAAATGCGAAAAAGACAGGATAAATGTTAAATTCCTTTCATTTAATGATCAATTTTCAGACTAAGAATTTGGTGCAATAACAACATCCAATGGTGACAAATTAGGATTGATTTGTGGGTGTGGTTTTTCTTCCTTTGGAGGGTCCAGGGACTTTTTATGGACTCAGATTTTATATTTATTTATTTATTTATTTATTTGGACTCAGATTTTAATTTTTTACACTCAACATCTTTAAATTCATTGCAGTCAACATCTTTAAATCCATTGCAGTCCATATCCCTCCCTACCCCAACCCACCCCCATTACTGAAAGAGTATTTTATTAGGCATTGGGGCTATTCAACTATGGAACACAATTCTCATCCTTAAGAAACTCAGGCTGGGCAAAGAGGCAAATGAGTCAATAAAAAGTTACAATGCATTGTTACTAATATTTACTAATGCAATGAGAGAAGTGTCTGTGGGATTCTGTGGTAACATAGAAGTCTACTGTATATTTTTACTCTTTTCAAGATTCCTTCTTTCATCATTTCCCTTCTATTTAGAGATGCTCCTATACCCTTTTTATTTTTAGGTTAGGTCTGCTGGTAACACATTATATTAATTATACCTTTCATCTGAGAATGTCTTGATTTCCCTTTTTATTCTTGAGGTAATTTTCACTGAATACAGGATTCTGGGTTGACACTTTTCTTTCAGGGCCTGAAAAATGCTGTGCTTCCTCCTTCTGGCCGGATTTCTGATGAGAAATCCAATTCTAATCGTTTCCCCCTTATAGGTGAGGTGTCACTTCTCTCTTGCTGCTTTCAAGATTTCTTTCTTTCCTTTAGTTTTCCGAAGTTTGGTTACGATATATCTTGGCATGGGTTCCTCTGGGTTTGATCTATGTGGGGTCCGTTCTGCTTAACTCTGTAGGTTTGTCTTGTGCCATATTGGGGAGTTTTTCAGCCATTATTTCAATACTTTTCTGTCCCACCCTCTTTCTCTTCACTTTCTGGAACACTGTGATGACATGAATATGAGATCTTTTGTTATAGTCCTACAGGTCCCTGAGGTGTTGTGGGTGTATTCCCATGCTATTTTCTCTCTGTTGTCCACATTGGGTAATTTCTATTGATCTTTCTTCTGCTGTTAAGTCCATCCACTGAGATTTTACTTTGGTTATTTAGCTCTCAGTTCTAAAAATTCTCTGGTTCTTTTTATCTTCTATTTCTTTGCTGAGGCTTGAAGCATTTTTATGATGGCTGCTTATAAATATTTGACATAGAATTCTAATGTCTGAGTCATCTTAATGTTGGTATTGGTTGTCTTCTCATGCAAGTTGAGATTTTCTAGGTTCTTGGTATGAATGATTTTATAATTGAATCCTGGATGTTTATATTATGACTCTGGATCTTAACTGTCTCATGTAAAGTAGGTCTCTTCTGACACAGTGCCAGTGGGGAAAGGGGGAAATGCCTCCTTCCTGCCTTGGGAATCTAGGCCCCTACTCAGCCTCTGCTGGTAGGTGGAAGAGCAGCTGTACTTGTGTGTGTGGCTGGAAGCTGCTTCTGTAAGATTTCTGTCTTGCTGAACTTGGTCCTTTGGCTAGAGCAGGCTTTTTTAAAAAATCCTCATCTGAGATATTTTTTCCATTGCTTTTCAGAGAGTGGAAGGAAAGGAGTAAGAAAGGTAAGGAGATAGACAGAGACATTGATGTGAGCAAGACACATCAACTGGGTACCTACTGCATGCACCCTGACCAGGGTGGGAAGCGAACAACCCAGGTATGTGCCCTCAATTGGGAATTGAACCCACGACCTTTTAGTGACAGGGCAGATGCTCTAACCATTGAGCACATCAGCCAGAGAGAGAGAGCAGGCTTTTGTTGGGGCTTTTTTTCCTTTGTCTCTGTGCTAGCTTCTCTAGCACCCAGCTCATGATACGTGAAGCAAAAAGAAAATCCACGTTTCTGAAAGTAGAGAGAAGGGAAACTGGCTATGATCTCAGGAACTGAAAAACATGACAAAGTATGTTGTGTCTCTCTCACATCAATGTCTGTCTAGCTCTCTCTCTCCTTCCCCTCCTCCCTTCCTCTCTCTCTGAAAGCAATGGAAAAAATATCCTCAGGTGAGGATAAAAAACAAAAAAAACCCTGCTCTCTCTAGCCAAAGAACCAGGTTCAGCAAGACAGAGATCTTATGGATTGTTTTATACATAATGTCCAAGGATTTTAGCTGAACTTAGTGGAGGAATCAGGAAAAGTTCATTTGCTCCATTATTCCAGAAGCATAAGTCAGGAACAGAGTCGGTCCTTATCCTTTGGATGCTTCAACTATCCAGTCTTTGACCAGCTGGCTCTTTGACATGACTCATTATTCTTTGCTTCCCAAGATGTTACAGGCTCACCTTGTACTCTCCCTCCCCCAGCCTTGGAATCAGTCTTTCCTACCAGGAGCCCTGGTTGGTTTAAGCCAGTCCTGGGAGGCCATTTGTTTTACTCTGCTCAGGCTGCTGTAACAAAATGTCATAGACTGGGTGGCTTCAACAACAGCCATCTATCTCTAGTTCCATAATTTTTGGAAGTCCAAGATCAAGGACATAGCAGATTCAGATCCTGGTAAGACAGCTGTCTTCTTGCTGTGTGAGAATGAGGCCTTTCCTTGGCACATGGGTGTGGAGAGTGTCTGTCTTTCTCTTCTTATAAGGGAACAGAAAAGGGCACATCATAAGGGTCCCACTCTCTTGACCTCATCGAAACATAATTACCTCCCAAACACCCCACTGCCTGAAACCATCTCACTGGGAGTTAGGGGTTCAACATATGAATTGAGGGAGGGGGCACATTCAGTCCATAACCACTCTTGCCAGTGAGTGGTTCGGGCATGGGCCCTTCTCTCTTTCTAACGAAGATGGCAGGTAGATAAGGGCTCTCTTTCTCTATTTGGGCATCTGGCACTGGGGCCACCACTTGCTGCCAGTCTAAGGACCAGACCACACAGGGAGGGCAGAGCCAAGAGCATCACAGGACTAGGGGCTAGAACCCTGATTTCTCCCATCTACAGATTTGGGTTCCATTTTGGTCCTCCATCTACTGTGCCCCTGACCTGCCTCAATCAGCAGTTGAAAAGAGAAAATGGGGGATTCGCCAGTCACTCGGCTCACAAAAACCTTTGATCTGAACCTAAAAACACATATGCACACATTCCATTACACTTCTATTTATTTTTCCTGCTTGGGAAAACCATCAACAAGTATCTTTTATGGGGGAGGGAAGACAATTCTGGAAAAGTTCTCAGGATCGCTATGCTGAATTTTCAAGTAGGAACCTAGAAAGCCAGAGATCCAGGAGGTCAGGCCTCCAGGGTCCTGAAGAGAAGTTCGAGGGCAACAACTTCACTCGGGTAGGGCAGCTCCATGTGGGCCACCAACAATCTTCTCCTCAGCCCAGGGAGCTCATCAGGGTCTGGGCCTGCTTCAGTTCTGCCAGCGAAGAGGTAAGCAGTGGGCAGCTGTCAGGTGGGATCTGAGAGGGCCCTAACCTCTCCAGGTATAGCTGAGCCTTACCTGCCAGAAGGACCTGGAACTTGTCTGCTGAGAGGGATAGGGCAACAAGTTGGGCTGGGGCCTCTGGGGCAGCTGCCACCTCCAGCCGCAGGTGTACCATTGGCTCTTCCACGGACTGTAGCAGGCTGGAGCTCATGATGTAGTCTACCCGCCAGCCCGTGCCTGCCAGCCTATTTACTGAGAGACAGGGTAGGGCTCTCAGGCTCATGGCAGGTGAGCCACACAGTCCTCAGCCCTTCAGGCTGTATGGCTTTGGGGAAGCTCTTCTTCCTTTGACCTCTGACCCACAGCATGTGCTCAATAACTGGGAGCTCAGGTCACAGTGGCTTCTCAGATCCACAGATCTCAGAAGAAAGAAACCTGGCTAGAGTCAGAAGCCCTGGCTCTGTGATTGTGACATGTGACCATGAGTAAACCTTCTGAGAACAAGCACATCCCATGCTACATGTACCTTCTAGAATAGACCCCAAACCGCACCTTGACTGACTCCACACTCACCACGCAAACTGCAGGCCCGCAAGTACTCCTGCAGGGGGCTTTGCTTCTCCTCATAACAGCGACACAGGCTGGCTGCGTGCTCTGGAGGCAGAATGGAGGTCCCCTGAGGTAAGCAAGTGGCTGCTAGGGCTGCTCAGAGGGCAGTATCAGGCTCCTGGCCCAGAAAGGGCAGGGTGCATCTCATGGTCACATGGTCTGGCCAGGGTGCATCTCACGGCAGCCCTTGGCCTGCCCAGGTCCCCATACCTTTAGGCAACCCCAGCTGCTGCAATTCACTGGACAAGGACTCGCCATCCACGCTATGCTTGGCCGCACTGGAGAGGATGAAACTCAGTACTGCCACAGTGGCTTTCACATCGCCCAACTCTGGGGAGACCAATGGGGGGTAGGAGGTGTCACTATAGCCCCAGCTACCTCCTTGTTGCCCTAGTATCTTCAGCTCAGAGCCCCCAGGCCTCCTGGAGCCATGAGCATTGCTACTGCTGGCAGAGGACACTGGGGGTAGATTGTCAATGTCTTCTCCTCAGGTTCCTCTGCTGAGGCAGGTGGGTCAAGGTGAGCTGCTGGATAAAGGGGTCTCTGTACCAGGTCCCAGGCCGAGTAGCCAGAGTTGCCCAAAGTCCATGGACTCAGTGGGGTACTCACCAAACCTGGCATCAGCAGTGAGCTTCTGGACCTTCTCGTACTGTGGGGAAAGGAGGCCTGTAAGGGTGCCAGACCCCTGCTTGCCACCCCTTTACCCCCAATCGCCTGGATCCTGTGGTAACGATGGGCAGGAGGCTGATCACCCACTTCCCTGGGTTTGGTGCACTCTTAGGGTTGTGGGACAAGGGGTGCTGGACCAGGCACTCACATCCATCCCCTGCCCCAGAAGCTCCTGCAGCACCTGACCGCACAGCAGCCTCAGCTTCACGGAGGACTGGAGGGAAGGCCCAACATCAGCCCGATGGCCCTCATCCCTCCATGCTGGGGGCTGCTCACAAGGTTATCCATGTGAGCAGTCACACAGCATGCTAGGATGGGCTGAGAGCACTGAGGCCCAGACCCTCGACTCCCAGGGTCCCCATCCCCAATCCCTCTGTCCCCCAGGCCCCCAAGATGACCCTGTGCACTCAACAATCTTGGCAAGTGTGCTGATCTCCGCCAGGACCCAGTCAGGACAGTCCAGATCACCACAGAACCGGAACCTCTGCAAGGGAGTGAAACAAGTGGTCAGGCTGGAAGGAGGGGTGAGGTGTGGTCAGGTGTCTCCCACACTACTGTTTCTCAGGGAGCCACTTGATCTCCCTGATTATCAGGCTGTTGAGAGAAGCCCCTCCCTGACCCACCCTACCACCAAACTTTGTTCTGATGCCTGTCCCAGGCATTCATCTGTTCAGCAAACATTGACTGGGTGCCTCCTCTGTGGTAGATCCCACAGAACAAAATAAAGTCCCTGGCCTCACAGCCAGTGACCTCTCTCATTTCCTTTTCCTCCCTGGCTCCAGCCACACTGGCCTCCCTACTGTTCCTGTTACACCAGGCACTCTCCCACCTTTGTCCTTATGGTTTGCTTGCTCTCTTACTTCATTCAGATCTCTGCTCAAATGACACCTCTTCTGATGGCCCTTTTCTGATCATACTTTCTAAAATAGCCTCTAACAGAGGAGAACCAAGATGGCGGCATAAGGTATAAACCTGTGTGTGCTGCTCCCCACAACAACATCGAAACTACAACTATAAAACAAAACAGCTATCATCCAGAACCACGGGAAAGCTGGCCGAGTGGAAGTTCTACAACCAGAAGGAAAGAAAGAAGCGCACTGAGACAGGGTAGGAGGTGCAGAGGCGCCAAGAACAGAGGTACAGAAGCGCGCACGAGGCGGCTGCACCTGGGTGCGCGGTTTTTTTCAATTGGAAGGGGATACAAGCTCTCGAACGCACTGAGCTCCTTTAAGGCAAAGAGTCTGGGGTCCCAGACTCCTACGGGGAGAAACTGGACTGTCTTGCAGCGGTTTGGAAAGTGAGGGGGGCTTTCTCGCAGAGCTGCTTGCAGGGATCATTGTTGCTGTGGGGGTGCTGGACTGCAGAGACGCGAAGTCGCAAGGAGTTGCGGAGACGACAGCCATTGCTGCTTGCTCCGCCCTGGTGATTCTCTGAGACCCTGTCCCACTCAAATTACATCCCCTCCCAAGCTGTGCTCAGCGGCACAAAGGAATCACCTCGGCTTTTGCAGCCTAATCTAACTGCAGTTGGGTCAGAAAGCTCCAAAACTTCCAAATTCCAAACAAAGAGGAGAAATCTGCTGGTATTGCTGTAGCTCCTGCTGTGTGGACTCACACAGTGGTTAACTTGGAGATCCAGGAGCCAGGGTACCCCTGGTCAGATACCAGATTTCAACTCCTCACATCCATAAGGGACACACACAAGAGGCAGACTCAGTGAGCACCAAAGCCCCACTAAAGCAAGTCCTGCCCCATAAGGGTGTCTCCAGCACAGCAGTTCTTATAGACACAGTGGATCCTCGCAGTCAGCCAAAAATGCGAAGACAAAGAAACATGTCACAAATGAAAGAAAGGGAGGAAAGCAAACTAATGGAGGACATAGAGTTCAAAATCACAGTTATAAGATTACTCAAGAATCTTCCACGAACCTCCGAAGAACTTAGTGAGATGTTCAAGGATCTTAATGAGAATGCCAAAAAAATGGAAAAGGACCAGTCAGAAATTAAACATACACTGCCTGAAATAAAGAATAATATACAGAGATCCAACAGCAGACGAGAGGATCCCAAGAATCAAGTCAAAGATTTGAAGTATGAAGAAGCAAAAAACACCCAACTGGAAAAGCAAAACGAAAAAAGAATCCAAAAATATGAAGCTAGTGTAAGGAGCCTCTGGGACAACTTCAAACATACCAACATCGGAATTATCGGGGTGCCAGAAGAAGAGAGAGAGCAAGATACTGAAAGCCTATTAGAAGAAATCATGACAGAAAACTTCCCCTACCTGATGAAAGAAATAGACTTACAAGTCCAGGAAGCAAAGAGAACCCCAAACAAGAGGAATCCAAAGAGGACCACACCAAGACACATCATAATTAAAATGCCAAGAGCAAAAGACAAAGAGAGAATCTTAAAAGCAGCAAGAGAAAAACAGTCAGTTACCTACAAGGGAGTATCCATACAACTGTCAGCTGATTTCTCAACAGAAACCATGCAGGCCAGAAGGGAGTGGCAAGAAATATTCAAAGTGATGAATAGCAAGAACCTATAACCAAGATTACTCTACCCAGCAAAGCTATCATTTAGAATTGAAAGTCAGATAAAGAGCTTCACAGACAAGAAAAAGCTAAAGAAGTTCATCACCACCAAACCAGTATTATATGAAATGCTGGAGGATATTCTTTAAGAAGAGGAAGAAGAAGAAAAAGGTAAAGATAAAATCTATGAACAATAAAGTGACAACAAATAAATACCTATCAACAAATGAACCTAAAAATTAAGTCTGAATAAACTGGTGAATATAATAGAAGCAGGGGCATAGTAAGGGAGTGAACTGACAATTCTTGGGGGGAAGGGGGTGTGGGGGGTGCGGGAAGAGATTGGACAAAAATCTTACACCTATGGATGAGGACAGTGTTGGGGGGTAAGGGCATGGGGTGGGGTGGGAACCAGGTGGAGGGGAGCTATGGGGGGAAAAAAGAGGAACATCTGTAATAATCTGAACAATAAAGATTAATTAATTAAAAAAATAAAATAGCCCCTTACACAAGGAAATTTCAGGGGCCAGTGGGTGTGTTCATTAGCTTGATCCTGATAACATTTTCATGAGCCATACATGTCAAAATATATTGAACTGTATATTTACACATGTGTGGTTCTCAATAAAGCTGTTAAAAAATAAAAATCACTCTTTACTATACTGCTTATGTTTCTTGCTTAATCTCCACAGCACATATCATGTTTTGTTATTTACCCGTTCCTCTGTTAGAATGCAAATCCACTCTGTCAATCATGTCTTGCCAGTATCCTCCATTCCCCTGATCAGTTGTCCTTATTGCCTGGCAGAGTTCTAACCCACAGCAATACACATGTCCATCTTTCCACATCTCTACTGGGCTGGGAACAAACCCCACACTGTAATGCTCTTCCCACTGAAACCTGCTTCCCCTACTGAGTTTCCAACTCCACTGAGCACAACCACGTGGGAACCAAACCCAAACACCTCCCTCTCCTTTTTCCTCATGCACTTAATCCCTGAGCCCTGCTAACTCCCCGCCACTTCTATCTCCACTCTTTCCACCCTAATTCAGGTCACCACCATCTCCTGGGGGTCTTGCTGCCCCAGCCTGGGCTCTCTGCTCCCTTCCTGCTCCCTCCACAAACTGACCAAAAGGATCTTCCTAACTTGCCAGTGCCCTCTTCTTAAAGTCCAAATGTGGCTCTTAAGACCCAGCAAGCTCTCTGGTCTTTGCTTACCTGTCCAGCCTCATCTTTCACTAACCTCCGGTTTATACCCTTCCAGTTGGGGTCATGCATTCATTCCTAGGGAGCCCCGCTCTCTAACCCCTGAGGTCTGTGAGTGTGCTGGTCCCTGTCCCCCACCCCCCTGCCCCCTAAGCCCTAGTACACAAACTGCACTGCAAGGAGCCAGCTTTCTTCCCGGCCCCAGGCCTCAGATTGCTTTCCTATCACTCTGCTCAGGGTGCAGTTGGGTCTCTTCCCCTCGGTCCCAACCCAAACTCCTTGCTGGCTCTGGAAAGAGAGATGGAGCTTAACAGCGAAGAATCAGACTGAGCCTGATTTCTTTTGTTGTTGTTATTCCTCACCTAAGATATTTTCCATTCATTTTTAGAGAGAATGGAGGGGAGGGAGGGAGAGAGAAACATCCATGTGAGAGGGACACATCCCTGGTCGCCTGCCCAGACCAGGCCGATGGAGCCTGCAGCTCAGGTCCATTCCCTTGACCAGAACGGAACCTGGGATCCAGGCCCACACGCTCTGTCCACTGAGCCAAACCGGTCAGGGAGAGGCTGAGCGTGATTCTCGGCCAGTTCTTGCTCAAGCCCTGGGACAGGAAGGCTGCAGCGAGCAACGGTGGCACTACCACTCCGAACCGGCCCCAGCCCCGCCCGGCCCTCAGGCCTGCCTCCTTCTCGCCGAAGAAGCGCCCGGGACTCCCACCCGGCTGCGGAGTCGGCGGCCCGCACGACTGCACCCAAGGGTTTGCCGAGGTGCCAGCGCGGCTTCCCCATCTCCTCGCACCCGCGCCTCACCCTTCCGAAGGGGCAGCCACGAGATCTGGGGGACCCTGCCCTGCCCTGCCCGCCCAGCATCCGCGGCCTCGCACCCCCTTTCCCTCACCATAGCGCCAGGAAGCCCGGCCGGACTTTCTCCTTCCTGTAGCTCCGAGTCGGAGGATGTGGAGATCACGTGGCGCGGGCGGGGCGGGGCGGGGCGGGGCCTCCTCGGACGGGACGGGGCGGGGCGGGGTGGGGCGGGGCGGGGCCTCCTCGGACCGGACAGGGCAGGTCGCCCCACCGGGAGCTGCCGCCGGGCTGAAGGCCAGGGTCTTTCCAGAAACCCTCCCGGCAAATGGCCGGCACCTTCTCCGGTTAACCGAGGCACTCAAAACAGCAGAAAATAGGGAGCGGAAGCCATTTAATTTGTTCGAGTTAAGGGATCAGGCGCCCGGGAGCCGGGTCTGGAACTTAATGTAATTCCCTTGGGAGGGGCCTCAGGTCATTTCCACGATCTCCACGGCAAGCACAGCCCTAGGTGTGGGCTGTGGCGAAAGCCATATTTTAAAAACGTGATTACAATATGATACACATTCAGAAAATTGTACGTAAGTACAAAGCTTAATGAATTTTCATAAACTGTGCACCCCATGTCACTGGCACCCATATAAGAAAACATTATCAGTACCCTGGGCATCTCCTTAAATGCCTGCGTATTTTCTTTCATTTTGATGAACCCCCTAGTTGCCTAGGAAAGAGGGCGGTAACAAATAACAAGTTCAGTGTTAGGGTCACCGAAAGAGGAATGCTCGAGGCCAAAAGGGGTAAAGAATTATGAATTTATTAGGTCATCTGGAAACCCAGATGGGCTGAGCCCCCAAATGGCGCCAGCCCCGGAAGACAGAGAGTCAGAGGTTTTTAAAGGACTCTAGGTGGGCTTTCTCTGGGCAGAGAATTCTCTGGGCAGGTCCAGATTCTGGGAAACGCTGGAGGGGAGAGATAATGGTCTTAGCAAGTGGAATGTGGTCTAAGCAAGTGGACTGTCCATTGTGAAGTGGCCTAAAGGTCAGTTCCCAGGGGAGGGGGCATTGATTCAATTCTTTGATCAGACCTAACATTCAGGAGCGCTCTTTCCCTAGGGCTTCACTAATGTTAGATGTTTTATCTTAAATTTTCCCGATAAATGGGAGAAAAAAATGTTTGTTTTAAATTGCATTAGTTAGATGGTCTAGGAAAACAAGTTTCCAATATTCACTTGAAGAGTTAAAACAACACTACCTCCCCTCCCCCCAAAACAACAACAACAACAAAAACCCAGCAGCAACAACAAAAATACATAAGAGAATAGACCAAAGACTAGTCCTGAGAATAAGCCCAGGTGTGATATCTTCCCCCACCTCTTTTCCAGACATTTTAAGTGTTAACAAGGATAGGGAATAGTGTCCTTATATAAACTACAAAAGCTATAGGGAGGGTGGGGGACTTCTCCCCTTGTAAAAGAAAAAAGAAAAAGGAAGATGCTTTTAAACTAAAGCCTCTAAAATGCCCAAGTCAAGTATTTTATTTTATATAAAAATTCTTTTTTTAAAATATATACTTTTAGCCCTAGCAGGTTTTGCTCAGTGGATGTAGCATCGGCCTGTGGACTGAAGGGTCCTGGGTTCAATTCCTGTCAAGGGCACATGCCCAGGTTGTGGGCTTGATCCCCAGTTGAGGGCATGCAGGAAGCAGCTGATCAATGATTCTCTCTTATTGATCAGCTATCTCCCTCTCCCTTCCTTCTCTGAAATCAATAAAAATACATTTAAAAAAATATATATTTTTTATTGATTTCAGAGAGGAAAGGAGAGGGAAAGAGAGATAGAAACATCAATAATGAGAGAGAATCATTGATTGGCAACCTCCCCCCCCACCCCCACTGAGGATGGAGCCTGCAAACCAGGCATGTGCCCTTGACCAGAATTAAACTCAGGACCCTACAGTCCGCAGACCGACGCTGTGCCCACTGAGCCAAACCAGCTAGGGCCAAGTCAAGTTTAAAAAGAAACAAACCAAGAGGGGCTATGAAAGTTGCAAAGGATTTGTATGTCACAAAAAGTCCATATAAGTCACAGAAGGTCTGTACAAGTTAAAAAGGGGAACAAATAAAAAGGCCAAAAAGCTCTCTTTATTTTTTTTCAAAACCAATTGTTATTTTCCCACAAAAGCCCCAGATATTATGGCCCTTTACAAAGAAAAACTTGGTTGGATTTCTGAGTACTAGCAAATTCACACAGGGGTTTTAGTCACTTGACACTGACTTATAACTTAATTTAGAGTAATTTACAAATTGTTCTCTTCCACTACTACACTATAGATAAAGAACAACACATAATAAAAGTTTTAAGGATTTATACTAATAAATTAACAGGTCATCAGAGTCAACATCACATATACATACCAGGGGAAGATACAACCCCAAATCAGAACCCTAATTAGGTATATCAAACTAAAACAAATAAGGACAAAAGGAAAGGAACCGCTGGACACATATAGCTAAGGAAAAGGGATTCTACCCAACTTATGCCAAAAACCTCAAAGTCCTAGGTGTCTATGTTACCCATAGGTCTTATGACAATAAGAACTACACCTAAAGGAAAAGTTACAAGGGTACTTCTCTCAAATTAAACCTATCTCTATATATAAAAGCCTAAGTGACGAATGACCTGTCAACCAGTTGCTATGACACACACCGACCACCAGGGGGCAGATGCTCAATGCAGGAGCTGCTCCTTGGTGGTAGGTACGCTCCCACAGCCAACCTCCCACAGCTGGCCAACCTCCCATGGCCCCTCCCCCTGGCTGGGCAACCTCCCACAGCCCTCTACCCCTGCTGCTGGCCAACCTCCTGTGGCCCTGGTTGGTCCCAATCCAGGCCGAGGGACCCTACCCGTGCACGAATTTGTGCACCGGGCCTCTAGTTTCTTATAAATCCCCACAGAAGCCTCAACCCGATATCTACTCTTATGAACCCAACAAGGACCTCAAATTCCTCTTCAAGAAACAGAAACCTGTTATAGATAAGTAATGTAATGAGTGGGAATTAATATAATTGTCCTCCACTCCATTAACCTTCTTGTCAATTTTGTCACTTCTAGGAAACAACAACTCCATGTCAAAGTTATGAGGCTTCAGGGATTCCAGTCCATCCCTTCTTTAGAAGAATCAACCAAAGGCCTCTGTTCCAGTCTCAGATCCTATCCCCTTGTCTCCTTTAGATCAGACAGGAAGAGGCTTCCATACCCTAACAACAGCAGGTTTGACACCCCTTAAGAGCACAAAGTAATTACAGAAGATGGGCCTTTCTCTCTCATCAACCCTAAAAGATTTTAGGTATGGAAGTCTCTGACGGAGGATATATTATAGGATTCCAGGGCAGGAGGAATAGGGAAACTGAGACTGGAAAGTTAAAACAAGGCCAAACAGTGTGGGTCATTTACAGCCAGCTGGTTAATAACAAGCCATTATCTTCCACAGTCAAGGACACTTGAGAGAAATGGTTAAAAACCTCCCTAACGAGAGAATGCAGAAAGGGAGGGAGGAAAGGGAAAGGACAAAAGAGCAGTTTTATTCCCTAAGCCGAGAAGCCAGCAGTCTCAAAGCTTGGCAAGATAAAGTTGCCAGGTGCTTCTCATGAATTCTGGGAAGGCCATAACAAAGTAAAAAGGGAGCTTGAGAATTAATCTGTACCAAAATATTCAGCATAGGAATATTGAGACCTATAGACAGGAGGGTATATAATGCCTTGGACCCCCACCCAACTCCCCTTCAGATTAGCTGAGAACCCATCTGAGCTTCATAAGCAAGATGTATAGGTTTGCTTGCTTTGCTTCTTTAATAAAGATGCACGCTTTAATTGCTTTATGAAATTGGCTTTTCACAACGTAGTCAAGGTCTCTCATATAAATGCATTTATTTGAGAATTCAAAGATTGAGGTTGGGGATAGCCCTTTCCCAGGAACTCGGAGCTGTCTGATACTTCTCTGGTGTCTGTGAGAGCTGCCTCTACCAAGAGGCTTCAGTGTATAGGGAAGTAGAATTTTTCCTTTTAGCCACCATATATATATATAAATTTATAAAATGCTATCCTACACTATATTCTGTGTTAGAACCTAAATTTTTCACTCAGTAGCAACGAGGGGCAGACTGGAAATCGTGTGGGGTCTACCTTGGGTCCCAGCAGGGGTGAGAGCACTGGAAGAGGAGTCTAACCATGTTGCTGGGTTACCTCGGGCAGGTCTCTACCCTCCTCAGAGCCTCCATTTTCTTGGTCAAATTAAGGGCCAGAAGTGGTATGCGTAGGACTAGATCACCGTTTCTCCAGGAGGAGGGCTATTCTTGTCATAATCTGTGTGAATGGAGCCCCTAGAGCTGGGCAACCAGCAGGCCCTGCCCAGAATGTGGTGTGTGAACCTGGAAGTGCACACATGACTTTAGGTGATATGCAGATGCATTTATTTTCACTGTTACTGTCGTTTCTATGATTTTCCACCTTTGTTATGAGGGCATCATAACAAAGAATCCCCTGAAGGGCTTGTTAAACAGATTACTGAGCCCCACTCCCCAGAGTTTCTGATTCAGTAGGTCTGTAGTGAAGCCTGAAAATTTGGATTTCTGAAATTCATTAATCAAGTTGCCTTTTAAAATACATTTGTTTAGCCCTAGCCCCATCCAATGTACAGCCCCACCCAAGCTGTTTGCAGCAGCTTTTCCATATGAATGGCCTGTCCTGGTTCAGGCTTCAGATTTATTTTTTATTTTTTTAATTTTTAATTTTTTTCTTTATTGATTAAGGTATTACATATGTGTCCTTACCCCCACTCCCCCCCCCCACCCACTCATGCCCTCACCCCCCCTGGTGTCTGTGTCCATTGGTTAGGCTTATCTGCATGCATACAAGTCCTTTGGTTGATCTCTCCCCCTTACCCCCACCCTCCCCTACCTTCCCTCTGAGATTTGATGGTCTGATCATTGCTTCTCTGTCTGTTTTTTTTTTATTTAAATCTTTATTGTTCAGATTATTACAGTTGTTCCTCTTTTTTCCCCCATACCTCCCCTCCACCTGGTTCCCATCCCATCCTCCGCCCTCCCCCATACCCCCACTGTCCTCATTCATAGGTGCACGATTTTTGTTCAGTCTCTTTCCGCATGCCCCACAC